GAAGAACCCCCTAACCTAAACAAAACACACACAATATAAACTAAACAAAAAACACAAAACACAAAAAGATAAATTGAACAAAACAAACAGGAGTCAGGAGCCTGTAATTCAGTGGTTGTCGTTTGTTGCTGTATATCATATTTGTTTTTCGTTATTATTTTGTACATAAATTAGGCCGTTAGTTTTCTCGTTTGAATTGTTATATATTTGTCATTTCTCGACCTTTATAGCTGACTTTGCGGTATTGGTTTGGCTCATTGTTGAAGGCCGTACGGTAACCTATAGTTGTTAATTTCTGTGTCATCTGGTCTCTTGTGGAGAGTTGTCTCATTGGCAATCATACCACATCTTCTTATTTTTATAAACAAAAAAATAGAAAAACGAATATCCTTTAAAGTTTAGTACATATTAGTAACTTCGTATCTCATCTATCATATCTATATACCATAATATGATGCATATATTTTATAAAAAAATAATTTATTCATTCACATCAGTTCGGTTTTGTTACACATATATATGTATAATGAAATGTACGTGGTTATCTAGTGAACGTAAAAATTCGGCCTTGAGCCAAACTCGGTGTGGTTTACAGTAAGTGTACACTACACCACGGCTGTCATTCAGTATATGGAGAAAAAGATCGTGAAAGAATAAGTAACGGTGGTCAAGTATTGAGATTGGATCGTGAAAGACCTGGTATACGATCGTGAATGAAATCTTATCGAGAAGACACAAGCAAGGCCAATGAAAAATCTTAATCAAATGAGTTATAATGACAAATTTCGGAAAAAATAAAACTGTCTGTCAAAATGGTTCAACATTATGATCAGTATCTGAGAAAAATCAAGTTTCAAAAGTACACCGTTTTTACCAAACTACAAAAGGCAAATTGCTCTTCAACATTTCAATGACAAAAAAATGTAAACAAACATGATTTGTTTTCATATTTCGAATGCATAAACTACTTTTCTCTTAAAAATATCGTTCCATATTACTGTTTTAAATGTTCTTAACGTGATTCTGTTTAAGTTTAATCAGAAACGTTGAAAACATAGGAATATTTGATTAAATTTGATATTTCGGATCGTGAACGATCGGGTTCCACTTTTTGATGATCGTGAAAAGGATCGTGAAAGATCTGTTGCCGCTCGATCGCAAAATTCCACAAAAACGACCAAATCATTCTTTAAAGGGGTGAAATGATAATTTATATTTGTAATTGAATTGCAAAAGATTGAATTTGCATGACTTATTCCGCTTTATTTTTGTTTGTGAATAGGGTTATGATGGTTTAATACCATTGGATCTGATTATTTGATAATACCACACCGACTAGATGCCTTATGATAATATAAGTCCGTCTACATGTCGTATGAAAAGTTCAGATTGTCTCATCTGATTACCATTAATTTTTATGCACAGTCATATATATAAAACGAAGATCCTTTTTGATTCAGTTTGTTAAAATTTAAAGAAAAAAAACATTGTTTAGAAATACCGTAGGAAAACAACGGTCATATTCTTAACTTGGAACAGGCATTTTCCTAAGAAAATGGTGTGTTAAACCAGGTTTTTTAGCTAGCTAAAACGCTCACTTGTATGACAGTTTTTGTTTATGTTCCGTAATATTGGCAAATTGGGTGTCTGAGCAACCTAAACAGACATAATTGGTGAACGTTGCAATTACTGGGATCCAGCAGTCAAAACTGTGTAAACATTCATCACAGACATGCAACACAACTGAATTAAACGTTCAATCACAATTACAATTAAATCAAACAAAGACGCCAACAAAAAAGTTTTTGTAGTTGATAATGCAGTCAGTATAGTCAAGCATAATGACAAAAACCTCATTTGCCCGAATAGCATCTCTGGAATCACTCGCATAAGGAACGCCAAAAACCAAAAACATGAAAGCTGGATGCGCATATACCGAACCACGTCAAGAGTCATACAACCAAATGGAACATACTAGTACAAAATCAAATAAAGTTCAATTTGTAGAGTAGATAGAATTCTACAAAGTCAGCAGCACATAGAATCTGTAACTCAAGACCATCCTGTATTATTTTTTAAGTAGACACTGAATATTTATCTAGTATTAGGTCTTGGTAGGTTCCAATAAACTTTTTGAGAAAAAGGACGAGACATTCTTTCACAAAACCCTGGCTCATTAATTTTTGCTCAGACACTGTTGACATTTTACAAATTCTGAGGAGCAGCTGCAAGCTCCTGAATATCGTATGAATTGAGAAATGTATAATCCATACACGAATGAAGATGTTAAATTGCTGCTGAAAATTTATAATTTAAAATTTGAAATCATCTCGTTTCTTTTGTCATAGTTTCAGGTATCGTAGTCAAATTCGGGGTATATATGTCTAAATATGAGGCTTAAGAAGCTGCATATGTGGTGTCTGTAATCTGTAGTTCAGGACTATTACTGGGACCCAATCAGAAAAGCTTGTATTGTTAATGGAAAGAACATCTTCAATATACCTGTATGTAAAATTAAATGATATAGCTTCTTTGATCTAACCCTTACCAAAACAAAAACGTACACATTAAGATATTCCCAGGTGAAGACCACCAGACCCCCTCTCGTTCCACACAATCGTGGATGCATTTAGCATTATAAATACAAAGATATTTACTTTTCGACAATTTGCGCTCTTGGAGGTCTTATTATCTTGGATTCCTAGTTAGCACTGCCTCTTAAAAACACGTCTAAATATGAGTCTATATGTATACATATATATAATTATATTTCACCAAAAAAAAGCAATAATTGACGTTCTTAGTAAGTGATTACACGCTTCAACCAATTACAAGTGTATCAATTCGTAAAAGAAATGTTGTTTTCTGATCATTAAGCCTGGTCACGCCGGGTCTTTCACGATCAATTTTGATTAAAAATGAACAAAATTATACTATTTTTCAAAAATAATATGAATTTTTTCAAGTAATAACATACTTTTATTTATTGGACCATCTGACACACTAAAAATTAAGTTTCAAATATATCAAGTATATTGAAATGTGACCATTATAGATACAAAACGTGATTTTTTTCTTAATGATTCTCTTTAGATCGTGTGTCGCCTTTTGTGTTTTCTCAAAAAGTACTGCATTTTTTCTTTGAAATAGTGCACAGTATTATTAAGGAAGTTGAATTATTTTGACAGACATATTTTTTTTTTTCTGATTTGTTCCACCTTTTGAAAATACGGCAAATTTTTCACAGATTTTGAAGTAGAATTACACTTAATTGCATTCACGATCCGATACCAGATCTTTCACGATCCAATCGCAATGCTTGACCACCGTTAGTTATTCCTTCACGATAATTTTTCTCGATATACAGAATGACACCCATGTACACATAAACTAAATTAAATCTCTATTACGTTCCCATAGATAAAAAATCAATATTTACAGGTAGTTTAAAACATGTTTTCACTACATGCAGTCGATAGTCAATGTTGACCTTGTGTGGGTTTAGTAGTTCATAAAACTAGTCTACTAAGATATTAAAAACGTGGATTGTATTGATTATTTAACATGTTTAAGGAAGTTACAAATATTGAATACAAATGATTATAATAGTAATATGAATTAAGTTATTTACCTATTTATGTGACAAAAACTCAGAAATTGTGTCGTTAAAAACAGGATTAAATTCAATTGGACCATTTGATTTTCAGTGGGAGGGGGATTTTTTTGTTGATAGAATATTCATTTTACACACCGGTTGATAGCATGGCTTATATATTTAGCACGACAATTATTTTCACTTTTTGTACACAACTATTTCTTGCAAAGTCCAAAATAATCATTTTCATCATGTCTTGGACAAGGTTATTTTTACAGTTAGTACCAGTCCAGACTATTTATTTCCAAAATCACCCCATGTGTGACTGGGGAATAGAAATATGTTCACTTGGATTGTATGCCGATTAGCCGTAAAACCCTTGCCAAAATGGGGCGTCCGTTAGGCTGTGCGGGATGTATAAGTACTCAGCCACGTAATATCAGAATGGGAACATTAAATTTGATGCCTCGTGTAGGTCGAAAAGTGTCAAGATTTCTGCACGTTAAGAAACTTTGCAAAAACTCTTTGAGGGGTCCGAAGGTGGACTGTTTCAAGGCAAAATTTCTGTCCCTTTCCAATATATACTCTCATTTTCAATAGCAGTCCAAATTGCTCCGATCTTAATCTCGGGCGCCCTCTATTACAGGACCTACCTACTGTATTAATTATGAATTTGTCCTTGTCCTGAATATGCATGAAATATTTGCCACTGGACGTTAAGCAATCAACAATCAATCAATAAATCAATCATAAAATTCTTTTTTTCGCCCATTTTTTAGTCCGCGTAATCGTGACATCTTTAGAACTTTCAAAGTTCTCCAAATCAATAAAACGATTTTCTTAAGGCACCGACCATTCATCTCCGTGGGAAAAACGATTTTTTTTATTTGTTTTATTACTTTAATTTAACTAAATTTTTTTTAATAACATACACGATCATTTATTTATTAACTAAAAAAGTATGAATTTAAACATTTGATCTCCCCTCATCCCCACCCCAAAAAAGTATATATGTGAATTGGTTTACGCTTAACTGATGCAAAATTTTACAGAGAAATTTTAAATTCAATTCTATGTAAAGTAAATTGTAAATTACGTGTACAAAAAGTCATGTAGTTTACTGGTGAAAACAATATTCATGTACAGGTAATTAAAACCGATGTACAGATGAGAACAAATTTAATGTGAAACCAATTGTACATGAAACTAATTGTAAACAAGTTTACAGTACGCGAAGTTTGGTGTGAACACTGCCTTTATTTAAAGGTTTGTCAGTTTATATACCTAAGAAGTAACATCCGGGTTATAAACTTTTCACAATATATTAATAGTAAATCTATATTTAGACATGACAATTTTAACGTATTTAAACAAACTTAGCGTAAGTTTATCTGTATTAATAATTATAATGCAAACTTTAAAGTGTGTTGTTGTAGGTGATGGGTAAGTTAATATGTATGGTATTTTTCTATAAATTCATCTTTTGTGTATGTGTGCGGTTGGGGGTATTTTTTTTCAAATAAATTGCTTGATTCTAAATTTCTTGAAAACATAATTTGTTCAATAAATACTATTAAAATCAACACAATTGAGTTATATCAAACACATGTTATTGAAAAAAATGTTTGTTTTATCTAAGTAAAAAAAAATGTTTTTCTGAGAACGGTCAGTGTCGAAAGTTTATTATACTATTTTTTTCTTAATCATTCAAATTAACGTTAACTCTTTATACATGTATGAACTACTTGTCGTGGATTGTAGAAAATAAGCACAATATTTGTAACCTGTATTGCGTTGGCTGTGCGAAAAGGTACATGCATTTAAACCCTCTTACTGCTTAGAATATATAAAAGAAATTTCACCGGAATTCATGTCACAATAGCGCAATTTTTCAAAACTTTTTTAATTAGATATTTATTTTACTAATTCATTAAAAACTCACAGTTTTACCGCTTCATTTGAATGTAACAAATTTCAAATCTACCGTATGTCTAAACATTTTACCAACTGTTAAATGTCAAAACCAACTGCTAGATGATGTCCTAAACTGCAATGTTGTAAGGGCTTGGCAAATTTTTCAATTCAACAAACAAAACAAAAACGAATATATATAACAGGAATTTTTAAACAAAACAGAAATGCTATAGGACATAAACTCATTTACATGTAGTTACATGTCAAAAGACATAATTTGATGCAAAATTTACAGAAACCTGTAACATTTGCAGTGTTTTTTTTTTCAAATGGTTTTGAATAGCAATTTATAGCGATGAATAACATATTTTATAAGGATGCTTGTGAAATTGTTGGATAAATTATCGAAAATTCGTATTAATTCAAACCCCTTTCATATTCTTATTTCACTACGATTCATACCTTATCGAACCTCCTTGTTGATTGCAACAAAAAAAAAAGAAACTGGTCCTACCTATTTGCGCCATATTCATAAACAACTGTTTGGAAATTAAAAAAAAACACTAAACGTGAAAGTGGAAATCTTCATATAATTACAGAATAAAAATAATAAATGTACATTGTCGTAGTGTATAGAATTCCAATCGCTAGGATATAGGAGATGAGGTCGAAGAACCTCGCTTTTCTCTCTGTTTCTAACAAACGTACAAAATTTTCTACAATATACGTTTATTGTATATACTAGAACATTGTATATATAAAGTTATATAAGTGAGGTTTTTTTTTTTATTTGAACCAGAAATATTTGAATCATTATTCAAAACATTGGTTAATTAAAAAAACCGGTTAAAATACTAAGGGACAATAATTACATTACATGTATGTTTCATTATAATACGTTATTTTGATTGGCTTACAGCAATCTCGCGTCATTCTGAAATTAACCTTCATTTCAAAATGAAATGTAACATTCATGATGACACGAGCTTCAACAATAAAGTGCACAGATAAATAAAAGAAAAAACTTGATAGAAATCGTGTTTTCATGATCCGAGCAAAAAAATGTAATTATAAGTATTGAATGCTTCTTTTAGTAATTTTATAGGGTTGTAAAAGCGTTGATCGTGCGCACCTTTTTAGAATGAAGCGCTTCCGAGAGTTATACAAAATGTACTTCGGTCAACGCTTTTACACTCCAATAAATTTACAAAAAGAAGCATTCAATTTTTAAATCAAAACCATATCACTCGAAAAATAAGGCAATACCATGATACAAAAAATAGACGAAAAGACAAACAAATCAAAACAATACTACACATCAGCTTACAAATAAACTGAACTATAACGTGGAGATAAGCTCAGGTGCTTTGGAACAGTCAGTTCATTTTGTTTTTTTTCCTTCATCTTTTTATAAAATTATTACAGTGCCGTTGGAAAGACATGTCTGCTAATGAGTTATACCAGCAATAATTTCCCTGGAGAATATATTCCTACTATGTAAGTAATTAACATATTAAAGTGGTAAGACTAATTCCGTTCATTCCGGCCCATAAAGTTCCATGACGTGACACTTATGTATTCATACACAGGCGAAATAGTTCTGCAAGTGTTGATACAAACTATATCATTGTTGTTTGGTTAAAATTCAGTGGCAAATGGTTCATGCATATTCAGGAGGAGAACCAATCGAATAAATCCAATAGTTAGATTTCGCAAAGTGGGTCAAGCTGGATGAAGCACGGGGAACTTAACTTGTGACTACAAAGAGAGGCTATGTTCGATATGAAAAGGGATGTTGTTCCAGCAATAATGATGCCACTCTCCCTTCGAGATGCATCGGATTTAACATCCAAATTCTGATTGGACACGACTGTCTATTGATCTATCCTACACAGCCAATCAGACGTCCTGTTTATCCTGAATTTTACAGCCTGACGTGGGGAATTCTATACCCCATGCAAGTCCAATCTTAGGGTTTGAAACAAACAAGAGACAAACATAATATTAAAATTTTGTAACACGTTTAGAACTCACTACAATGTGTAATTTATTATTAGCAGTATTATTTCCATTCACTGTGAATTTGATACTAGTCAATATGAAAACAAATACTGATTGGTTGATTGTTGTTTGCTTTACGTCCAGTGGAGTATATTACATGCATGTTTAGGACAAGAACAAATCAGCTACATGTATAAATACAGTAGGTAGGTCCTGTAATAGGTGTCGTCCGGGATAAATTACGGGTTTGGAAAATGAGGATAATTTTTATACTGATAGGGACAGATATTTAGCCTTGCAAGAGACAACCTACGGTCGGATCTTAAACGAGTTGTTGCAAGGGTTTTAAACATGCAAAGAGCGTATCACTCGCTCTATAAAATTTGGGTATTTAAACATGCCGCACGGACGCCCCACTTTTGCAAGAGTTTTACTGCATTTCTATTCTCCAGTAACCCTTGGTATATAAAACAGAGATGTGAGGTATATGTCAATGAGACAGCATCAAAAGAAAATAGAAAATTCAAACAGAAGACATCTAATGCATTACCTATAAAGACGAGGAGGTCCGGAAGTTACTAAGAAGTCTACTAAATGTATGTTTTCTTTTAATTTAGATTTGATAATTACAAAGCTAATGTGAGAGTAAACGACACCTGCGTCCAGTTATGTTTGTGGGATACGGCTGGTCAGGAGGACTATGATAGAATACGGCCACTCTCTTATCCACAAACTGTAAGTTATTTTCAATATTGGATAAAACACGTCCAATATCTTATCCACAAACTGTAAGTTATTTTCTATATTGGATAAAACACGTCCAATATATTATCCACCAACTGTAAGTTATTTTCAATATCGGATAAAACACGTCCAATATCTTATCCACAAACTGTAAGTTGTTTTCTATATTGAATAAAACACGTCCAATATCTTATCCACAAACTGTAAGTTATTTTCAATATTGGATAGAACAAGTCCAATGTCTTACCCACAAACTATAAGTTCTTTTCAATATTGGATACATAAACAATAATGACAATTCTGCCATTTTGAGAATTTGATGTTGATGGTAGTCTCTGTTAAATTTATTCACATTTTTTATGGAGTCAGGACGATAAAAAGATTTGCATATTCAAAAGAGACGTGTTACAACAATATGCGTATTTTGAAATATTTAAAAACAGAACTTACAAAAAGATTCATCTAACTCATAAGTACATGTTTTTAGTATACAAATGCAATTATAATAACGAGATATTCTCTTTTCTTTGTATAGTTTTTAAAGGGTGTGAAAAGGCGCTTTCGCTCAGCTCTTTATACATATTGTGCTTTAGTCAAGGCGTCTACACTAAAACAAAATGACAAAACATATCTTCGTCTGATTAAACGCTCACACAGCATGTTTTCCATGACACAATATAATTCTATGTCTGCAACATTTTACTTTATACACAGCTTGTTTTCCATGACACAATATAATTCTCTGTCTGTAGCATTTGACTGGTTAACCTTATTTCTTTACAGGATGTGTTCTTGATCTGTTTTTCTTTGGAAAGCCAAGCTAGCTTTCTAAATGCAGAACAAAAAGTATGTATCATTCGTATCAATATAAACTAATATTAGTAACAAAATAAAAATAAAAAATACAAATATAGTAAACAAGAATTTCAATGTTTAATACTGTTTGCATGCAAAATAATCCGTCATAAAATTTATTTATGATTTATGTATAATTCATTTTATTCGAGCATAAATGATAAATGCTAAAACTAAAGATTATCTTAAGTTACTTAATACTATGATTAATAATTTCCTTAATGTTGTAAACGGACAGAAATAGTACAAAGTTATTGCTTAGTAGCAAAAATATTTTAAAATAGTTAAAATAACAAATAAGATATAATATTTGAGAACAGGAATATAAAAGTGATTTGTTTGGTTTAGATGTTCCATGATTTGTAGGACGTTTGTTAAATGGGTAAAAAGCTGCTGTCTTTGGAGTTTTGAATAGTTTTGCTGTTTATTATCTATTGCAAATGTCAATGGTGTTCGTGGAATTTCGGCGAGCGCTAGGCAGACTACCTACCAAATACTGACTGACCCAATGCATCTGTACTGGTGATTACTGAATTGTACCTTTTTTATTTTGTTTATTCGGATCGGTTTGGTGGCTTGATATAAGGCGTATGACTACAGGTTTCGGTTATATATCTATATCTATCCCTTTCAAGTTATAATGTTACCATGCAATATTCTTTTCGTCTTAACCGAGCTCATCCAATCTTTCAACACTTCGTGTGATTGATCATAGTTAAATTTTTCCTTTATTCATAAAACCATTTCTTGAATTCATCTTTACAGTGGTTTCCAGAAATCCACCATCATTGTGCAGACGTCCCAACTGTATTAGTGGGAACAAAATTGGATATCCGGGAAAAAAGCACAAAGGGTAATGTCGAAGGTAAACACGGAGACAAACAAAAGCCATTCGTGTTATACAATCAAGGGCTCGCAATGGCTAATAAAATGGATTCTGTCAAATACTTGGAATGTTCAGCAAAGACACAAAAAGGTGTGAAAGACGTTTTTGATCAAGCCATTAAAGCAGTGTTGGTTCCGACCAAAACCAAGAAACATAAACATAAAAAGTGTCATGTTTTGTAACGTATAAAACAATGTGTATACGAAAAATTGTAATCAAAGAAATTTAAAATTGCAAAAATCGAGAACTACACATTCTTTAATTCGTGCAATTATGTTTACTGTACAATAATTTTATACAAAATGAGATAAGATTTTATTTCCATCTATGTTTCTATGATTAAGTACATGTACATACAGACTTTGGAACATTCGATTCTTTTGGACTATTTTTAATTAGCTCTGTATAGAGACTATGGAGCATTCGATTATCTTGACCAGTATTTCTTTTTATTATGTATATATAATGTGACGTACTCTTTTCTCATGACCAGTATGTACATTTAGTGTATTTAATTCTATAATAGACAAAAGGAAGATTTGATTCTCTGGATAAGCGGACATTACTACAGGTGTCGCTTGGCTAACAACGCCAAAAACAACAGAAATTCACCAATAGCGCGATGTTTTTAAATAAAAAAAAAATAGAACTTAAAGACAGCAATAATAAAGAAATCAATGTCGTGGTTGATCATCTTAGAGTTACCTTTCGTTGTTTAAGTAATTTTGGTAATTACTCACTGACATCGGCCTGGCTCTTTGACTTATCGTCTTGAGAGTACCTGATAAAGTAAATCACTGAAACATGTGTCGTGTGTTATTTAAAGGTCTGGAAGTGGTCATCCATTCTGTATTCTTTTATTTTTGAGGCCATTTTTCTAATATTTTTTTCTCTCTGTCCATTGTTCTCTATTCTTTATACTTTTGGACTCCATTATTCTCTGGTTTATTCTTTATTTTTTTTTTTGTCTATTATACTCTATTCTGTAAACGTCATTTAGACCCTCATTTTACGTTCTTATCACATGATTGTTTTTCAAGCAGACTTATCAGGGGAAATACATGTTGTTGTTGATAAATTTGGATAGTTTCCAACTTTATATATACGTAGTGTACATATACATTTACAAAATAAAACATATCTAATAGTTTATTATGTTCTTTATTTTTACATCCGACATGCCTTCATTGTATATGTGTACATAAGATGTTTCAACATACTTATAATTAGTTTATTGCAATTAACGATGCAGGCATTGAAACTAGTTGTTGTTGGAGATTGGTAAGTCTGTTTCACTTAATATAAAACAAGAAGATGTGTTGAGACATCTATCCATCAATGACCAACCGACAAGGTTTGAAGGACTGCATGTCACCGACCTTCAACAATGAGCAAAAGCCATGCCATATAGTTCGCAAAATAAACAAAGTCCCTGGATGACAAAATAAGAAACTGTTTGAAAAGAAAACCAACGGTCATTGCATTCTATAACTAAGATATAATTGACTAGATTCAGTTGAATTGTGTTTATTTCAAGGTTTGTATATCTAAAGCTTGGAATATTTATGATATTCTGTTTGGAAATCCGTACTAGTTTCACCATGATTCTATCTCATTATGCGGAAAATTTCAAATATATAACCTAATGAGGTTTTAAGTTTTGTTTAAAATTTACAACCGTTTTAAATTTGTTAGTTGCAGACATTTATTTCTTCTGTATACAGAAGCGATTATTTTTGCTATATACAGGATATTTCATTCTTGTTGTATACATTGATATATATTTTGCTGTATATATTGATACATGAGGTTGTGGTATATATATATATTTGAGGCAGCAACACAACGACACTTAACATCATATTTAATGAAATTTTCAATAATGATCTCAGTTGTTTGATTAATTGTTTATTCGCTTTGAATCCATTGACAACATTTTCGTGCATAATTTTTTTTTTTTCAAAAATGAAGTCCGGTCTCTGTAAGGAAATAAAGAGTGACTTACATTGTATTAATAGCATGTATTGTCATTGTCATATTAAAGAGTCTATTTCATGTAATTGAGTTACAAATATGTAAGTATTGCCAGAATAAAAGTATAGAAGTACAAATTTTGTATTTTTTGGAGAATAAATGACAAAAACAATTATACTCTGTGTGCATCCTATATCAATAAGAAGATGTGGTATGAGTGGCAATGAGACAACTCTCCATCCAAGTCACAATGTATAAAAAGTTAACAATTATAGGTCAAAGTATGGCCTTCAACACGGAGCCTTGGCTCTCACCGAACAGCAAGCTATAAAGGGCCCCAAAATGACTAGTGTAAAACAATTCAAACGGGAAAACCAACGGTCTTATCTATATAAAAAACGAGAAACGAGAAACATTTATGAACCACATCAACAAACGACAACCACTGAACAACAGGCTCCTGACTCTATTCATATAATTTCTGAAATGTGTTTTTGTAAGTTGGTTTGTGTTTTGTATTGATCTAATGAGTTAAGTCTGTTTCAACTGGTTTGTACACTTTATCCTTATGGTGTGCTGTTATACCACTGTTCAGGGTTGTGGGGAGGGTTGGGCGTCCACAGACCTGTTTAATCCCGCCACATTCTGTAGCCTGGCCTTCATTTTAATTTGACTTCCGAGCACGGACATTTATAGTTTATAACAGGATGGTTTCGAGTTAGTTGCCTTGTTATATTTGAGTATGGATAGTAAAAATGTATGATGGTGTCAGAGTTGAAAATTTAAAAATAAACACGGTAAGTCAAGCATAGCAGTTTTAAATATGAGGTAGAAAATAGAAACTTGATTATCTAGTGTATGTAAACAAATCGAAAATCTGTAGTTCTGTTAGAACCGAGGACATTTTTTACATTATTATTCTAAATAGTCAAACTAAAAGTCTACGTAATTAAAGTTTCGGATAAAGGATTTAACCAATTTAACGTCAATACACGTTTGTATGATGTTGAATAAAACGAAAGACAATCCAATCTTTAATAGGTACTGAATAAGCATTTATTATACTGGCAACCAGATGGTATTGACTGAACAATATTTTCCCTTACCATATAAAGCTCTTTTCCGACGTGAACAGTATGTTTCCGTATAATTTGATTTGTTAAGTTACAAATGAATACAGGTTTGCAGAAATATTACATCGTCCGGTTCTTGTCCAATTGAAAAGATATATTTAGTTTTGCTCACTGCTGTATATAAAGGCAACAGTATTATACCGCTGTTCGAAAACTCATAAATCGATAGAGATAAAAGCAAATCCGGGTTACAAACTAAAACTGAGGGAAACGCATCAAATATAAGAGGAGAACAACGACACAACAAAAACACAACATTAAAATGTAACACACACAGAAACGAACTATAATATAACAATAGCCATTTTCCTGACTTGGTACAGGACATTTTAAGAAAAAAATGGTGGGTTGAACCTGGTTTTGTGGCATGCCAAACCTCCCGCTTTTATGGCAACGTCAAACACAACACCAAAACGACAACATCACATGACAGGACCACAATACAAATAAATGGGAGAACATATAGGACAAAGAAACACACGAATAATAGCTAACAAAAGGTACTAGGCTTAAAATTCAATACTTCAGACGTACGTCTCGTCCACACAAGACCAACCAGTGACGATCAGATGAAAAAAGTTTGAAAGCCAAAACAAGTACAAAGCTGAAGAGCACCGAGGACCAAAACTTCCAAAAAGTAGCGCCTAACACGGCCAGGGTTTTCTGCCTGGGACAAGAACATCCTTATTATTTAGAATAATTTATAATTTTGCAAACAGTAAATTTTATAAAATTACTATATAATAGATATACATGATAAAACCAAAGTGGGGACTAACTACAGAATAAAAACGGATACATTACATAAAACAACTTAATCCAACACATAAAAAAATACACAGCCGAGTTAGCCAACGCCTCAACGCACAAAGTGACGTCACATTTGAAATTCTAAAAAAACACACAGAGTGACGTCACATTTGAATTTGTAAAAATATTTCCCAAAAATAAGATAGGATTAGGATTGATTAAAGATTAGATTTGTAATACTGACATTACATTTATTAATAACAATGAAAATTACAATACTTACTAATATCAAATGGTAGTAAATAGATAATTAATTGTATTATCTAGCTATGTCGGTGTTTCTTCTGAATCAAACAGTAAACCAAACATATCGTATAAATTTCGTTGAACCAAACTAAAATCTAATAAATGAAGGGGGTGATTAATTATCTTTACCATAACACACGAATATAACAGAAAAGACGTTAAGACATTTGACAAAATCCGACGAGAACAACAAATATAACATCAAAATTAAATACATGAATTTGGGATAGAAAGGTACCGTGACACGTCTTATAGCAATGCGGTTTCACACTCAGCAAAACAATCACAATCGGGAATAAGTCACATTCGGTAATTAAAAGATCAGACGACGTAATGACAAACCACAATCTAACACGTGGTGAAATTGTCCTTAGTTAGTTTGGACAAAGACACATCGTATGGATCAACCAATTGGTGATGGTGTCCGTAAAATTTACGGAGTGTCATTTTTAATCTGTCCTCCTCATAACTTTGTTGGAGCAGTTTCTGCGTAAGGAGCACACTCCTGTACATGAAGTCCGTATAGTGTGAACAAGCACGAGAATAACGTATCAATTGAGATATGTAAACACCATACGAAGGGGCAGAGGGTATGTTACTGCTGAGAAATGGGAAATTGATAATTGGGAAGTTGAAATCGTCCCGTTTATCATAGATTTTCGTGTGAAGTCGTCCATCTGTGTCAATATTGAGGAAAAGATCAAGGTATGAAGCAGTCCTTCTAGTATCAATAGTATCCTTAATTTCAAGTTCACTGGGATATATGAGATGTAAGTATTGGCTGAAATATGGGTTATTCAATGATAGAACATCATCAATATATCGGAAAGTAAAATTAAAGAATAATTATAATAGAGACCATATATTGTCTCGGCTATAAAATTGTGACTCGCTACACCTCCTATAAATTTCGTTTGTCCGAAGCGCTTTTCTTGATTTAATTTCACCAGGAACGCTCACATCCAAAAATTCGAAGGTCAGGGATGTATTAGTACTTGAACACGTAAGAAGTTAGCTGGTGAACAATAATAATTTATGTTGTAGTGGTGTTGGAAAGTCATCTCTATTAATGAGTTACGTTGAGAAAAGATTTCCAGGAGAGTACGTACCGTTTGTGTAAGTATATGTATTCATGCAGATCGTAAACAAACTACATAGACGAATGCTGTAACAATTGCAGAAACAAACAGAACTGTACAAGAACTGTTACATGTAAGCATAAAAAAATAATCAAAATAAAGATAAAATTTACAAAATATTTATATGAATTATATTATTTAGGATTCTTCATGTTAGTATAATTATATGGCATTATACATGTACGCAATATAAAAAAGAAGAAGATGTGGTATGATCACAATGAAAAATACTTTCCACCAACTAACAAAAAACGACCAAGATGTCTACGAGGAACAGTGCGACTTTAAAAAAAACAAAACAATTTCTTTTATTTGATATTGCATTATTTTCATCTTTTTCTGCTAACAGTGATTTAAACAAAATGTACACTATTCGTTTTAGATGTGACCTTCACGATTATAAACATAATATTCAACTTGATGATGCATTTGTGCAGTTGTGTCTGGTAGATACGGCTTGCAAAGAGGAATACGACAGATTGCGTCCTACGGCATACAAGGAAACAGTACGTGTAACTCTCATGATAGATATAGGTTCTTTATTGTCTCTTATTTTTTTAATACAGGGGATAAAAGAATGTTTAAAAGGCATCGATTTGATAGTAAAAGGTATCTTATTTAAAAATAAGGAAGGCGGAATATACCAAGGGGACATAACTCAAAAGTTGGAGAAATACTGACAGCACCGTGATATAAAAACTACACAGAAAACTACAGATTGAGCAACGCGAACCCCACCTACAACTTGGGATGATCCCAGGTGCTATTGATTAAAACTTACATACCCTGCAGGTGACAATGCTTTGTTTTTTTAATTTTTCCAATGAAATCTTGTTGCATATATCTATCAATTGAATATCTATCACAAATATATCAGGGTAATGCGATACTTGTTTCTCAGGTGTATATGAATTTATGTTTATAAGAAACACAGATCGTATAAGACGCGAAGTCGAAAATTTAGGAATGTTTAAATAAGGAAAATGAAAGTTCACTACAGGGAAATAATAATCGTGTTTAGTAAACAGTGTTTCATTTAAAATTATACTGGTTTCAATTTGTATCCATATCTTTTATCTGCAGGATATATTTTTGATATGCTTTTCCTTGGTGGACATTGACAGTTTTCAGAATGTCGAACAAAAAGTAAATAATTAGGATCTATTTAATTCATATAAACGTTGGTATAATAGAAAAACAAAGGATATGGGGTATCCATCCATGACACAAAATCAGTACATGCACAGCAAAAAAACACACAAAAAGCAAAGGAACTGCAGTTTCGTACAAACGCGCTATACAATGAAACTGATATATATATATCTGACATATGTCTAATTTAAATATTAAAAAGTAAACTTCGATGAAAAAGATCATGCAAAGGTATTTTCTGATCCCAGACTTTAATCATTTTTAAATTATTGTATATCTTGTGTAATCTGCATGGCCGTCAGTCAACCGTTGCAAAAAGATCATGACCTGTTAAATCCAATCTAATCAAATACATGTCGTTATTACCCAATTATTTATGTTCCTTGAAGCAAAATATAAATTTTATTTAAATGAGCTTTAGAAACGTGAAAAAAGCGAGTCTCACCGTTTCGTAAAAGTACAAATACATTTTCCGACAATGTACATTTCTATACCTATATGTTTTTTTCTGCAATTTAAACCTCACGATTAGTTTTTAATTCTTAATTGTTATCATTGAATTTTGATTAGAAACCAACATATAGCTTGAAAGCGAGGGCGTCAAAATGACCTACGACGTTAAAAATAATTTTGACATTACTATTTGCTCAACATAGAAGCGGGATACATTTTGTACCATTATACTTTATTTGTATATTATTCATCCACGTCATTTGATTTATTGTGAATAGTTGACTCATTGTCATCATACACCAATTCCTATTTTTTTTATATATATTTAACGCAAAACTACAATGACGCATCAGGCTGTTGAGTATGACAGTTTTACGCTCTCGGTTCGAACATTCATTAATTATCAAATGCATCCAAATATTTATCTTAATAAACAGATTACTGTGGTGAATATAAACATGATGCATATTTCTTTGCAGTGGATCCCTGAAGTACGACATCACTGTCCATTTATACCTTTTATTCTAATAGGAACAAAACTAGATCTCCGAGAAGATGTACTGAACGAGGCATCTGCCCAAGAAACACCGTTTGTTTCATACCAAGACGGAAGGTCTTTTGCTGATAAATTGAATGCGGCTGAATACATTGAGTGCTCAGCTCTTACACTGAAAGGGGTGAAATCTGTCTTCGATGAAGCAGCGAGAACAGTACTTACGACTACAATGACTAAAAAGAGCAAAACAAGCTTTGGAACGTTTTTATGCACTTTGTGATTATGTATGACCTTTAAAAGTTTACCTTGTCGGGCTTTGTTTCAAACTGTTTGTAGATAATAAATGATTTTATATCTATACTATTAAACGAGAAGACCTTATTTTGTGTGTCGCTTCTCTTCTTTCCACAATAAACCAATCATCATGACTCAGTGTCCTATAGGTACCATGCAAAGTCGCATTTGTCATCCTTGCTTATGAGTATCTAGTTTGGGTTATTTTGGGAGAAAAACGAAAATAAAGGTGTCCGGATATTGTTTCCGTCATCGGGCGGACTTTCAAGTCATAGACAAGACTTCCGTTTCGGACTGTTTTACAAAAATTTTCATAATAACTTGGGGACAGGACAATTATTTCGCGTTTTTCTGTATACTATGATCATACATATACTATAAAGAAGACGTATTTGCTATTTACTATCAATTCCAAGTTTACTATCCGCGGCTGTCACTGACATATTATATAAGGAGTCTCTATAATGACTATATTGCCTAGGATAGTAAACTTGGAAAGGATAGTAAATAGCAAATACACTTTATTTATAGTATATATGTTCATAGCATACAGAAAAACAGAAAACAAAAATAACGGACTTTGGTAAAAAGGGGGAGGGCTAAAAAAATATTGTCCTGTCATCAAATACCTATTACTTTTTATACCTTAATATTTCCTGAAATTCTCCAGTCATAAAATCTTTAACAAAAATTCATTCTTAAACAGTGCATACTTTCAACCACGCTCTAAATGCCCGCGATTTCGCGGATGTGTTCTAGTATTTATGAATTAAGGAAACTAAAGTGAATCTTGAAACTTTAAGGATATGCTTTTTTGTAATCATATTCAATTTGATTCATTGCTTTTTGTTAAAACCACTTCAGATTTGTTAATATATTTTCCAGATACATGTTAATATTGAAAAAAAAGATTAATTGTATGGCCTAGAGATTACGGTTTCTGAAGAGAACTGGACCCAAGTAATAAGTTTAACATATTTTTACGTGTACATTTAAGTATGTGTACTCTAATCAAGAAGTCGAATATGCCAAGCGTGACCGATCAGGCAAAACTATGTATGCAATTTTGACGCTTATGATATCTTGTTGGGATATTTCTAGATTATCAATAATGGTACGCAGAAACATGATGATAAAATAAACGGTGACAGTTTAGGAAATGGATGATTAATTTTATCATGATGGGGAAAAAAAGACATAACATGTTTAACCACGACACATCTTTTATGTACCTGTCCCAAGCTAGGAGTGGTTGTCGTTAGATGCTGTCGACCATAATTGGTTTCCCTTTATTGTTGTAGTAAACACAGGACATAGGTTTTCTCATTTTAATTTTTAACATTTTTTAATCCCTGTGACACCAGTCATAAAACTTCAATCAGTATCCAGAGTACAATATTTGTGCTCGAAACACTAAATCAAGAATTTTGATAGAATGATTTCGGAGTCTGTGAACGATAATCGTACTTAAAATGTATATATATGACATAATTTTTTAAATCTTACACAGTCAGGCTTTTACCCCTCGGTCGATAAAAAAAGAATATTTGCTTCGCATCACGATGCGGGGCTATTAGTTTCAGTCGATATTAAACACGCCATCTTGAAATAATTACTCATCACATATAGATTCTGATTGGTTGCTTTATGATGCGGCTGAGATACAGCAACAGCTATTGGCTTAAATGAGATAAAGAATTACAGACTTTTCTCGTCTCAGGATAAGACATCAAATGCCGGAAAATTAACTATGTGTATTTCAGTTCCGATCAACTGTCATTAATTCGTGTTCGTTGTATTATGCATATATTGCATACTGAAATTCAATATTGAAATATCAGTTATTAATACGTGTTTATTTTCTTTGTTAATCTGCAATATGCACGATTTGTTTTGCTAAACAATGTTCCTATACAATGTTTACAAAAATGCATAATCTGTATTTTATAACTTCTGCCAATCTAGGCACATCTCCAGAGAGGCACACCTCCAGAGTCGTGTCTATTTGTAAATGTTTTAATTTTCAACTAGTGAAGTGAACAAAATTTTAAAAGCATGGGTGTATAACGCACACTCTTAAAGTAGAACAACATCATTTCCACTGAAACTAATAAAATATTTATTGCTGTTTCTTATTTATTTTAACTATTGTAAATATCTTTTGGTTGTACAAGTCTTTGTTTACTCCTTGGTTTTGATTGTTATTGTCTTCATCACTCATAATCATGTTACTCTTAATCAACATACCTAAACATTCATATATATCTAAATAATTTATATACAGAACTAGCAATCAAAGTCGCAAGTCAATGACCAGCTGAAAGAACTAGAAAACCACACTCCACAAAAACACATTGACAACTAAACACTGAACAGCCAGTTTAAAATTTCAGAAAAGTTCATCTTAATATATATACAAAAATTGATATTCCAAGTCTAAGACATCCATCTTATATCAATCAATATCTAAAAATACCACACTTCCAATACCAAATCAACAACCACAAGCACACATATTACCTTAAATTAGGATAGAGCGAAGCAGTCCACAGCTTTTTAGAAAGCTCAAACTTGTTTAACATTATGTTCGTCTATCTGACTTGCACCAAAATTTCTATTTCTGGTATATGTCGATAGAGCTTGTCCACAGCAAAAAAAAAATGGTTCTATTTCATTTTCTGATAATTACACGCACTAACTTTTGAATGTCATTTAATCTTCAAGCAATAAAGTTAATACGGAGATGCCAAATAAGGCCCTCACCGACCGGTGTCTTCCCGATTGTCCCACTTTTTTGAAATTACAGGTAAAAATGTAATGAAATTTTGTGGGACAATCGGGAAGATGTTTGTGGGACAATTGGGAAGTTTAAATGTGGGACAATTGGGAATTGTTTTGATAGTGATTAATTTGTTTTTAAAGTGTGTAGCAGATAATTACAAGTTATTATGTAACTCATAAAATTTGAAATAAACATTGAGAAAAGATGGTATTTACATATTTATTTTGTTTTGTGATATTTTGTTAAACTACTGTCCAAATAAAGAACAATTATATAACAAAATAGATATATTTTAACTTAATAAATTATTAAATAGACTCTTTTAGCATAAATTGTAAATTGAACATATAGTACATAATTGAAAAATTTAGAAGTATCAAGGATAAAATAAAATTAGATTAAAAGATGTGTTTAAGAGAAATACAAAGAGATAAGAATAATTTTACATGTTACAAAGTTTCAGGGATTTGTTCTAAAATTGACAGGTTTTAAGCTGATATTAGATATAGACTATCCATAAAACAAAGAAATGAAACATATTCTATATAATAAGTCTGATCATAATATTGTTCAAGTAAGCATTCAATTCAAGCAAAACAAGAGGCTCTCAAGAGCCTGAATCGCTCACCTGTATTTCAGAGAAGATTTTTAAATGTTAGCAAACTTGATGAACAAATTGTGTAAAATTGTCTTTAAAGGGCAATAACTCCTTAAGGGGTCAATTGACAATTTTGGTCATATTAACTTTTTTGTAGATCTTACTTTACTGAACATTATTGCTGCTTACAGTTTATATATATCTATAATAATATTCAAAATAATAACAAAAAACTGCAAAATTTTGTTAAAACTACCAATTCGGTGGCAGCAACCCAACAATGGGTTGTTCGATTCGTCTGATAATTTCAGGGCCGATAGATATTGACCAATTTAACAATTTTACCCCATGTCAGATTTGCTCTAAAAGATTTAGTTTTTGAGATATAAGCCAAAAACTGCATTTGACCCTTATGTTCTATTTTTAGCCATGGCGGCCATGTTTGTCGATGGAAACAAACTTCGGATACAATTTTTAAACAAGATACCCTAAGGAACATTTAGTTAAAGTTTGAAGGTAATGGGCCCAGTAGTTTCAGAGGAGAAGAATTTTAAATGTTAGCAAATTTGATGAACAAATTGTGTAAAATTGTCTTTAAAGGGCAATAACTCCTTAAGGGGTCAATTGACAATTATGGTCATATTAATTTTTTTATAGATCTTACTTTGCTGAACATTATTGCTGCTTACAGTTTATATATATCTATAATAATATTCAAAAAAATAACAAAAAACTGCAAAATTTTGTTAAAACTACCAATTCGGTGGCAGCAACCCAACAATGGGTTGTTCGATTCGTCTGATAATTTCAGGGCCGATAGATCTTGACCAATTGAACAATTTTACCCCATGTCAGATTTGCTCTAAAAGCTTTAGTTTTTGAGATATAAGCCAAAAATTGCATTTGACCCATATGTTCTATTTTTAGCCATGGCGGCCATGTTTGTCGATGGATCAAAACTTCGGATACAAAACATAAACTAGATACCCTAAGGAACATTTAGTTAAAGTGTGAAGGTATTTGGCCCAGTCGTTTCAGAGGAGAAGATTTTTGAAATAGTTTACGACGACAGACGACGACGACAGACGACGGACGACGACGGACGCCAAGTGATGGCATAAAAATGGGGAAAGTTTTATTTGAATATTAATAAGAAAATCCTTGAATTAGAAAATCATAAACTTAAAACGAAATAATATGCAGATATGTTCATTGTATAGATATCTGGTCTAACTTTACACAATAAGAATAAACTGACCCCAGCCAGGTCCAACCAATGAACAGAAATTTGGAATTTGTTGCTTCTCCTTAAAGGACGCTACATTTTGGACTAAGAGGAAAGACTGGTCAGTCCTTACTTAGAATAATTTGTCTATGTATGGTGACACATGTGTCTTCCTGCGGACTGTTATCCTGTGAACTAGCAAGTTAAAATTCCGGCTTGATGACTGTGTCGGTCTAGTTCTTTTCAAAGAAGGTTTCATATTCATCTAACACCAACATGTTCTCGTCCTGCTTAAAGCATTTAACTTGCCACTGGACGTTTTTAAAACAGTGTATGAGTTCAGAGGACATTGATGACATTTCTGGTCCACATCTATCTCTTTTCCCTTAGTGAGAATATATGTTGAGACCTTGCAATCTATTTTATTACATATAAAAATTGCTTATGTAATATTGAGATTGTAAATGTTTTGTTTTTTTAAATCAGTCGCTTAACCTAACATAATAGATATCGTTTATTACATATATGTTATATTGCTTAATCAAAAGTGCATTTTAACTGATGATTTATTTAACAATTCATAGTTACATTTATAAAATTGATATCAACTACTAGTTTGCTCATGCAATAATCAATTTTAATTTGATATTGCAAAACAAACAACAATTACATTGTTTATTTAAGAACATTAAAAATAATGTGGGACAATCAGAACTTTTCATGTGGGACAATCAGAACTCTTAAATTTTAAAAAGTGGGACAATCGGGAATAAACCCACCGACCATTCTCTTTTGTTTTGATTCTGAAGGGGGAGGATTTTGGAAATAAATACTCTAGCACCCATTGAGTTGGAAAACATAATATTGCCTTATCACACATGAAAATGAATATTCTGAAATATTTCCTTTACAGAAGTTTTAATGAAATTATATTTTCATGTATCATATAGACTGCACATATATATTTTTAATTTCACGATCTGTATCATGAAAGTTTAACTACTTAAAGTCCCCTTTAGAATCATTTGATTCGGGGGAGCAGAAAATAAATATTCTGGTCCTTGTCTGAGTGGAAATAGATAATATGGCCGCCTTGAAGTTGGATATAAACATACTGAACTCAACTTGTCAGAACCCCCACCCCTTCTAAGTGGTTTTGGGGTAGAAGAAAGACCACAGGGCTCAAATTTTTATTTACCTGAAATTACTAGACAATTCTTGAATCAGAAAATATCTAACCAATTTAAAAAAAGCAACGGTACTAATATAAGATGGTAATATACGAAGACGACGTTATAAAATAACATCAGCTTCGTATATTACCATCTTATATATACGTCATACTCGATACACTGGCGCTGTTGGAATGTTGTTACACAGAAATGGAAAGATCGCAATGGAAAAATTGAAATAATACCTTTTGTCGTAAAGCTGATATGTTCCAATTGTCGTAACTACAACCCGTCCTCTTTTTCCCGAATGTGACAAAAGAATTAGACTTATCACCGGGTTTGTACTTACATGAGCAACACGACGGGTGCCACATGTGGAGCAGGATCTGCTTACCTTTCCGGAGACCTGAGATCACCCTAAGTTTTTAGGGTGTATGTGTTGCTCAGTTTTTGGTTTTCTATGTTGTGTTTTGTGTCTTTTTATTTTTTAGCCGTGGCGTTGTCAGTTTATTTTCGACTTATGAGTTTTAACTGTCCCTTTGGTATCCTTCGCCTCTCTTTTAGTTCTCAACCGACGCTCATTGCCAATTTCTTATTATATTTGAAAATCAAAGGATATGGGGTATTCATCCATGACATTAATATATAAGTATAGATATGAAGCAGACTTTACTCTATTGGTATGATCCTTTATTTCATGTTCATTTGGGTTAGTAGGGGCGGATCCAGCCATTTTCAAAAGGGAGGGGGGGTTGGGGGTTCCCAACCCAGGATAAAGGAGGGGTTCCAACCATTTGTCCCCATTCAAATGCATCGATCGACCAAAAAAGGGGGTTCCAACTTCCAACCTCCGGACCCCCCACCCCCCCCCCTCCCCCTTCTGGATCCGCCACTGTTTAGATGCACAGTTTCTAGCATCTAGAACAAGCCAGTGTTAGAACATCATCCATATAGCGGAAAATGAAGTTAAAGAATAATGCCAGCTTTTTTTCATCTGTATTGCTCATCTTTTGTATGGAGACTGCCTTATAAGAATAAAGGAATAAGTCGGTAAGTAGAGGCACACAGTTGGTTTCTTATAGGAATACTGATGATATGTTGAATAACAAATTCCCTAAACGTGTTGTCGATAAAAAAATCCAGCATTTTGATAATATTAGTTTCATTGATTTTTTGTTCGAATCAGAGTTTTTTTTTACAAAGTCAGAATTGTACTTTCCTAAACCGAGATATTTGTATATGCGTTGGCCATTTTTTTTTTCTCAGGAAACAAAGTTTAACTTGTTCTGTCAATCTATTGCTTAGAATAAACAAAGGATAACAGGATTTACCGAAAATATTGTATCATTAAACAAACCACACCAACCTACATATATTTCTCACAGGAAATAGACGCGATCTTATAACGATAAACAATAACGCACAACAAATGATACACATTCTTAGAAACGTTGTAAACTTACTTATGATTCATTATACACAATGTATAATCATTTCCTACAAGTTTAGTTTATTATTATTATTTGTACGCTAACATTATGTATTTTTGTTGATCATAAAATATTATCATGCTTTCTATGTCGTTTCAGTTTTATGCGATATGTTTTATTGGTTACAATATCATAGCCTGGAAATTCAAAAAATTATTAGAAACAAGCACTGCTTCTAGTGGGATTAATTTTTGCCCCCAAAAAGATGAAATTTTATACATAACTTAGAAATATTATTTCTTCAAAACCATGGCCAATTTTGGGCAAATTATTTCAGGAAACATGATGCAGCTTCAAAAAGTTAACAGACGGTCGGACGAGGGACACCAAGTCATACTATATTATCCTTTAAAATTCAAGTTGGCAAATACATGCTGAATACAAACGTAAACTTTGTAAAATTAGTCGTTGTACAATGTATAATCATTTCCTACAAGCTTACGCTAAATAATTATTATTCGATCATACCACGCTTTTTATGTCCTTACAGAACTATACACAATATGAACGTACATATTTCCGGGTGTTTTGTTTACTTTGATAATCTTTATTATTAAAGAGAAATCATTTGGTTATAAATATTGCATGACGATGCAGCATATAAAATGTGTCGTTGTAGGAGACGGGTAAGTAAGATGTATTTACTTATCATGTTCATATTCAATTCATTCAATATTTGTTTGAAAATCAATGAAATGAGACGTTGGGTAAACGTTAATTTAACTGCGATACAACTAGAAAAAACATCAAGATATTACGGTCTTCGGCATCCGTATAACATGTTTATTGGCAATTAGTACATTTTTTCTTTGATCCAACTGCCTTATATTGGTTAGATCATGGACTGGACTTAATACTCGAAAATATACGTATCAATGCAGCAACGTCGCGTGTTCATGTTCATTCGTGTCAATTTATCAATGAAATGCACCTGACTTCATTCATATGTAACCAAACAACTACCACTGAGTACGCGTAAAAGTAGTTTTATTAACTAATTAATTTTATTTCATATTCTCAACCCCCCAAAAAAAACGAATTGTAAAAACAAATTTCCGATACTAAGAATGATGGCATTTTGTTTTTTTTTATACTGGCTTCCATCCACTTCATTTGAACTTTGTAGAATAGTTATCTCATTGTCAATCATACCACATCTTCTATTTTCATATTCATCAGCTCGATCGAATATCAACTCGCCCTAGCGGGCTCCTAGCGAGCTCGTTTGATTTTCTTGCTGATAAAGTCAGTATCAAAAGTAAAAGTGTTATTATTCTATATATATATATTGATTGAGTGTTGCTTGCTTTATATAATAAATAACGCCGCGGCAATGTTTTATGCATAATCAAGACGTGTCCAAAAACTACGTTGAGTTTTTGATAAGTTATGGATCAATTCAACAGATTTCTAAATGAAAAAAAATATTTTCCAAAAAAAACCGACTTAGAATACACACATGTTTCAACTAAAAGTAAATAAGGCAATATATTAACCATCTAGCAATCTTCCTCAAGCTACTAGTGCTTCCTCAAGCTACTAGTACTTCCTCAAGCTACTAGTACTTCCTCAAGTACTTACTATCTACTAATATTCTTTGTACTTACATGTACTAATATACATATTCACTTGCAAAGTACTGACAAGTCCTATTGACACAGGGAACTATTATAGATAGTGGTAATCAACAGAATATAACATGATTCGATAATAAATGAGATTGAAATTTCTAAATATTACTGCTCATTCATGCTTTGTCAACGTATATTTGTTCCGCCTAACAGAAGTTCTACTGGAAACTTTGTTATAAACAATGTCATAATATCTGTTCCTGTTGAAACACATATTCTACTTCCATTTATTCCGTTAGGAACATTTACTGTTGTATTTATTCCAGTGGAAATAATATTACAGAATATTATTTTCATTTGGAACTTATATTATGAAGTAACTTCTATTCCGTGACAGCTTTAGGTTAATTATAATCAGAAGTAAACAGTAGACGGTGAAAAATAGACTGTGTTTGATTGTTGTAGAGGCGTACGCCAAAACTGCAAAAAAACGGCAATTCGCATTTCACTTTTATTCTATAATACATGTAACTCTTATCAACCAATAAGCGCGAATTAAAGAATATAAAAAATATTAAACTGCAAGATAATTCGTTTTGATTATGATATTTTTCACTATTTTCAGATATGTAGGAAAGACATGTATTTTAATGTCTTATTCTAGCAACAAATTCCAACATGAACACGTTCCTTCAATGTAAGATATCTCACATGTAGTGGTAATACAAAACTTGATTATATTTTCATCTTATACTTTTTGCATTCTTTGGTCGGGTTGTTGTCTCTTTGACATATTCCCCATTTCCATTATCAATTTTATTAAATGGAAAAACCTTCATAAAGAGTATTCACATGGGACTATTGCAAAGTATATAAAGTTTATTTGGAGAGACATATTTGATGGTTCTTATCTGACTACTATCCTCCCCATGTTTATATCGATCAGTTGAAAGCCTCTACGTTTCCTAAAGTTGCGCACATTAAAATGCAATTCTGGAAAAGTATTTAGCTGGTATATATTGTATGTATTACAGATGAAAAAATTGCCTGTTACAATTAATACAATACTAAATAATATCGGGAAGTGCTTATTGTGCTGGTATACAAATAGGATGGTTTACGTCCGAATGGATTTCATATATTCAGGATTAATGCGGGAAAACAAAATTTTGTCATATGCTTAAAGTCTGTTTTAAAACTTCTGTACAGAAAAAAAAACAAAATGATGAGAATATAATCAGTTTCATATTATAAATAAGCGAATCAATTTACCGCCCTACTCCCGAAAAAAATGTAACCCCCCTTAAAATATGTATAGATATAACAAGATGCAATTATTTCACCACACCCGTATACTTATATAACTTAATAATTATAGGTCTTTCAAATCTAAAAGTTGACATTGGATGAAATTGTAAACTGTTATTTTAATTTTTTTATAAATGATTCATTTCATTTGCGCAAACAACGAAAACATTCGTTACAAAAATACTTATCTCTATAAAAAGCTTATAATTTATAGATTTGACAATTATAATGCGAATTTAATGGTAGATGGTAATTGTATAGAGCTAGGGTTATGGGATACAGCAGGACAAGATGACTATGACAGACTGAGACCATTGTCGTATCCACTCACAGTAAGTTTTCAAGTTTTTACACTTGCACACATGCAAACGTTGCATACGATTTATCGATTAAGACAGGGTTTCGGTTTTTTTCTAAGCCTTTTACTTCAAATCAAATATAAATGTCGAGTTAACGTACTTCAAAAACAATTACTTCACATTATTTCATGTAATATTGCTTTCAAACTAATAAAATGTTTCTATTTGTAATTTCTTTAAGCCGAAATTTATGTTTACTACAACGAACTGTTTATGAGTTGTGTGTGAATAGTTTAAATTAAGTGTTAAATTATGAATGTTACGAGTTGGACTTTTTTTTTAAAACTAACTAATTGTGATATGCTAAATGCATTATTTTGCAAAGTAGTATCGATTCATTGACTGCTAAACGTCCAGTGGCTAATGTTACATGCACATTCAGGATGACAACTAAATTAATTAAATTAACCATCCTACTCAGACACATTATTCTGACTCCGATGTAATTTTAACCCCCTAGTGCTTTGCTTAGAAGCAGTTATCACCATTTTGAAGTCTTTGATCATCGATCCCACCAACCCAGCATTCGAAGCGAACCGAGACAGCTATGCACTGTTACTTTATAAAGTGGGTGAATTTTAGACAACGTCCATGCTTGTATTTATATAGAGTTTGCGGTGTAACGTGTTTGGATATGTTGATACGATATTCTATCCAGTTGTAACTTTGTTTTAGATTTGCCAAATATGCAAGAACCAATTTGAACTTTCCCGTTTCTTCCTGCCATTCAAACCCAAAATATTGACTGAAGTTACGAAATATGGTCACCGACATTAAAATCAAAGCTAAAGAGTGCACCCGTTTGACTGCGTGGGATGTGTAAATACACAGCCACATTTGTTTGCAAACAGAACGTTTTATCTGAAGCACAGTGAAGAGGGAGTGCCTGTTACTGTATACTAAGTCTAAACGACTGCCCTATCATATATTACCTCTTTTTCAGTGGCTGTCAAAATTCTATCCCTGTATTCCCGTCGATCCACACTTTGGGGTTATTGTAATACTACATTTGTTTTCGTGTTAAATGTAAAGTATTTGACACTGGACATTAAGCACACAACAATCAATATATCAGTCGTATCATTTTGTTGGTAAATAAGTTGTCCATTGATTTCTTAATCTATTATTGTAATGAAAACATGTTGACTTTACTAAAAAAAACAGCTTCATTGTACCAATATTCGTCCAGTAGATTTAGTCAATAAAAAAATCTGGTGTAATATTCTCAATTTACAATATGTCCGCATCATATGTAATCTGAGTTTTCTTATTTGATTAGACACATGTAATAAGATATCTATAGTGGCTTTCATATCGTTAGACAGCATATTTCGACACGTGTTCATATGTAGATACATGCTTAACAAGCTTAAGGATGACCTATTAAATTAAGTGTTTTTAATTATCGATCATAATTACTATAAAATTGATGCAATAATGTAGAAAAATAAAAATAAATAGTGTTAATTTTGTAAATTCAGGCGATAAAAAAGGCTCGTCTTCAAACGAATGCTTATCGTCCAGTGGCAAATATTTCATGAAATTAAGACAAAATCAAATTAACAATAAATAAGGTTCAGAAAAGTAGATTGCCCGGCGTGAAGGACGGAAGATGGAGGGTGAATGTTCATCAGACCCCTGAAAGAGGTGTTGCACGGGTTCTTAAACTTGCTGAAAAAGTGTCACATTCCCTATACACGAACTTTAACTTGAAGCTCACAAGTGTGAACGGAGGTTTTAAGCATCTAACCAAAAAAGGAATCCCATCTTTATTAAGGGTTCAATTTGTGAATAAAAGTCAAACTGACAATATCTATATGAAAGTCAATACTTGGGGTTAAATGCACATAGAGTATCCCATTTAAAGCAAGAGGTATTTCATGCAACGTCCTTAATTTCTATTTCTGTCTTAAACTACGACCAGTGTTATGTTCCTATAACATGTTTGTCCAGTGAATATTTTAAAGAAATTTACTTCATTGAAAATTTTTTGCAGGACATATTCCTTTTGTGTTTCACTGTTGAAGGTCCAGTAAGTTACCAAAATATTGAACTAAAAGTAAGTTTAAGGATTATAATAATCAGCAGCCGTTTGTACGAACGTGTCATTAGCCTAATGCATCATAAAGGCTAAATGAAGACTTAATGACCAATTAGGCTAATGACACGTTCGTACAACCGGCTGCATCTGCTATGGACAAGATAGAATAAAGCATATAGATGCCAGATTTCAGATGCTAGATATTAGTTCTCCTGTTCAGAATTGGATAAATATACATACAGTGTATGCAAAGAGTTTTTACATATGTAGTGGACAACAAACGGTCAGCAACAAATTGAGTCCGGAATTATAATATATGTCGAGCTGTAAATCGGCCAGAATCTGGACAAAGTTGTGACAAATAAATTTAACAAATACAAAAAACATGCCAGAAAACTGCAATTATTACAAGACAGAAATACTGAGATGTATTTAAAGACAACATATGCCAGAGTTAGATTTTTTTACGGCTCATTACTTAATAACTGTGACCAGTGGAACTTCGGAAAGCGCAAAGTAGAATTCACAGCGTAAATGAAAATCAGTTCAATATAATAGCCTCACACTATCATATTGGTAGTTCAAGCAAAAGAACATGCACAGCTGAAAGTAAACAATAATAAATACCGTGCTAAAGAATCTGTCTAGTTACAGAAACAATAGGCGGAAGATACCAAGGGACATTTGAAACTCATAAGTCGAATAAATCTGACAATGCCATGACAAAAATTGCAACATGATGTAAAGACAAACAGGCCCACACATTTCAATAATACTAACATAAAAAACTATTGATTGGGCAACACGAACCCCTTTAAAAACTAGGGATGGTTTCATGTGCTCCGGAAGGGTAAGTATATCCTGCTCCATTAGTGGCACTTGTCATGTTGATCATAGTAAGGAATCTTAGGTATAAGTTCTTTGTACTGTCATATCAGCTGCTGTACTTCCAAGTATATTTCATACAGCAGCGCCATGACGTGTGAAATCTATTAAAGCCCAATGTAAATAAGTAGGCTACATTTCATTACAAAAAGAAAAAGAAATCTAATACCCCAAAAGTATATGTAATGCATAAGGGAGGATATTGTGTATAAATTCATGACATTAAACCACTGAGCGGAACACATGACATAATAACAAGCATCTTCACATAAAATCACTACGCACACATGAACAAACAAAAATCATAGGAACAGGATATAAAAGATTTAATTTTTATTTTGTTTTTTTGTGCGAACAGCGCAAGAAATGCACGGTTTTTGATAAATGCGACTTTTTGTATTGTTAACCTATAAGTTATATCAATCTTTTCATTAAAACCCATTAACACATTATCAAATTTATCCGATATCAAAGAGCATAATTTCGTAATCAAGTATATTCATATCCATGAAATGCAAATCACTGTCTGAAAAAAAAAGAGCTTTTCTTTTTACATTTCAGTGGTTTCCCGAAGTCCGCCATCACTGTCATGACGCACCACTGTTACTTGTTGGAACAAAGATTGACTTAAGAAATACATATGAAAGAATGAAAAACAAGCCACAGACACAGGAACAAACGTTTATAACACACGAACAGGGACAGGCACTAGCTGAGAAAATAAGAGCCGAAAAATACGTAGAATGCTCTGCAATGACACAAGAGGGTCTAAAGGAAGTTTTTGAAGATGCTGTTAGAATAGTTCTACATCACAAGAAAATAAGACAGGACGGTCAAGGGAAATGTGGTTTACTATAACCATATTTCACTATTGTATTTTACTGTTATAAGAATAAAATACTCGTTTTCATTGAGAATATTATTACTCTATATGGATTTTTATTTGACGAAACGTACCAAAATTGAACTTGCCTTTATATTTTTTTAAAAGGACACCAAATGCACCTAACAGAGATAAGCCATCAAAAGCACTTGACATAACTTCTATTTTTGATTGGACTACACGATATGTATGTATACGTTGCAAAAATATTTAGTTTTTGTCTAGACTTTCTCTATACCCGTGGATTTTGGTTTTGGATTGGATCGAGTGTCTTTTTCTATGAGCATGTTTTTTTACTTGAGGATGCTTTTGTTTCGATTTTTGTTGTTGTTGAGTTTTTTTGGGAGGAGGGGGGTGAAAACAATAGAAGATTATGTTTGCGAACTAACTTAAAGTAAATCATTGAAGGATGCGATAAGGATACTATAGATTTTCGTTAGTGGAAAGCATGTTTTTACTATCTTCCTCATTTTAGTAGATTTTGTTTATTTGCGAACAAGGAAGATTTTATAAGCATACAACGTATCGGGAAATATAAGATGAATACCTGTCAATCATAAATGCCAGCTATAAGATCTAATTATAAACTCAACTCAACGTGCGGAACGTACATCGCTTTACTATTATGGGATTTTGTTTATGGTTTAACAATAAAAAAAGCTAAATAGTAAAAATTTTGTTTGGAGATAAAAGATTAAACTTGTTACCTGTACATCTTATTATAATAAAATATTGTTATATTCTTTTTAACTTTTTTTTATGTATAACTACATGAAACTAATTCTAACTCATATCATCTCAACCGACAGAACATTTATTTATGATATTCAAAGGGGAAATTTCTTTAAATGTATAATATTTACACATAAATAAATAAAGAAGTGGATTGTACATGTACCGCGTATCACAATTTGAAAAATGGAAACTTATACAGTGAATTAGAATTATTATCGATCTTTTTTTTTGTTTTGCGTTTTTTTTTTTTGGGGGGGGGGGGGGGGGGGTTGAGGGTGGGTGAGCATTGACTCTTGAATTTTCATTTACTGCAATTTATTTCCCTCGAAAGGAATAGCACTGTTTTCTTCCTAATTGAAGTGTTTTCTGGAGTAGTAATTAGAATTCTACATGTACGTCTAATTTCACGTTATCTCATGGTAACGTGCTAAGAATATTGTGTCTGGGTAGGTTGACAGGTTTTCCCCGTGAACTATCACGCTAAGAATATTGTGTCTGGGTAGGTTGACAGGTTTTCCCCGTGAACTATCACGCTAAGAATATTGTGTCTGGGTAGGTTGACAGGTTTTCCCCGTGAACTATCACGCTAAGAATATTGTGTCTGGGTAGGTTGACAGGTTTTCCCCGTGAACTATCACGCTAAGAATATTGTGTCTGGGTAGGTTGACAGGTTTTCCCCGTGAACTATCACGTTTGATGCTATGTGTCTGGGTAGGTTGACAGGTTTTCCCCGTGAACTATCACGCTAAGAATATTGTGTCTGGGTAGGTTGACAGGTTTTCCCCGTGAACTATCACGTTTGATGCTATGTGTCTGGGTAGGTTGACAGGTTTTCCCCGTGAACTATCACGTTTGATGCTATGTGTCTGGGTAGGTTGACAGGTTTTCCCCGTGAACTATCACGTTTGATGCTATGTGTCTGGGTAGGTTGACAGGTTTTCCCCGTGAACTATCACGTTTGATGCTATGTGTCTGGGTAGGTTGACAGGTTTTCCCCGTGAACTATCACGTTTGATGCTATGTGTCTGGGTAGGTTGACAGGTTTTCCCCGTGAACTATCACGTTTGATGCTGGTACAGTATAAAGCAGCGGGGTTCATATTCATATTATTTTAACATTTTCTCGTCCTGATATGCCTGTAGTATTTGCCTTTGTGCGATGAACACTAGTCTACCTTTCTACGTTAAATTGCATGGGCTATTATATTTAAGTAAATATTCATGGTAATTAATGATATTTCATAAATTTGTAAACTTGTAATTGCAAGTAATTGATAAAAATAATAGTTAAGAAAGCCAAAAATATATATAGATATTAGAGCATAAAACTTAAAAGGCCTTTCCAGAACAAGCGAAGCCGTCTAGTTGCAATTTTACCTGAGGGGTATCAAAACCTTAGTATTATAACATGCAATATATACTATAACCATCAATTATCTCGAAATATAAGTAGTCCATTTTAATTTCAAAACTTCAAAGAACTGAAATTGGTGGTTGTCCAATCGGTTTTCGAAGACCCTCGGTTATAGCTTTCCAAAACAATTCTTCACCCATACCTTTCTTATATTTAAGGTGAGGTGTACTGTCCAGTAAGGTACGCAAGGGACTGGTCATGTTTTTCGAATTTATATTTTCAAGCATTATCAAAAGAAGAACTTCTCGACCTTGCCTTCGTCGTCTTTCTTGAACAATGTCAACTTCCCACTGACACCATTCACTTTTGGCAAATGCATTTGACATTATGACAACGACTTTCCAAGATTTTTTCAATAATGTATCTACATTTCCAATTATCGTTTCACCTACAGCAAAATCTCTGTGATGAATGCACAGTTTAAATCCTTCCTCGTTTTCAAGCTTCTTGACAAACTCGTTATGCACCCATAAACGGTTAGAATCGCAGTAAACGACAAACGCGTGATACTCATAATCTTCACTGTTATCTATTGGAAGATAACCCTGTCGTCGTCGTCGACTTACTTTTAAAAGATATATATAATTCTTTAAATTAGTATAGCACCTTACAAAAACTGTTATTGATACAATAATGATAAATCCGAAGACTGACATTGAAATTGCTATGGTAAAAAGTGGATTCCAGGGAGTACATGACTCAACAGTTGGCTTATAGTCTTTAAGTTGCACACCGTTTAAAGCTGGTGGTTGCACACAACGATATCTTTTTGGATAATTGACAATATCAATTTTGGTACTTCTGAGCCAATTGACAAACCACATTTGGTGGCAGGTACAAGAAAACTGGTTCGTAGCAAGATTTATTCTACGCAAACTTGACAACAGCTGAGGTGGAATGGATGATTTATTTACAACTTTGATATAGTTGTTACTCACGTCAAGTTCTTGTAGAGTAGTTACATTGTCAAATATTCTAGCCTCGTCCCAACCATATATCTTATTTGAATTAATGCTTAGGGTTTCCAAAAGAGACATTTTTGAGAACACTTGGTTTGGCAAATAAGTTAGCTTAGTTAACTCTAGATTAAGGTATATCAGCCTTTCTAAAGGAAAAAGCATTGGTCCTAAAAGTATCCTACCAGGATTTATATCATTTTGAGCAAGGTCCAAATGTTGGAGATTTTTGCAGTTTGAAAACAGATCTGCGAGAGCAGATAGATTCAATTTATCAAAATGGAAATTACAGTCACGTAAGGACAAATGTCTTAGAGAGGTACTGTTGAAAGCTCCTTTCTCTAAAGTATCTAAGTTTTTTCCTCCGACAGCCATGAGGTATAATTTTGTCAAAGAATTCAAATATGCGAATGTGTTTGTTTGAATACGTTTCAACGAATTTTGTTCCAAGCGAAGTTCTTTCAGCCTTGGGAGGCATCTAACTGGTCGTAGATTCTTTAAACTGTTAAAGGCCAAACTAAGAAATGCCAAATTTGGCATTTTACTGTTGCTGGTATTATGAAAGCAAAAAGAAGGAATGTCGCTAATGTCATTATATCCAAGATCCAGTCGTTGAACATTCGATAGATATCCTAATATAACTGTTCTTATTTGATTTTGTTGGAGATTTAGCTTAATCAATTTTTCTACATTTGAAAATGTTGACAAATTGAAAACATTAAAGTTGTTGCCTGTAAGAGCAATGATTTTAGATTTCCTGTTTTGAAGAGAATCAAACATATCAATCGGGACCTCCTTCCAAGCGTTGTCGGTAAAACTAATTCTTCGTAGCTGATTTGGAGATATATTTTTCAAAGCATTCCTAACATCAATCGGATTCAAGGCTGATTCTTCGCAAATAGATAATTGTATCATGGTTGTCATATGTAAAAACGCGTCTGTTTTCATCTCCTGAATCCCATTGTTAGTGAAGTTCAGACGTGTCACATTACTATTTGTGAGGTTTGCCATTGTTATTCCAGAAAGTATTTTTATTTGCCCGTTCATAAACGTTATCTGTTTAACCCTTGCTGGCATACGTGGAATATATTCTCCTGAACAGATAGCCTCAAAGTCTTGACATGTGCATATTGAAGAAGGACATGGTGAATCGACAATTCCTCCAACACTAGTTGTTTGCATGAACTGCATGTAAATGACAAGCAACAGGAAGAAAAATTTAAGCCCTGTAATACAAAAATTAGAAAAAAGAAAAAAAAATAGGGTAATTATGTGTTTTTAATAATGGAAAACTTGGTCTTGAGAACTAATTTCATACACAAGGGAGATTTGATGTGACTAGAAAAACCTATCTTAGCCAGGCTCTTTCTAGTTAAGCTCGAGAAATTTAGGAAGTTTTATTTTATTCATTCCAATCCGCCACGATTCATCGCTTTTTGTCGTTAGATTTGACTCTTTGATATAAATGGCTCCCCTGTGTCTTTAGTATTTCAATCGTTGCTTATTCTCAAACAGTGTCGTTCTATCCCAAAAAACAAATATGTCTAAAAATAGTATCAACAAAAATACCAAACTAAAAAGTAAATTCGAAAAGAGAAGTCCATAAAAACTGACAAAATCAGACGTTAGACGTTATTAACCAACGGAAAATATGGAAAACAACTGTCATGTTCCTGACTTTGTCCAGGAAAGCAATTGGAGATAACTGATTAAAGAATCAACAAAAGAAAAAATGTTAAGATGTGTTTTTGCAAAAAAAATCTTTATGAATCTGTCAGATTTTATGTAATACTCATACATTAGTTATATTATCTATGTTAAATTGGCGCCTGTTAAAACGTTAAACCCGCTGCATTTGTTTGCACCTGTCCTAAGTCAGGAACCTGTTTTAGTGGTTGTCGTTTGTTGATGTGGTTCTTAAGTGTTTCTCATTTTTTATATGGATTAGACCGTTCGTTTTCCTGTTTGAATTGTTTTACACTAGTCATTTTGGAGCCCTTTAAAGCTTGCTGTTTGGTGTGAGCCAAGGCTCCGTGTTGAAGGCCGTACTTTGACCTATAATTGTTTACTTTTTACACATTGTGACTTGGATGGAGAGGTGTCTCATTGGCAATCATACCACATCTTCTTATTTCTATAAAACATATAATCTTGCTCTTACAAAACTGAAAGATTTTGATCATCATATTTTTAACATATCCTACCTTGTAACGTAGGAGACATTTCTGTCAATATCCTGATGGTATTTGCAATAAAACTTTAGTTAAATGCCAACTATATAACAATATTTTAACTTACCATCTTTTATATTGATTTACAAAAGACAGGAAAACCAAGGCACTTCCTCGTTTTTTGTTAGTAAGTTTTTTATTGTCTGTATGTTCTCAATTTTACACGTGTCTTTACAAATTAGTAGTACTAGTAAGAAAAGCAATGTGACATAAAGGTGTTTTCAATAAGGAAAAAACTGTATCAAACGCTTTATCTAAAAAAAACAACAACAACATATTCTTTTGTGTATAGATCATAATAGTATAAACAATATTTCAAAATATATGTTTTTACTTTGTCAAGTATCTAGTATATGTAAATCAAGCCAGTTGTGTGACAAACAATTATACAATCAGTAAAATTTATATATATAAAACTGTGCTTTACTGGAATTTTAAGCGAGTTTAGATTTTGAAGTTTTTATTAATACTAGTTCTTGTTGAGAATTTTACTTTTGTTGAATTGTTGAATATGCTTTAAAAAATTCACTGATCAATATCAACCTACTGTTATATTTACAAAAGAGAGGCGAAATATACCAAAGGGTCGCTCAAAGTCGGAAATAAACTGACAACGCCTTGGCATGAAAAGAAAAAGACCAACAGACAAACAACAGTGCACAAAACACAACACAGAAAACCAAAGACGGGGAAACACGAACCCAACCAAAAAACCGGAGGTGATCTCAGGTGCTCAGAAATGGTAAAAAGATCCTGCTCTACATGTGGCACCCGTCTTGTTGCTCATGTAAGTACAAACCCGGTGATAAGTCTTATTCTGAAGGTTCAGTTCAGTAAACCGCAAAATCTACATGAAAATCCGTACATTTTTAAAATTTCAGATTCTAATAAGTATGATTGATAGATTTTTAGCCAATATGACAACAAATTCGTGCTTCACTACTTTAACCAAAACGTTAACATGTCAACTTAGTTTCAAGTTTATGTTAACTGTACCTTAACCAAAATCTTCGAAGAGTAACGGACGGACAGTGTAAAGACTGGAAAATATAATACCCCTATTGTCTTAAGCAGGGCATTACCACATCCACACTTAAGACAGACAAATGCATATGTGGCGGGTTTAAACAAGGCTTTTATGGTATGTTAGCACTAAACACACTTCCTTTCTATCTCCATTGATGGAAAAAAGAAGTCTGGGATATATATTAAATTCTAAGAAGTCACATTGAAGGTCTACGATGATGAAGGAAAACACCGAACAGCATATCACCGAATAGATCACCGTATTGAACATGTTGAAGTCATGTCACCTTTAAAATGGGAAGTTGAATCTAAACATTACTGTGGGAAAAATATCAGAATACGACATTACACTAATACATGCAATACAAAACGGTTGAGACCCCAAAGGTGACTTGGGAATAGAAATATGGACACTTGGTCTTCTTCCGACCGGCAGTAAAACCCTTGCCAAAGTGGGACGTCAATGTGGTTATGTGGAATGTATAAGTTCCCAGTCACGTCTGGTCAGAATGAGGACGTTAAATCCGATGCCTATTGTAAAGAGAATGCCACGCGCTCTGATGTTAAGAACCTTGCAACAACTCTTTGAGGGGTCCGTAGATAGCCTGTTACAGTGCTTAGTTTTTGTCCCAATCTCATTTACTTATTTTCCAGTGGCGGTTGAAATTCCCTACCCTTCATCCCGTTCGACTCGTATTACAGGAACTACCTATTATATGTATTGTTATTTTGTTATCTTCCTGAACATGCATGGAATATTTGCCACTAGACGTTAAGCAACCAACAATCAATAAATCAATAAAAACGGATGATGCTGCATACTTGACGGAAATGAAATCCTTTCCGGAACATCAAGTGTTAGATTATTCTTGTATCAGTTGTTATTGGCTTTGAATTAGCTGTCAGTAACTGCGAGTACTGTCAGATCTGTAGTTAGTGTCTTTTTTGTTGTAGGGATGTATAGATACCCTGCCACGTCCGGTCGGTTACTTGTTTTTTCTGCTTTGTATCGATCTGATGAGTTAAGTCCTTTTCAACTGATTTTTATAGTTTGTTCATATGTTGTACTGTTACACCGCTGTCCCAGGTTAGGGGAGGGTTGTCGTCCGCTAACATGTTTAACCCCGCCACATTCTGTATGTGCCTGTCGCAAATCAGGAGCCTGTAATTCAATGGTTGTCGTTTGTTGCTGTATATCTTATTTGTTTTTCGTTCACTGTTTTTTTACATAAATCAGGCGGTTAGTTTTCCATTTTGAATTGTTTTACATTTGTCATTTAGGAACCTCTATAGCTAACTATGCGGTATGGGTTTTGCTCATTGTTGAAGGTCGTGCGGTGACCTATAGCTGTTTACTTCTATGGCCTCTGGTGGAGATTTGTCTCATTAGCAATTACACCACATCATCTTATTTTCATATTTGTTATCATAAGATTATCCATCTTGTATGACAAAACAAAGCGTATGACAAAAAAAGTATAAAATTTAATATCTTTTTTCGGTTCTTTTCAACACCCTACAATAGCATAAACGGTACCAATTTTTCTACACCAGAGGCGCATTTCGACAGTAAATATCTCTTCAGTGATGCTCGAGACCAAAATATTTGAAAATCCAACACTTATTCAAAAAATGAAAAGCTTATAAAACTAACTAAGGACAAAAAGTTTAACCAAAGCATACACACGGCTATCATTACATCAGATACCATAGGATCTGCATGTTCCCGAATGCTTTCAAATACATTGGTTATTGCTATCTTAAAGAGCAGATTTTTGTTTGCTTTGCAAATTTTATGCACTCGTGTACTGTAGAATTGATCTTTGTTACCTATTCCATATATCGTTCCGATAGTGGTAATAAAGTATGTTATATGAGGTTTGCTAGTAAAAAGTTCTTCAAAAGTTGTGGTACTTTCCTTCTGGAAAATATCCAGAGGGAAGTCTATAAACCCAATTTTGTCTAAGGGCTGATGACAGAAAGGGAACAACTTGAAGCGCTTTTTAGAAATCAGATTGTTCTGTACATGACCAATATATGTCCTGCCGTTATTTGTGTCACTTGTCTGACTGTGCTTCTTTGACATTTACCCCACATCATCTTCTTAAAGTGCGTTTTGAAAGTTCTTCTTTCATTTGTATCCCTCATCAATTTTTAGGGGTCTATAGGTGATCAGTTTCAAGGCAAAATTTCTACTCTTAACCATAATATCCTTTTTTCCAATTGCAGTCTAAATTTACCGTCCTTCATCCCGTACGACATACTTTGTAAGGAATACCTTTCGAATTCATTGTTAAATTGTTCTCGTCCTGAATATGCATGAAAAATTGGAAAAATTGCCGCCGGACATTAAGCAAACAATAATCATGCAATCAATCTTTAACAAACTGGACGATCTCTTGAACCTGTGATTGGCGAAATCACTACAATATGAAAGCTTCAAAATTTTATAAAAGTTTTACAATTTTGTTCTATAATTTTGTAGTATTTTGATTGACATTGTCATCTAACACTTGCAACATCATAATCTTTATATTGGCGTCTTATGATTAAAAGGAGATCTGGGTTTATACATCAATAAGACAGCCCCCCCCCCCCCCCCAAAAAAAAATAAATAAATAAAATAAATGGAAATCATCGAAAGGCACATAGAGGCAATATTTAATCTTTAACAATATTTATTGGTACCTTGTACTTTTGACAAGGGTATTTTGGGCACATGTATAGATGTTCATCACATTCACGTCAAAATAAAAAAAATTCAGATATCCAAATATAATATACTATAAAAACTAATTATGATCTCTTAAGGTGAACTAGGTGACAACAAACAATTAAGTATTTTTAGAACTTAGTCTATTGTAAATTGGGGACGATATGGGCTCTCATTTCCTATGTCCTTACTTGAAATCAATGTCTGACTACAGATTTGTTTACTTTTTTTTTATCATAGTTTGTCATTTTCTGTACTTCGGTACAATTTCATTGCGGTCACTTTTTTATGCGGTGAAGTAAATAAAAAAAATCTTGTTTATATAAGAAAGAATCAAATCAAACTTGCAAAACAATGGCCGGAATAGATACTGATGCCGTAAGAAAAAATAACCAGAAGATACCAAACATGGTAGTGAGAAATCATTAACAGACAGATAGATCAGTCTAAAGAAAATAGAAAGAAATGACAATCAACACGCAATGTACAGTCAATGACTGCTTAATACGAGCTTCACTAAAAACCATGGTGAACCCAGGTATATGCAGTTCCTTCTCCAGTTGTGTAACCCGTAGTGATGATAGCTACAGTGATTATTCCTTGTGATAGTGATTAAAGTTTTTGTTCCATACTCTCGCTTTTTTATTATTTGACCATCGTAAAAATATTTATATGTAAACTATATCCTTGACATGTTCGATATACAAGATACTACATTAAAAGGAAGCTATTATGAATTAATTTTATTATTTTTAATCCTACGTTATACTATAAGGCAATTTTTGTAAATTAAACTTTCACACAAATACCTCTCATTCAACATTACATACATGTATGCACATGTACATTTTTGTACATGTGCGTGACTCTTATGGGTTTTCGCAATAGATTACATTGTACAGTATACATATCTCCTTCTTTTTATATATACGTGCTTATCTATATGATCACTAATAACCGGACTTTCCGATCGGGATTAAATATAAGTTTTAATAGAGTAAAGAAATATTTATGGACAGGATCCAAGTAAAATGTGTTGTGATGGGAGATATGTAAGTATGGAGGATAGCATCCTACTTTTTACTCTTTCCATTACAAATGACGTCAGCTATTTTTTAAGCAGTTTCTGCATTAATGTTGTGTATATCATGTGTATTTTTTTTACTAAAAATATAAGGGCAATTTGGTATGATTGAGATAATATCCAAAAGACACCAGAGGAAGATGATACATATTTAAAAGAGGGGCGAAAGATACCAGCGGGACATTAAAACTCATAAATCGAGTAATCTTACGTGACTAGGGACATGCTCATATATTCGTATGCGACGGAGTCAACCATACTCTAATCTTGGGCCGTTGTGTAACAACACAACATGATAAGAAACTGTAAAAATCAGTTGAAAAGGGCTCGCTTGCAAGACACACTATGTATAAGCTACATCGGTACAAAATTCACAATTCAACTAACAAAAACAAAGAAAAGAAAAAACATACACAAATCTATTTTACCGTGTGTTTGGCGTTTAATACTCTTTACTCATTTGAAGACACACCCCCCAAAAAAAAAGTGAAAAAAGAAGTGTTTTGACTAATATGTCTACATTGAGTGAAAAAAGTTATAACAATCTGACTGTTACCTAATAATATTAGTTAGCATACATTTTGTACAACATTACTACATTATACCTGTATTTCAGAAAGGTTGGGAAGACATCATTGATTATGTCGTACGCATATAACATATTTCAGGAAGAAGATATTCCACTCGTGTAAGTCTACTTTAGATTATTTTTTATATTTGTTTGAATTGTTTAGTCAGTTGTGTTGTATGTCTGTGATGTTTGTTTACACAGTTTGGCTGCTGAATCCCAATTATTGTCACATTAACCTATTATGACTATTCGGGGTTGCTCACCCAATTTTGTCGATACAACGGACATGCAAACTACTGTTATACAAGTAGAAGGTTTAGCTAGCGTTAAAACCAGGTTTAACCTACCATTTTCTTCAAAAAATGCCTGTACTAAGTCAGGAATATGACAGTTGTTTATTCACTTGTTTCGTTGATTAATATCATTTGATTTTGTCAGTATTATGGACTTTTTTAATTTGCCTTGGTGTTCGGTATTTTTGTTATACTTTTGTTTTGAAAATTAAGTTTGCATATTGTATGCAGCAGAAAGTAAAGGACTAGGTTAACAAAGAATGAACATTGGCCCTGAGATATGTTTTTATTAATTTGCTAAAAATACTTCAAATTTTTCAAACGAATAGTAACTGTTGTGATGTTAGAATTAACATACATTAACCAACCTCGTTAAGGCGTATCACATATAAATACGAAGTACTGACCCCTTACGTAGGCATTATTTGTGTTGTAAATAAATATAAGAAGATGTGGTATGAGTGCCAATGAGACAACTCTCCATCCAAGTCAAAATTTATAAAAGTAAACCATTATAGGTCGCAGTACGGTCTTCAACACGGAGCCTTGGCTCACACCGAACAGTAAGCTATAAAGGGCCCCAAAAATTACTAGTGTAAAACCATTCAAACGGGAAAACCAACGGTCTAATCTATATAAAAAACGACAAACGAGAAACACTTATAAACCACATCAACAAACGACAACTACTGAACATCAGAAGTCAGTTTTAGTCCAATTATTTCCATAATGTATAACAATTTTAGCATAATTTGCTTTGGCCGCTACCCTTGATCGAGATTTTTTTGTGTGTCCAGGGATTCAATATAAACATTGACCCCTTTTGGTTTCGTACAATGTCATAGCATTATCAGTCACTGTCAAAGTCTTGGTGCCAATATAATTTAAATTTCAATAGTTTTTGTTAACTTTCCGATATAAACACAAGGTGAGTAAACCAATTAAAGAGAAAAATGACCATAATTTTGTGAAAATGAATTATACTATGATAAATATAAAACAAAAACTGATGGAGGTCAACACAAAAGGTGCTCTTATTTCAATTGCTTGATTAACAAGCAACGTCTAGAGCATCTTTTTTCTTTTTTTACCTCCATCAGTTAATTTTTCATCATAATGTCTGTGATCGCTATACATCTTAACGAATGCGGATATCAAAGAGAAAACAATAAAATCTCGCTTATACAGCAGCATGAGTTGAAAAATAACAAATAATATTGGAACTTCATATAAACTGATATATTTCAAAAATAACGTTATCACGGGCATAGCCATAATGATTTTCCCGTTATTCCATGTCCTCAGAGCGTTTGGATGTTTTCGTTGTCGTTAAAGTTAAAAATGATCTACAATGAAGTTCCTCACATAATTATGATAATAACAACGAATTGATAAAGTACATAAATGTTTTAACAACTTACTCAAGTATACAGCACAATAAAATCAAAAGTAATTTTAAAATTATTAATTTAAACACTGTTTACTAAATTTCAGATTTGATTTTTAAACAACTGTAACTGCGAACGACAAAGTAGTAGACCTCGTTTTATGGGACACGTGTGGTAGTGATGATTATAACAAACTGCGTCCATTATCCCTTCCAGATACAGTAAGTTATTACTACATGCGTTTAGAAATACCTTTTTTTTATTGCATTCGTTATTAACATGTGGTTGTACGTTTCGTCTTTCATCGAAAAGGTTCAATTTAACGAATTTACATTGCACGTAAAAAGAGGTGGAAGATACATTAAAAGACAATGAAAGGCTATCAGTACGGAGACACTAATGTCAATAACTCTAAGGCGAAAGACGACGAAAAGACACACAAGTCCATGAAACACTAGATATCAACAAAAAGACTGAGCAACGCAAATCCCACCAAAAAATCGGGTTTAATTTCAGATGCTCCAGAAGAATACTAAACAGATCCTGCTCCACTAATGACACACTTCATAATGTTATTATAATTTGAAATTCAAATATGTTCTATGGAGTTTTATTTCACTTGGGATAGCTATTAAACAATTTGCATAATGCTTTCTGGGTAATATTTTTAAAAACGCACACAATGATTGAGTTAAGCCATTTCAGTTGATATTTTATAGTATGTCTTTCTATGATGTAATGTTACACTATTGTTTCAGATAAGGGTGAAGGTTTGGTACCATTAAAACGTTTAAACCCGCTGCAATTGTTTGCACCTGTCCTAAGTCAGGAATCTGATGTTCAGTAGTTGTCGTTTGTTGATGTGGTTCATAAGTGTTTCTCGTTTTTCATATAGATTAGACCGTTTGTTTTTCCGTTTGAATGGTTTTACACTAGTAATTTTGGGGGCCCTTTATAGCTTACTGTTCGGTGTGAGCCAAGGCTCCGTATTGAAGACCGTAATTTGACCTATAATGGTTTACTTTAATAAATTTTGACTTGGATGGAGAGTTGTCTCATTGGCACTCATACCACATCTTCTTATATCTACAAAGATATTCTGATTAGTTATCAACATCCGGAACGATTGGAATGTATCCTATGACGTGGCGTTTTTTTCCATTCTGGGGTCCGATATTAAGCATGGTTCTTTGATATTTGAAACGACGAACTACAAAGAATAACAGAAAGCCAATTATATCTTTCCCTGAATTGATTGACAAAGAGTACAAACTATGTATAGTTATTTTGATCTTTGATCAGATAAAATTGCAATGCTATATTCACGCTTTTTGTAATAAAGTCAGTAATATATCTGAATAAAAGAAGATAAAAGGGTTCTAAATTGACATAAACGACAGTGACAGTCCTAGGACGGACACATATGCACGCGTGATTGAAATAGATATGTTCCTTGATGACTCAATTCAAGCTGCGTCAGCCCTTATGTGTTTTTTTTCAATATCTGCCCATCAAGAAAGAAAGTAAATTGTAAGGCGTCGGGTAATTTAGATGTTAGTTGTAAGAACTGCTTGTTCGTGTTTTTATTTGTTGCTTTACATTTATTGTGTTTTCTTATACACTAAACTTATATTTATTATAACTATGATAAAGTAATGACCGATTGAGTGATTAATAATAACAATAATTTCAGGATGTCTTTTTTGTTTGTTTTTCTCTGGATGACCCAGACAGCTTTGAATTTATTGAGCAAAAAGTGAGTAATTACAGAACAGGTCACGATAAGATGTCCACAGTAAAATTGGTTTATGGATTGTTGTGAGCTTAACGCCCGGTGACAAATATTTCATACATAAACAGGGCGATTTAAAATGAGAAACTTAAAGACAGAAACGATACTATCAGAAAACCATAATACAATAATAAAAACAACAAATAAGAATTAATTTAACTGAAAAGCAGCAATAAAATAAGGGAGTGAGCTTCGTAAGAGTAAGAATTCCTGTCCATTTAAAGTTTCCCTTATTTTATTCATGAAGCAATTTGAAGATATTTTAAAAAAATCGATCATGTTCGCAATCTGTTAGTTTTAAAATTGATGTATGCTTTTTGTGCGCTGCTGTAAATCGTACAACACCACTGACGGAGAAGCGAGTCGATCATTTTATCTATTAGGTAATTGACACATTGATGTTTTGCAACAGGAGGTCAGTGACACGACTGGTGTATGGAGTAAGAACTCCTGATCCTTCCGGAGCACATATAGTTTGACCCTTTTTGGGGTGGAAAAAAAGGGGAGATCGTGTTGCTTTTCTTTTTTTTTTAGTCGTGTTATGATTGTGTATTGCCTCGTTCATATCTTCCCTTTTCTTCTTTTTGTCTTTTTATTATTTTTTTTTATTTCAGTGTTACCCAGATATCAAACTTCTCTGTCCAAATGCATTAACTTTGCTTGTTGGTACCAAAAAAGATTTGATAACTATTGGGCAGAATGAACAGGAAATTAGGGAGAAAGACACAAGCAATTTATATTCTTATAAGCAAGGAATCAACCTGGCAGAACGGATTCAAGCAGTAAAATATATAGAGTGTTCTGCAAAAACAGGAGAGGGAATTCAATCAGTGTTAGAAGAAGCAATTAAATGTGTATTTGATAAGACGAAACGATTCAAAAAAAATAATTCAACGTGTAATTTATTGTAGTTGCTTAACTGTCTTTTGCTCAGTATCTGTTCTGTAGTAATTTAAAGATATTCTTCTCATTTTTCACAGGTAGCTAAACACCATGAATCAACAATAAGGCACCGATCAATCATCTTTTTATGGGGAACATTGTTTTTTCGTTCAATAAATTATTTGATACCAAAGGAGGAGATATTTTGTTTGGCTGCTAACATAACAAAAATAGTAAACTTGTTCCGGCCGTTCAAAAGTCTGTTGATTTTATTAATAAATTAACCGGTTGATATTTACTGAAAATTCAAAAATCGTGTGGGATGTTCCTTTGATTGATTGATTGACTGTTGGTTGCTTAATATTCAGTGGCAAATATTTCATGCATGTTCAGGACGAGACCAAATTAACAATACATACAATAGGTCGGTCCTGTAATAGAGGCCTTCCAGAATGAAAGTCGAGGATATTTGAACTGCAACTGGCAAATGAGGGTATATTTAATGGAGACAGACATTTTGCCTTGCAATAGGCCACCTTCGAACCACTCATAGACTTGTTGTAAGGGATCTTAGCGTGAAAAGAGCGTGGTACTCTCTTTATATGAGGCATCGGATTCAACGTTCCCATCTGACCAGATGTGGTAGCAAAGGGATTTACTGCCGGATACTTTTTTTTGGGAGCACATGATGTAATAGGCTTTGAACTAGCTTTCAGTATTTCAGCTGAGGAAACTAACGGCCTATTTTATAACAAAACTATTTACGAAAAACAAATATGAAAGACATGAACAAACGACAACCACTGAACTACAGGCTCCTGACTTGGGACAAGCACATAAAGAATATTGCGAGGTAAAATTGTTAGTGAGCGCACAACCCTCCTCTAACCTGGGACAGTAGTGTAACAGTATAACATAAGAACAAACTATAAAAATCAGTTGAAAATACGTCCACTTGTATTTGTAGTATTTGTATTTTTATCCATCAGATGAGTTAAGCCTCTTTCAGCTGATTTTATAGTTCGTTCTTATATTGTACTGTTACACCACTGTCCCAGGTTAGTGGAGGGTTGGGATCCCGCTAACATGTTTAACCCCGCCACATTATGTATGTATGTGCCTGTCCCAAGTCAGGAGCCTGTAATTCAGTGGTTGTCGTTTGTTTATGTGTTACACATTTGTTATTCGTTAATTTTTTGTACATAAATTAGGCCGTTAGTTTTCTCGTTTGAATTGTTTTACATTGTCATTTCGGGGCCTTTTATAGCTGACTGTGCGGTATAAGCTTTCCTCATTGTTGAAGGCCGTACGATGACCTATAGTTGTTAAATTCTGTGTCATTTGGTCTCTTGTGGAGAGTTGTCTCATTGGCAATCATACCATTGCTTCTTTTATATATAAACTCATCAGATGGATACAAAGCAGAAAACATCTTACGAAAACAAAGACCGGACATGGCAGAGTATCTATACATCCCATAACAAAAAAAAAGATACTATGTAAAGATCAGAGAGTATTCGCAGTTACTGACAGATAGTTCAAAGCCAATAACAACTAATAAAATCCTGTATCTAAGACATAATTATCAATCAGTACACATCCAACATCCAATGGATTTAGTGTAAGGACGTCATTAACATTCAGAGAAAAACATGACCTTGTGCAATGCCAAAATATAGGTATAGACAAATGAAGCCAATTAAAGCTGATACATTAATTGTGTTATAAAAAACTGAAGTATCAAAGGAAAAGTACACATCCATTAGATTTAGAATAAAGATGTCAGAATCAATTTGTGAAAAGCTTATGCGATGCCTAAATATAAGGACATAGTATCGACAGGATGAAGGACCACAGTTCATAACAGTATATAGATACATATTTAGTAGCGTTTTAATTTATCTAAAATAAAATCTATGTGCGTACCGATAAAAAAAGATATTTACAGAATTTGCTACGGTATTACATGTAATTAATAACTTTTAAGAACTACGTTTTATTCAAAGGATCAATTACTTTACGTTGATCGCATCTAAATTTACGGGCGCTATAAATATCCCCATTATAAATCTTATAAATAATAAAAAAAAAAAGATGCAATGTATATATGTATGAATCAAATCAGAAGTAGATCAAGTTTGGGTTAATATACAAATAAAATTTTAACAAAAAAACAATACATTAAAATCATCGAGTGCCAGTATTTGCAAAGTATAATTATTGTGTATACTGATTAAAAGAAAGTTCCCATTCCCCCTCCCCCATGCGCCCCCCTTCCCCCAAATGCTCGTATTTTCTTTTCTTTGGTCAGATGGACATAACGTTTCGTTGGGTAAAATAAAGTTTAAAAATATAGATACATATAAAAATTTGAAACCAATAAGTAGTACGCATACGTCGATTTCTCTTTCATTTCGTATACAAGTTAAAGATTGTACACTTTGTTTGAAATTTTCATACACAGGCAAATTTTGATCGCGTGAATTTCACGTTAGTCTCATTTTACGTGAAACTAATGTGCAATTCATGGAAATTATGGCTTACGTGAATATCAAGTGAGATTTTCACGTGAAATTCACATGACAATTTGCAAGCGTACGTTGGCTTCAAAATATCAATGAGAAAACTATAGCCTCACTCAACTTAGTAATCAGACTAGACATACTTAGTAGTACAAACACATGATATACATAATATGCAATGTTTAAACGGCATCAACTTGTTTAGCTTTTCACATTTCTGTTGTTAAAGTAAATGTTACCACCTTAAACCAGAGAGTACATAAATAGAGAAAAATAAAGTAAACAAACACACATTAAAAAACAACAATCAAAACAGTCGCACCTACACGTATATTTATGTTTCGGAAATGATGGTTTCTGAAAAGTGGGTCGAACTTAATGAAAAATATGCTATTAGACAGGGAAACGAAGATGTGTTAGTTGGAGGCAGAAATTGTGCATAACCATGCTCATACACCTACTGATCCCTCCAACATTTGTTGCACGTATTCTTTGAATTTAAACATGCAAGTGTTCAAAGAGCGTGACACTCCTCTTAAGGTGGTACCCAACACCTTGACTAATATTAATTTGGCTCGTTTAATTTTCATAAAATTTTGACAAAATGTTTACTTTGACCCTTTGACAAAAATATAAAAAATTCAAAAAATTTGAACCAACCACTTTATCAGAAAAATTTCGTTAGTTATATAGCAGTTTGACAAACACTAATTTTGATCATTGAGAAGCTTAATATTTCCTTAACAATACAACGTAATTAAAACGTTTAGCTGATTTTTACAGAGTTATCTCCCTGTAGTGTTAGGTACCACCTTAAACGAAGGTATCGAATTTAACGTTCAAATTCCGACTGGACGTAGCTGCGTATTTATATACCTAACGGCCAAACGAACGCTTTTCTTAGCATATTAGCATGATTTTATACTTCCGGTTGGGAAAACTGCAAATGACCATATGTATACGCCAATATTTTATCTGTTATGTGCACATACATCAGTTAGTATAAACATTTATTTCTATCGTAGGAACGAGTTGCAAAAATGTTGTTATCCATATAAGTTTATAAACTTTTAATGGATTTAAAGAAACCTTAAGAGATGACTGGGCTACATATTTAATAGAAATGTTGTCTTCTGGAATTCTACCATTCGGCTTTTGCGATGTATAGACTATATATTTTCACACAGTTAAACCCTTACAATATTTCTTTAAATCTTGTCTATTTTCAAGCAATTGTCTATCTCCTATCAAGTATTACCTCCTTTTCCGATCTTAATCTTCATCTTAAATCTTAATTAGCTTAACATATTTGCTAGATCGTTTTTTGTTGAATCGAGCGCAAACATCATTTCTACGTTAAAATCATTACTTAGAAAAAGATCTAAATATCGTCCACCGTCAATTATCAATTAGAATGAGTGTCATGACATCTTTCATGACTCACTCCATACCTACTGTACAAAATGAATAAAACGAAAAAATCTGACAAAAATCCGTTCATTCTTTTTTTAATTCATTAATGAAATTAGTTGGTATTTTTGTATTAAACATTTCAAAGAACATTTTACTTCTAACAACAACCATTATTGCCCTGTTTCCCGTATCAATCATAAGCTAAAAGAATTCGGCAAGGAATTTGTGTTTGTCCTGGCTAATAAGGCTGACAAGCATTATTGTCATCATTATTGTCAGACGTAAATTTTATATGGAGGTTCTGGAATAGGAAATCACAAATTTACCAACATCCCAACTGACTAATTTTTTGGAAAATGACATCATTAACAAACATAAACGTTTGCTACCTCTTTACAATCAGAACCGAATAACATGAAAGAGAGGCGAAAGATACCAAGGGGACATTCAAAAGTTCCAACTATGTACTGGTTTCCGAAACTGCACATAATACCTTACAACTATAGATTTATTTCGTCGCCAAGCCATTGTTTCACTACTAAACTGTCTTTTCTACTTTCAAGTACTCTTGGTACAATCAAAAACCTGGTAATAATTTTTTCGAATAAGGTCTACGAAACATAATGGAATTAGTTACTTTTGGAGTGTCGAAAATTGGTTGGAAGTTCTAGCTTGATAAATTGCATGCTCATATGGGTGCCTTCGAATCTGTTCAAAGTTTTGAATTTTCGACCTTATATACAACTCTGCTTCATAATCTCATCACATACCTAATCAAATTGGCATTTGAAAGGTCGGGAATGTGAATATTACTTTTATATGTTCAAACTCTTTTAAGTTATTTTTCAGTAACAACAAACAGAAGAAATATGTCAAATGGACCTACTTTGATATAATAACTGCGTGCGCTTGAACTTTTACTAGATACCAGTTTTGTTCGCTATGGAGATTCCGTATATTGCCAAGTTGTCGGAATTCCAATAGGACTAACTGTTTATCGCGTATTGCGGACCTGTTTCTGTATTGTTACGAATCACAATTTATGTCTAAAATCAGCAAAGATCCATCGAAACAACATCGGATGCAAAAATTTAATAACACTTTTTATATTTAGATGATATTTTGGCTCTCAATAATGACGACTTAAGTATGTACACTAAAGGGATTTATCCTGTTGAAATTACTTTAAAAAAAGCTAATACAAATAATGAACACTGCCCTTTCCTGGATCGTGATATCTATATCTGTAACAAGAGGCTTAGTACTACAACTTACGAGAAAAGAGATGTTTGTTTTCATTTCCTATTGTCAATTATCCGTTTTTAGATGTTGACATTCCCTTGGCACCATCGTATGGTGCTTATATATCTCAACTTGTTCGATTCGCTTGTGTATGTAACAACGTAATTGATTTTAACGAAAGAAATCCCTGTAATACGGAAAAATTATTACACCAGAGTTTTCGATACCACAAATATGTCAAAACTTTTCCAAATCTTATCATCGCTACAAGGACATCATTCGTAAATATAAATCAACGTGCAGACATCTTATATGTTCTAGCATTTCACATCCAATCTATTATGGTAAATGTCTATCCAAAGCACACAAATTTCGTCATTCATCTCAAAAGCTAACAAAACCTTTAAACAGACTTATTCAGAAGGGTTTGTTTATTCCACATAGGCTAGAAGGTATAACGGAGGGATGAGATATCACTTATGAGTTTGACTGTCCCTCTGGTATCTTTCGTCCCTCTATCTTTTAACACGTTCAACCCCGCCGCATTTTTAAGTCTGTCCCAAATCAGGAACCTCTAGCCTTTGTTAGTCTTGTATTTTTTTTTCTTTATAATTTGGGTCATTTTTATATTTCAGAGTTTAGTGTGGCATCCATTTCGTTGGACTAGTATACATTATTGTTCAGGGGCCAGTTGAAGCCCGCCTCCGGTTGCGAGATTGTCTCTCTGCGTTGAAGACCCCCTTAGTAGCCTTCGGCTGTTTTCTGATTTTTGGTCTAATTGATGTCTCTTTGACACATTCCCCGTTTCTCTTCTCTATTCAATTACGCAAATAACAGCGAATAGATGAATATAACGATAAAATGTTACTGCATTTTTAACGTCAAGGTAAATGAATCTTTCTGGATTTTTTTATGCATGTATGATATTTTTTTTCACAGAAGTATTCATTTTTGATATATGAACTATTCTTTCTTATGGAAACGGATTACTAGTACCTCAAATTGTCTATGTTGAGAGATGTTTATATGATATTACTCCTAAAAATGTTACTTTTTAAATATTTTTTTTATGTATCTATTTATTCATACTTGTTCGTATCGTTTTAATACAATTGGGTTCCTGTTTTATTGAAATCGATCCTTTTTTTCTTTTGTAAATTTATGTTAATCATGTTTATATTTACAAGTACACGTAATGCCCTGATAAACAATGTTTGTACTGAATCCATGCAGGAAGAACAAAAACATATGTTATTATCAAGTTATAAAGTAAATATACAAAATGTCAATAAATCTTTAGAAGTGGGCTGAAATGAAGTTATAAATTGGTTAATCTATAATCGGAACTTTAAAATGCAACATATCAAATGCGTTGTAGTCGGTGACGGGTGAGTAAAACATGAATATTTTTGTTATTATTTTTAGTATGAATAATTTAAAGAAAACGGTTACCAACATATCATATTAGTACAAAATAATAGACAAAACATCAGTCTTTAGTGTTTATTGTTTTTCATAAATCAAAATTTTATTTTGAAGCGTTTTAGTATTAAAGTTTTTTGTATATATCTCGATCCTAAAATCATTTCCTTCTTTGTTATCATTTCTTCATTTGCAATGTAAGCTAAATACTACATAAACACTTATGATATTTGTGTTTAAAGTGTCGAGGAAAAAAGTTTTGACTAAATTTTGGAAATATGCAAAACTGATATTAAATGTCAGAGCAAACAACACGAACATATGACTGATATTCTGATATGACGTTACTTGTTTGACTCTGGGAACTCTTCTACGTTAAAAACGCAGAACATAATACAACAAAATCGACAGACATGATGACGTAATAATACGTTTTGTACACACACAAAAACGACATATTCTTGTTATTTGCACCTTTTCCTTCTAAAATCACAATAATGTATTTCATGCTGTAATTTACAATATATGTTCTTTTTCAAAATTGCTATTGCAGAATCTAAATGACTATAGGGAATTATATTGTACGTTCCATAAAAAGAAAATAACGTCACGACATTGGTTGGATTAGCCAACTACGAGGTTTTGGTATACATACGATTTTGAAAATATTCCTTAGAATGCATAGCATTCTGACTTGGCGAATAGACAGGCTAGAAAAATGTTTGGAAAGTTTAAGAAAAATATGGCCTACCAATAATCAACATCCACTTCACCACGAATTGCCAAACAATATCAATTAAAGATACTTCTATTTCATTTTTTCAGAAATGTTGGGAAAACGTGCTTATTGATATGCTTTTCCACGAATACCTTCAATGAAGATTATGTTCCCACAATGTAAGCACACATTTTATCTAAGTCATTGTCGATCTAAAATGTATATGTTGTTAAAAGACAACTCTAATTTAAATTTTAAATCTTTGAATATGCTTAAGCTTATCTACATGTAATAAAACAAATCCGCTGAAATTCTGCATGGTCTTTTACATCTGATAGATAGGAAAATAGTAAAAAAGAGAGATCGCAGGGTTTTCTGAAATTATTTGTTTTACTAATGAAATAGATTGTGTCTTTTAAAATTATCCGGCATAATTTTTTACCAACTACACCCACCTTACAGCGCATGTTTTATTTATGAAGAAATCCCTTTCTTTTATCTCTTCCTAAACGTGTCTTCATAATTTCAAATTACAAAAAAAAAATCATTGTGGTCTAAATTGTATTTTATTCTTAATCTTCAAAAGGGAAGGTGTTTTCCGTGTTGTAGTTCGTAGTAGATATTATCTTTTATAAATCATATGTAACAAAGTTAACTTCCTGTTACTTATTGATCTGTGTAAATATCTCGGAAGTACGTTTATTTGTTAAAATTAAAAATACCCTGTAAATGTTAACAGATTTGGTTCCCTCCATTTTATTGAATTGGATTCAAACATAGCTTATCTATCTACTAAATTATCGTTCGGAAACAACTGAAAATAATACTTTATAAGTTGAACGATCAGGAACACTAAAAGCCAAAATATTTAATAGCCAATGATGTACTGAAACATGCGAAGAGCTCTATAACCAGAAGGTACCTAAAATAGTAGCCAAATCCAGCTAACGTAGTTTTTGCCAGACGGAATTTGGACTGAAAGATATAATTACTTTCAGAAATGCTTTATTTACCTATCACATTCAATATAAACATCAGATATAAAATCGAAAAGAAAGGATGTAAAATATTGGTATCGACCCAGTGCTGTAAAAATGTACACTTTATAAATTGCATGCGTCCGAAGCGCTTTTCTGGATTTGTCTTTATTTAGTACGCCCGGAGACATCATTATACACACATATACCAAATTTATCAGATATATTAAAAAAGAGAGGCGAAAGATACCAAAGGGACATTCAAACTCATAAGTAGAAAATAAACTGACAACGCCATGGCTAGAAAAAGAAAAAGACAAACAGACAAACAACAGTACACAGAACACAACATAGAAAACTAAAGACTGGGCAACACGAAGCCCAACAAAAGCTGGGGGTGGTAGCAGGTACTCCGGAAGAGTTAGAAGTACCTGGTTCACATGTGGCACCCGTCGTATTGCTCATGTGAGTACAAACCCGGTCATTATCATTATCTACTGACCTTTGGAAATGGTTCGACGAAGATTCGGCTAAGAAATTTTTGAAAACTATAAGTTATGTTTTAATGTAAATACGTTCTCTTTTAACGGTTATAGCCATGGTTGAAAGAGAATATAATTTAAGGAGATAATACAATTTTCCCCTGCATATTATACTCTAGTATATAACCTAGGTTCCAAAGCTGTTAGCATACATTATCTCTGTAGATAATGTTACATCAACATGATATAATATTAAATAAACATTAAATTTTCAATATCTATAAGGATTTCATTTCCCATTCGCATTTTACAAAAAGAAAAATAACAAAATATGGAACTCCTAGGAAAATTCAAAAACGAAAGTCCATTATCAAATGGAAAAATCAAAAGCGAAAACACATCAAACGAATGAAAAACAACTGTCATATTCCTGACTTGGTACAGGCATTTCCTTATGTAGAAAATGGTGGATTAAACCTGGTTTTATAGCTAGCTGAACCTCTCACTTGTATGACCGTCGCATACAATTCCATTATATTGAAAACAATGTGTGAACAAAACAAACAGACATAATAGGTATGTTATATAGGGGTACAGCAGTCAACATTGTGTTATAATCTTAATCACTATAAAAACAAAAAAATGGTCAACAAAGAAAACCGAAATGGCATATAGACCAAGCACATAAGCAAAAATGAAAAAGAAGAATATAAAAAATTACCATAGCACAGTCACACAATGGCTAGATTGCAAATTTGATTGAGACGAGTCCACACAATGTACACCTTTCAATGGTTGAAACTCCAGTTAGCAATCTGTCGCTCATACACAATCACTTAATTTTGAATTAAAATACATGTATAAAAGACATGTTTTAGTCGTGCTTGTGAACAAGATAATTGTAAATTATTTCAAAATTAAAAATTTAGTAACATTTGAAACGTATGAAAAATTTCAGAACTTTATTGTGATTTTATATTAAAAATACTGCATATATATTCAATTTAGATTTGATAATTACAAAACAACTATAATGGTGAATGACATTTATGTAGAATTAGGATTATGGGATACTGCAGGTCAAGAAGATTACGATCGATTCCGTCCATTATCATATCCACTAACGGTGAGTTTTCAGGACTATCTAGACTTAACGTTCAAAGTTGAATGGGAATATGAATTAAACAAAAATAAGGTCGGTGATATGACAGGTTATATTGTAGATTATCAATTATTTGTCGTCATTTAGGCATATATTTAAAAAAAAATAGAAGGTGTGATATGACTGCCAATGAGACCGATATCAACCCGATTTAAAATGATATAGATAAAAGCAAATATTTTTCTCTCTAAAGTTTAGAAGCAAATAAATGATACAAAAGAAAAAAGATACCTCAGTGCGATACATACAATTTTTTATGGTTGTGACCTGTTATCTATATCTTGCATGAAGAGATATTTCTCGTGTCACACTACACGGAGTGTGATACGAAAACGTGATACGAAAACTGCTTTTGATTGGCTTATCCAGCGTCATGATATCATCGATATTACGACATTGGCATTGGCTATTCATTAGGTCATTGACAACTTTCAAAGGATAAGACATGTATATTTTGTCCATTTCAACTGACAGATGTGATTTCTTCGATATTAAAAAAACCCTCACATTTTTTACCTGAAAATATTCTTTTTTGTCAAATTTTATTACATTATGGAGCGCACCAAATGTTTTAAAATGTATGATGTTAATTTTTGACGCAGTAACAGGACATATGACATATGAGGTCATACTGGTATGTTCAATAGACTAGATCAACGATTCGCGGAACTTTTAACACAATGCGAGTGTTGATCATAAGAGAAATAGGTTTAACAACTCGTGATAACTGGGTATCGCTTGAAATCAACTCTAGTTTTTTAATTTTAAAAATCATTATATTTGAATTAAACTACTCAAGTTGATAGCAAGCGATATCCAATTCTCACTCGTTATGAAACCTATAATTCTTAATTCAAAGAAAGACAACCAATGGTGGATAGAAAAACAAGCGCACAAAAACCTATACATTAAATAAATCACAAATCAAGCTACATGAAAAATAGGGATTGAATTCCACTGCTATGAAAGGGTATGCCATTCTCTGTGTTATCCTCATGACTAACAAATCCGAGATAAGTCGCATTCGGTAATGTCCTACTAAAAAAATAGAACACGTGCGTGGTCTTCTGTGACACAGATATTGCATATTATTTTCAGCTTGTCAAACAGTTATATACCTTGTACTTCTTAAAAAACATGTCCCCTTCCTCACCTCATCGTCGTGACACCCTTTTTATAATAAAACTTCTACATGTTCTAAGTGTGCTGGCAACAATCTTTTGCTTTTTCAACTTGATTTGTAAACTATTGTCTGTTTTTATCACATAAAGGTCTTTGGATTACACAAACAAATACACAAGCTGACGACACATAGTGAAGATAAATGAAGAACACACACACACACAAAAACATAATGCAGACGTCAAGTAAAAAATCTTCATGGTCTTTTAATCGAGTATTGAGTTACGTAATGTTCCTAACCTTAACTTAAGGCTTAAGTCTTAATGAACTAAAAAAAGAAAAAAAAAGAAAGGAAAGAAATTGAAACAATTCTATTCAGAAAGTAACCGGGTGCATCGGAAGAGTAAGTGCTATTCGAAACTCGCAACAGCTTAACTTGCAAAGAAGTAGATTACACAAGATATATATCGTATATAAAGACTGTATAACGGTTTTGCAAATATCATCTATAAAAACTTATTTAATTTCAGGATGTATTTCTTGTATGTTTTTCACTTGTTCATCGACCAAGTTTGGAAAATGTAATTCAAAGAGTAAGTTTTTTAAATCAGCGAATCAGTGTGTATTTATATCGCTGTATCCCCCCGTCTGCAAATCCTACCAAATCAGTGACTAAAAGTAGAGGCAAAAAATACTAAAGGGACATTCAAACTTGTAAGTCGGCAAAATGACATAAAAAGTAAAACGATCAAAAGACATACAGCAGTTTACAAAACATACCATCTGATACTAAAGACTGAGCACCACGACCCCCACCAGGTGCTTCGGAAGGATAAGCAAAACCTGCTCCACATGTGGCTTCAGTCGTGTTGCTCATGCAAGTACAAACCCGGGGATAAAGTTTTAATTCGGTAGATCACATTCGAGGGAAGAGGACGGGGTTGTGGTTTCGACAATTGTTACGGTTCTTATACATCCTTGGCTTTCAAATATTCGGCTTTGAGCGTTCCTGATGAAGGTAGACCCAGAAAAGTGCTTCCGTTAATAAATTTTGAAATCATTAGAAACTAAGGTTTCAACTCCCTCAGGAAAAGTTAACTGTGGATGGATTTGTACTTTACGATTGTCTATTATGTATTGGTGTTTATGTCCTTTTTTGGTAATATAGATCTTCATCAGTTTCGGTTCTTATACATCCTTGGCTTTCAAATATTCGGCTATGAGAGCTCCTGATGAAGGTAAATCCTGAAAAGCTTTTCGGAAATTTATAACGTGTTGTTGTAAATTTTTTTGAACATATCCATGATATCCGTCGTCATTTGTAAAACAAATGTTTCATTACGGTCAACCACAACGTGATGGTGATTTTCGAATTTTCCAAGGGATTTGTTTAAAAAAAAAACACACAACTTTGCACAAAGGAGTTGGAGCAAAGTTTCATAATTTATCAACGGAGAACTCAGGAAAGGTATGTTTTAAAATCATGTCAGTACCGAAGCACTGAATTCGGAGCTTATGAGATACCACCTTAACAGGGCTCATCGTTTGTAGCTTCAGACTTTTCAAATGATGTTAATATCAAAATGACCGTTTAAGACTGCACTTCGTTTACTAATGGTACATATTACGTCATACTACACGTTTCATGAATGTAAGAATTATGTATAAGTAGTTATATATCCTTGGTTATTATTTTTAGTTTGAGCGTTCCTGGTGAAGGTTAATCAAGAAAGGTGCGTTGAACGTTCACAGTTTCTTTTATAATTTGTTATTTTACTTTTCTAGCACTGGTTCTATATAACATCATTTGAAAAGTCTGAAGCTACAAACGATGAGCCCTGTTAAGAGTTTAAGGTAATTTTCAGATAATTTCTTGTTGTGAATTCAGAGCTGGTCAGCCATTATGCTTGCAGTCAATTTAGTGCTGTTTAGTAGTTTTTTCGACAGTTTTTTTGCACAAGTAAGTAAAAACCACTGAACAATCAGAACTGAACATATCTTAATTGAGTGCAAGCGAATTGTCGGAACAATAACTGAATTTACTGTAAGCAGTGAATAAGTCTGAAACTTTACTGAAATACTAAACTTAATCATTTATTGTCTAGTCTTTTAAGAAGTGTTCATCAAAATGACCGATTCAGTTCAATATTGGTTTATCTGTGTAGCTTTCGACGTCAAACGAAGATACAGGACATTTTTTAGGTTTTGAGTCTACTTCGGAATTAAAATAAAATTTTTCAAAACCAGTTTTTAAATAGCAGTTGTCTTTGTTACTGACTGGAAGACATTAGATCCCCCCTCTGCTCAGATTATACAGTTTTGCCCAATCGAGATAGTGATTACAAGCTAATAACATTTGAACTTGTATTATGTTTGACATACGTGCCTCATATCTCAAATTGCAGATAATTTCCTAAAACAGCCACACAAAAAGTATAGTTATGCTGCCGTTTCATAGTTTTTTTTTATTTTACAGTGGATTCCAGAGGTCCGGCATCACTGCCCAAGAACGCCAATCGTTTTAGTTGGCACAAAATTGGACATTAGACAAGACGAAGTACCAAGAAAATCAAAACATGTTGACAAAAATAGCCAGCTTATATCATTCAGTGAAGGACAATCTATAGCAAATAAAATAAATGCCGTAAAATATTTAGAATGTTCTGCAAAGACTCAGGAAGGATTGCAAATGGTGTTTGAGGAGGCTGTAAAGGCTGTGTTATTTCCCTCTGAGCATAAACCAAAACGCAGACCATGCATTTTGTTGTGAAATCGATCAGAATAATATACATAATATATTGTGTTTTAATTGTATACAGCGTTTGGAAATACCAAAGCAATTTCATTAACCGACTAAAGACGTATTTCTTTCTACTGATGAATTTACATGAGTTTCCATTAACCGTTGTTAATCAAATGCAATTATCAAAGAAAATATATCAAGATAATATATACAATCAAGGTCGATGTATCATCTTAGAGTTTTACCGGAGATACGTCGTTAGATTATTAATGCTATTGTAAAAGCCATACTTTTTAAAATCGGCGTTGCATTCATGGAACATCGTACAAAAACAATCTGTTTTTACTCAGAAGCTTATGAACATTCTTAAAGCAGTGATAAATCCAAACGCACCAGTGACTTTTTAAGAGTTATGTCCATTTATCTAAAATTTACCTACCTAAAAATCTTAGCTACTACGTTTCAAAATAACAAGCTTTTTAAAAGACTGTTATAAATACATAGTATGTATATAACGGAACTAAATAAAGCAGAACATTATGCAAGGTACATGTCCTTATTTTTGAGATACAAGACATTGAAACTTTGGCGGGAAATCATTTTCTCTAGATTTTTAATGAAAAGTAGAATAACAATAATACCGAACTCCGAGGAAATTTAAAACGGAAAGTCCCTAATCAAAAACTCAAACACATCAAACGAATGGATAACAACTGTCATATTCCTGACTTAGTACAGACATTTTCTTATGTAGAAAATGGTGGATTAAACCTGATTTTATTATCAATTTACATTTTGTTTCTTTCAAAAACTATGAAAAAAAAGAACAAGAAATCTATAAAATTTTCAAATATGGCTAGACCTATATGTATTAAAATTACGAAAGAAAAATAGTGGTTAGATGGCAAAATGATTTAATGGCATCACATGGATAAAACCAGAGGATTCCAAATATCTGACAAAAAGACACAAACAAGACAAGCGAACATCCTTAAAACTTAAACGGTAATACTTTACTGCACCAGATGCGCATTTTGACACATCATTTTTGTTCAGCGATGTTCGCTGCCATTATACATGTTATTAAAAATCCAAAGTCTAATACACACTTTCCTACCACTGGGGCGGATGGTGGGTCGTAATCTGAAAAAGAACTGTCAATGGCTCATTTTAACTCGATGTATGAGGTTTTACGACAGAGATAAACTAACAATTAATTTAAACAGTATTTCAAGTAAGCAAGATATAATACAAATATTACGGCTATGAATGATAAAAAAAGCAATGCAGGTATTATTTCATGTAGACGGAAAACAATCTAAACAACAACGATGAAAAGGTTAAAAATGAAACCCTAGAATCAAATAAACTATTGTCTTTCGTTTTGAATTAAAATTGTTAAAAAAAATGCTACCTTGCACAGCTTTAAATCAAAGGGCTCTTACTAGAAACGGATCGATAAAAAATCCAATCTATTGGATAAATAATTTAATACTGCATATACATGCAGAATTAAATTGTTTCGGAAATGATGATTGTCTGTTTTTGAAGAACAATTCACGTAAATGCATCTTCAGAACCCTACAAAGAATTGTTCCAAGGATTCGTTTACAAAAAGAGCGTTGCACTCTATCTCAACAATGAATCCGATATCATCAAAAAATTGTTACAAGGGTCGTTTACGTAAAAGAGCGATACACTCTATCTGAACGAGGAATTGGATCTCACCAAAGAATTGTTAAAAGTGCTGTTTCCGTAAAAAAGCCTTACAGTCTATCTGAACGAGGAATCGGATATCCTCAAAGAGTTGTTACAAGGGTTTGTTTACGTGAAAAGCGTTATATTCTATCTAGACGAGGAATCTGATCCCATCAAATAACTGTTCAAAGGGTTCGTTTACGTAAAAGAGCGTTACACTCTTTCTGAACGAAGAATCGGATATCAACAAAGAGTTGTTACAAAGATTTGTTTATGTAAAAGAATCGGATATCAACAAAGAGTTGTTACAAAGATTCGTTTATGTAAAAGAGCTTTACACATTATCTGAACAAGGAATCGGGTCTCCTCAAAGAGTTGTTTCAAGGATTCGTTTACGTAAAAGAGCGTTAAACTCTAATTGAAACGGAAATCGGATCCCCTTAAAGAATTGTTCTAAGGGTTCGTTTACGTAAAAGAGCGTTACACTCTCCCTGAACGAGGAATCGGATCCCCTCAAAGAATTGTTTAAAGGGTTCGTTTACGTAAAAGAGCGTTACACTCTCCCTGAACGAGGAATCGGATCCCCTCAAAAAGTTGTTATTAGTGTTTGTTTACGTAAAAAAGCGATACATTTTTGTTATTCAATGTTTACTTATTTTGTGTTATATCTCGTCTCGCTATTTTTAATATGTACCACCTTTGTAAGTATTTAGTATGACGATAAATTTTCACTGCTGTTCTCGTACTATGAACAACAAAATCATTTATTTTGTAAAACATATTTTCGTCCTCCTAACAACAAAATTATTATATTTAAATTTACCTGTGTACGTCATTTTATTTAACGTCATTTTGTCCAAAATTATAGTTGTCTTTTTGATATTGTTTTACATCCCCCTTTTTTATTCAATATTGTATTTAATATTGTGTCATAGATAAAATTTATCTGTTCAGTGTATGTTTAATTGTTTTTGTTAATATGTCTTTTTGATTGAGGTAAGCCATTTCAGTTGCTATTTTATAGTGTGTCTTTCTATGTTATAAGGTTACACTACTATTTCAGGTTAGGGTGAAGGTTGGCGCCTGTTAAAACGTTTAAACATGCTGAATTTTTTGCAACTGTCCTAAGTCAGGAACCTGTTTCAGTGGTTGCCGTTTGTTGATGTGGTTCTTAAGTGTTTCTCGTTTCGCGTTTTTTATATAGATTAGACCGTTGGTTTTCCTGTTTGAATTGTTTTACACTAGTCTTTTTGTGGCCCTTATAGCTTGCTGTTCGGTGTGATCCAAGGCTCCGTGTTGAGGGCCGTACTTTGACCTATAATTGTTTACTTTTTACACATTATTACTTGGATGGAGAGTTGTCTCATTGGCACTCATACCACATCGTCTTATTTCTATTTACACTTTGTCTGAATGAGGAATCAGATCGACACAAAGAGTTGTTACAAGGATTCGTTTACTTAAAAGAGCGTTACACTCTATTGGTATGATATTGTAATTATTATGTTTATTTATCTTGGCCTAATTTTTTTTTGTTTGGCCTTATAACATGTATAATATGCTAACATATTATTTATAGTTGTTTACAAAATAATGATATAATTATGCAGTTTAGAAATCACTGGAACAATCATAGATACTGATGAATAGAACTTTCTATTTGACTTAAATATTAATTCTGGAATGATCATTATCTACGATGTGTAATTTAAAATTCTACCGTATTCCAGAAGTTACCGTTCTACAGTTTCTAGGAGTTTCCCTTCTACAGTGTTCTAGAGATTTCGGCCACAACTTTATATATATAGACACTAAAGTTAGACTTTCAGATTAGACATTAATATTCTCAGAAGTTCTCTGGAGTTGACATTTTTATTTACGAAAATCATACTAGATTGTAACTACTGGACATAATATTCTGTTTGGATTTCGTTACAGTGAAGAGAAGAATTCCGGATAAAGAAAAGACAAAAGATCGGACATATATTTTAACAGTTAAGTTGACATTTCGATTTGTATAATATTTCTTGTAAAATTGTATAATAAATCTTGTTAAATTTTATTACTGATTTGTGTCTGTTGGCTACAGTTTAAAGGTGATTTCTGGCCGTAACACTATCTAAACGATGAATCGGATCTGGTCAAAGAATTGTTATAAGGGTCGTTTACGTAAAAGAGCGTTACACTCTATATCAAAGAGGAATCGGATTCCTTCAAAGAATTGTTCTAAGGTTTGTTTACGTAAAAAAGCGTTACATTCTCCCTGAACGAGGAATCGGATCACCTTAAGGAGTTGTAACAAGGGTTCGTTTACGTAAAAGATCGTTACACTCTCCCTGAACGAGGAATCGTATCCCCTCAAAGAGTTGTTACAAGAGTTTGTTTGATTACAAGAGCTTTACACCCTCCCTGAGCAAGGAATCGGATGAAACATCCACAGTTCTACAGACCTTATAAAACTTAGCCAAATTGATACTTATCTAAGCATGGATTTTACTGCAGGGTTGGAGAACTCCAAGTGATCATATTAATATCCCTTGCCCTGTCAATCTATGTAGATTGTTTTTATAGGTTTTTACATATATCAATTCATATTACAGATAAAAAGTAAAATAACAAAAATACCGAATTCAAAATGGAAAGTCCCTTATCAAATGGCAAAATCAAAAGCTCAAACACATCAAACGAATAGAAAACAACTGTCATATTCCTGACTTGGTACAGACATTTCCTTATGTAGAAAATGGTGGATTGAATCTATGTTTTGTAGCAAGCTACACCTCTCACTTGTATGACAGTCGCATACAATTCCATTATATTGACAACAATGTGTGAACAAAACAAACAGACATAATAGGTAAAAATGTCAAAAATAGGGGAACAACAATCAACATTGTGTTATAATCATAAACTCTATAAAAACAAACAAATATGTCAACAAAGAAAAACAAAATAACATATAGACAAAGCACATAAGCAAAAATGAAAGACAAGAATACAAAAAATGACCACAGCAAAACACATTGGCGGGAAACATAATAACCGACCCACGCCGAAAGGATATCACAAAAAATAGATTAAACAGTAAAGGTTAATAATTTACAAAGACAAATAAAAGAACACTATACGCGTGATCAGAAAGGACTAAATAGACTTTTAGTAAACTTGCCGACACTAGAAAACTCATCATAGATACCAGGTTTAAAATTGTGTACGCTGGAAACACGTCTCGTCTACACAATTCTCAACAATGACACTCAAATAAAAATGTTGTAAAGGCAAAATAAAGGACGAATGTAAAGAGTTTTAGTGTTCATTATAGACCTATTGATCGGTCCATGCTATCATTGTTTATAGCGACAACCGGTGTTATCTCTGCCAAACAACTCTGGACAACAGTTACTCTTATGGTAGAAACGAATTGCTAAAAATAATCACCAAAACATATGTTGTTCTCTATAGGAGATATTAGTAATTGAATCTCAGTGGATATTGAATAAACATGTATAATACAAATGTGGTCAAATTGACTTTGACATCAAAACTCATGCTAAAAGCGGAGGGAAGGGGGTCCGTTTCGCTGTATGGTAGAATTATTGATAGAAAATCAAGTCTGGTCAGAATTAAAACGTTAAAGCCATTATTTTAAGAGTGTTCTTTTACATTGTGGATTGCTGCAATAAATCTATGCAGGGTCTATATGTGACTTTTTGTAATGCAAATAATTGCCCTTAACTAATTAAGCTATATAACCCCCGACAAAGTATGAAAAAGGTTTAACCAGAAAACATGATACATGTATGTTTTATGTATAAAAATACACAAAAGACAAATATGAGAGGTAGGAACAATCGACAACTACCGAATGATAGACTCCTTCCGGACTTAAGACGGGATAAGGATTTTGAGCGCTCAGTCCTCAAACTTACATAGGGCCGTGGTGTAACAGCATAACCTAAGAGCATACTGGTTTATGTTGATTTCGTTGTCGTCCTGAATAAGCATAGACTATTTTCGGTTACAAGTTAAGTAAACCCATTTATCCCCGGCTTAGTATATTTCTAGGATTCTGATTGGTTAACGTACGTCGTTACAAAACCCATAGCCCCTGGGTGTTGCTAACCCATATCCCCGGACGTTGCTACCCATTACATCGGGGAATTTTACGCGCGTTTTCCTTAGTTCCATGGTTGTTCCTTATGAAATATCGAATTTTGTAGATTTTCCATGATGTCTGTATAATTAAATATTTAATCCACTAACGATTTTATCTTATTATATCGATTATTTGCACTCATTTTAGTAAATGCATCACTATGCAGCCACATTGTCAATGAATGGTACTACTGACCTAGCTATGCAAATGACCCACGTTGACGTCACACCGTTTATGATGTAACTCTCACAACATTGCGAGCCAAATTCGACCCATTTCAGTTTCTCTGTCTCTAGTTTAAAAACGTCTTATATTTGTCTACCTGTAGGGTTCTACCAAAGGTAGTACCCTACACCCCGTTTAAAATATGTCAAATTCCCAAATTTCAATAAAAGATATTTAAAAAATGAAAAAAACGTTGCTTTCACGTTTACCTTTGTGGTCGAATTTCTCTAAAAATCGCCAGATTTAGACTAAGACCGGGGATAAATTCGTTATCTACGTTCATATCCGTAGATATGGATATTTTAACACCCTTCAGTACCCTGTACACCCTTCGGCTGCACCTCAGGGTGTACTTAGATACTTCAGGGTGTTAAAATACCCATATCTACGGATATGAACGTAGATAACTTATAATATAGAATCAGTGTTTAATGCAGTCACTGTGTATTGGTTTCCAAATTCAAGATTATTTCTGTTGAATTGATTGCAAATCTCTTGAATATTTGATATAATAAGTGTGATAAAAATCGTTCCGTTTCTATTTCAGATACTATCAAAGGCTACGCTGTTTATTTGTTCTTTATATTTATGAAATATTTGCAAATAACAATCAAGGCTTGCATATGACTTTTAAATTTATATTTTTTCCATTGGCTACTATTTACCGTAAATCCTAAGTTAACATTTCGTACTTAAAAGTGATCTGCCATATTTACTAAATGGCTGCAACCCATAAATGTGCGATTACAGTTAAAGAATTGAAAATAAAACAACACCTACCCCAAAAACGCCATTTCAATTAGATGTTAACTTTATATTTAAAATTTTAATTATTCATACCTGCTTATTCAAATTTTTTATATCAGTTTCATTTCCTGTTTTATTGAAATAGATATTTTTTCCCATGTGAATTCAATTAATCATTTTTATATTTACATGAACTTGTACAACTATAAAGCACTTATCAACAATAGTTTCACTGAATCCTGGAAAAAATTATCAAGTTAAAAGTAAATATAGAAAATATCAATAAATTTAAGAATTGGACTGAGGAAGTAATACATTGTTTTATCTATAAAAAAGTTTAAAATGCAACATATCAAATGTGTTGTAGTCGGTGACGGGTGAGTAAACATTCTAATATGTTTTCTTTATTCGTACGAATATCTAAAGGAAAACGATTACCTGGCATATAATTATATGAAAAAAATTCTCTTAAAGTTTTCTTTACAGTTTGTTCATTAAACTGGTTTTTTTTTCAGAGAGTCTCAGTTTTATATTTTATGTTGTATATAATCTCGATCTTTAAATCATTCATTCGTTGTTATCATTTGATTCAATTTAAGATGAAATCCCAACGTCAGCTAGACCCTTCCAAAATATTCCTCATTTTTACGTAATGTGTTGAGGAAAAGAAGCTTTCACTATATCAATATGAAATGTTGGATATATACGTCAAATACTTAAAATGTCAGAGCAGAAAACAATGCGAATATGGAAAATTCTGATATGACGTTACTTGTTTCATTCTGGAATATCTTCCATGTAAATAAATGTAGTACACAGTACACGATGATTTCTGGGATATCTTTCATGTAAACAAATGCAGTACACATTACACGATGATGGACAGAAAAAAAATATGACATATGATAATTTGAACACAAAAAAGACAAATTCTTGTCATTTGCATATTTTTTAATTAGAATCCAAATAATGTATGTCATGTTGTAATTAACAATGTATATTCTATTTAATCATTAGCCGTTACGGAATCTAAAGAACTATGGGTAATTCCTTACAAATCTAGGACATTTTACGAAATATGACCCAATAGTAATCAACATCTACTATACAACGAATTGCATTAAAATAGGAATTAAAGATACTTTTATTTCTTTTTCAGAGATGTTGGGAAAACGTGTTTATTGATGTGCTATTCAACTAATACTTTCAATGACGATTATCTTCCAACAATGTAAGCACATATTTTATTTTACTCATCATCGATTTCAAATGTATTTGTAGTAAAAGGCCACACTAATTTCTACTTCTTTGTAGTTACTCAAACCTATCTATTATCATTTTGTTTAAGATAAAAAACTATTACTCCGTTTAACGTAGAAAAATCAACCGATATGTTCCGCATGGTTTTAAATATCTGCCAGGAGAATAGTTAATAAACCCATCTTAGATGCATGGAACAAAATGTGTACACCAGACGCGCGTTTCGTCTACGAGATACTTATCAGTGCCGCTCGAATCAAAAATGTTTAAAATGCCAAATAAAGTTGAAGAGCATTGAATACACTAACTTTCAAAGGTTTTACCAAATACAGCTAAATTTAATGTAATATATTCCTGTGGTAAAGCATCCCAAGTATTTTGAAAAATTCAAAGTTTTGTAATAGAGAATTGACAGGGTTCTTCTAAAAGGGAAGGTGTTTTCGTGTTACATTTCGCAGAAAATATCATCTATTATAATTTATACGTTACAAATTTAACTTCCCGTTACTTATTGTATGTATAAATATCTGGGAAATACGTCTATGATTTAAAGTACTTATACCCTGTAAATGTAAACATATCTTTTCCCCTCACAATTTTAAAACTTTGTGAAAACATTACTTATAGCTTAACAAGCTGCTCCATGATCGTTAGAAAATAATAAAAATAGCTCTTCATAAAGTGTATGCATCTGAAGTGCTTTTTCTTGATATCACTTTCTATTTACATTTAATCGACTGTTTGAATATGGAAACAACTTTCAAGTGTCTTAAAAATGTTATGATAAGAAATAGTATATAATAAACCATCGTGGTTCTCAACTGACAAACATATATACTCAGGTTACATACAAACTACCAACAGAACGTACAAGACGACAACTCCTTATCTCATAGTAATACTCTGAATAAAACTCAAAGTTGAATGTCGGCAGTAGATATCACAATAATGTTCCAATTCCAGGATTTAACTCATCATTTTCTTTGGAAAATGCCTGTGCCAAGGTGGGAGTGTGGTAGTTGTTTTTCACTTGTTCCGTTGATTAATAGCGTTTAACTTTTGTCGGATTTTATGGACTTCCACTTTTGGGGTTTTCGATGGGGTTCTGTGTTTTTGTTGTACTTTTTTGCAGCATTTTTGCGAAGAGTCGGTCAACTTTAACGGAAAATTCGATCTTGTTATTTATCAGATTTATTAGATCATTAGGCCTTTTACATGTTTTAGAGATGCACGTTTCTACGACAATTCGGCTGAGATGTTGTTAAATACTTAAACTTATGATTAAATTTCAATGGATTTACTTTCAAGTTATGGCCATCGTTGATAAATACCGACACATGATACGCAATTTCGACAATACATGTCTCTTCAGTGATGCTCCAGGCCAAGAGATAATAAAATCTACTACTGAATATAATTCCTTCCTGCTATATATAACCAAGGTTTCAAAGTTGTTCGCATACATTATAGTTAATGATAATATTACATCATCATTCAAATATCAAATGTTGTGTAGATTATGGGATATGCAAATTTGATTGGGAAGTGTACACATCTTTCAATGGCTGATATCTCACGTACAAACCTGTAGCAATTGGTGCCACATGTTGAGCAGGACCTGCTTACCCTTCCGGAGCACCTTATATCACTCCCAGTTTTAGGTGGAGTTCGTGGTGCTCAGTGTTTGGTTTTGTGTACTGTTATTTGTCTGTTTGTCTTTTCTTTTTTGGCCATGGCATTGTCCGTTTATTTTTTATTTATGAGTTCCAATGTCCCTTTGGTATCCTCTGCCTCTCTTTTTGCACAATTAGGTATCGTTACGTCAAACAAAAGGAAAATATTTTAACAGTCCCATATCTTGAGTTATAGAAACCAAATTAATTAACTTCTCATGTTGTTAATGGGCTAGAAATAAGAGATAACGACAACTTATCAAAATTGATGATTTTCAGTACTAGGCAAAATCCCGCTTTTGTACATAATGCCAGATTCGGTCAACTATCTTAAATAATTTCTGGATACCAGTTGAAAACACGTACTAATAATTATAGTTCATCATAAAAAATTATCCTCTTCTGAAGCACAAACAATTCTGTAAATTCCGGTTGGTAATTCTAACCACGTTTGTGAAAAAACATGACATGCCCACAAATGTTAATGACGATCCTTTACTCAGAATAGTGCGAATTTGTTTCAAAATTGAAATTCAGTAGCTTTTTAAAAATATAAAAATTTTTGAATTTCATTTAACTTTATTATGTTTATATATTATTATATAAACATAATATAATTTACATATAAAGCCAATTATGTAAATCAATTGTATCTGATTTTATGCCCTTTATGGGCCCTGTAATTTGGGAAATAAAAATATTCTATTCTATTCTATTCTATTCTATATATGAAAATTACTATTAATTAAATTTTTTTTGTCAAATGGACACATTAGTTTCCTCGTATTTATTGTTTAACGTATGTCATGTCGAGACGTTTGATTGCTTGCTATTTGGTATGGATTTTTGCTCGATGTTAAATGCCGTACGGTGACATATAGTTGCTAACTTCTACATCATTTGTTCTCTGGTGAAAAGTTGTCTCATTGGTAATCATATCTCATTTTTTTAATTTTTATATGAAAGTGAACATGCATTAAATATGTTAAATATATTCATTGTAGATTTGATAATTATAAAACAACCGTAAAGGTGAATGACATTTACGTAGAGTTAGGATTATGGGATACAGCAGGTCAAGAGGATTTCGATCGATTCCGCCCATTATCATATCCACAAACGGTAAGTTTTTGGGTCTGTCTAGATTTTCCGTTCAAAATTGAACAGGAATGTAAATTTTAGATAAAGGAACGGTAATATCACCTGAATACAATCTGTTAGTTGTTCTTTGATTATGTTTTCTTTCTACGGCTTTGAAGCAATTTACAATACAACAGAATGAAAGATACTAAAGTGCTATAAAAAAAGATTAAGTAAAAAAAAACTCATTGCCAAAAAGAAAAAAAACATTAAAAAGAAAAAGTTAACAAAATACTATACAACAAATAAGGATTGTTCAATACAAGCCTAACCGAAAACATATGGTTTTATTTCCGGTGCTGCGGAAGGATAGCAGATTGTCCTAGAAAGTGACCATTTTCTGCGTTATGCTCTGATACATATATTTAATAACGGTCAGGCACCCGCATTTCTTTAAAGTAATGACCTCAAACTCGGAAAACTATAATTCACATTATATTTTCGTATAAAGCATACCCCTTCCCATCCTCATCCTAGTCAGAGCATTGCAATATTTAAACTACGTGTGCTGTCAACAATCTCTGGAAGTTTTTAATCCATTTATTTTAAGTAATTTTCTGATTTGTTATTCCGTACATGTAGCTCTGACATAATCTGAGGTAAACTACACGCGCTGAAGACTAATAAAACATAATAAACATGAATGAAGAAAAAACATAATGCACACGGGAAGTAAAAAGTCATGGATTTATAATACACGTATACATTTTGTAGTATTTATTTAACAAAAATTAAGCAATCTTCTATATCTTAAATCAATCTAGAATATAAAGAAAGAAACAAAAACTGAAATAAGTGATTGAACTTCATTCAATGCAAGACCGGAAGCGTTAACAGGATAAGCTTCTGCTGCTATACAAAACTTCAGCCGGCATTTGAGATTAGCGCTTAAATTGAAAAGATGAAGACTAATCAATATAGATACCGTATTATATATATATATATATATATATATAGATATGTAACTAAAGAAAGTTTTAAAATGTTTGTCTACAAAACATTAATAATCATACAATATTTCAATTTCAGGATGTAGTTCTTGTATGTTTTTCACTTGTTCATCGGACAAGTTTTGAAAATGTTACTGACAGAGTAAGTATTTACAGATGTATTTTTTTTTATTAAACCCACACTGAACGAGGCAGGGTGTGTTTTGATGAGTGTTTCGAAAGTAAAGTATTATCATATAATAAATATCGAACTGTAAAGTGAATTCAAAACGTCTGCTTGTTAACAACATTTTCAACAAAGAATTAATTCTGTAATAGATTTGTTCGTCCCCTGTTTTATATAAATAATATTTATCTGAATCAGATATTTACGAAACATCTTCACAGAAAAATTTCTTCAAAAGCAGAGAGCGGGATGTAATTGTCGAAGCTCTGTCTACTTATTTTATTCGAAGGTAACTGATGAGTCTTTTGTAGACGAAACGCGTGGCTGGCGTACATAATTTTAAATCTTATATCTCTGATGAGTTTATTCAAACCGTTTCTACCTTTTGAATTTTTTAAATCCAAGAAAGATGTGTCACGCGCCCCAGACTCAGACTTGTGTTAGGAATATAGTAGATAATTATTATATACTTTAGTTGTGAAAGTGACCGCTTATTTGTCGTCGATGTAAAAATAAAAATCGGTTCATACTGGATATCAATTCTATTTTATTTCTATTTTTGTTGAGAGTGCATCGTTTATTTGAAAAAAAGAGAGTGAAATCTGTGAAAGTTTCTGTTCTGCATTGAAAATAGAATAGTCTACCCCTTACAACATGTACATCTAAACGTAACCTTGAATTTCTATTTACAACAAAAAGAACGTCTTGGATGGAAAAAAAATTATTCACATCAATGCAGTCGGTTAAATCAATATTTATTAGAAACCAAATGAATTAGGAGATACCTGTATTGTCCTTTAACATTGGCCTACATAAAATTTGCCGGGATGACGTCATAGTCATGCGTCCGGTATCAAACAATATACCAGACATGTTAAGGCGCTGTCTACTCGTTCGAATAAAAAATAGTTGACCGACAACAAAAGTATTTGGATTTTTTTAGATTTTTATTACAGTAACTGAAGAAAACAGCATATTCCAATAGATTATTCACTGACAAGTAGACCGTTTATTTCCCCCTCAAAATATAAAATGTCACCCAATCAATATCGTCATTAGGTAAAGACCGTTTTAAATTTGTGTTCTTTATGACGTAGGTCTCTCATATACAACGTTGCAGGTTATTTCATATTACATCTAAACTAAATATTGCCATTTAATTACTTTATTGTATTACAGTGGATTCCTGAAATCCGTCACCACTGTCCAGAAATACCAGTCATTTTAGTGGGCACAAAACTTGACATTCGACAAGACGGAGAACCACAAAAATCAAAACATATTTACAAAAATAATAACACTGTATCATTCAGTGAAGGACAATCTTTAGCCAATAAAGTCGATGCCGTAAAATATTTAGAATGTTCAGCCAAAACTCAGGAAGGGCTGCATTTGGTGTTTGAAGTGGCTATAAAGGCTGTGTTATTTCCATCTCAGCACAAACAAAAACGCAGACCGTGTATTTTGTTGTGAAATTGTTCAGCACGATACAATATGTAATATCATTGTAAACAGCGCTAGCGTTTACAAATATAACATTCAAAATTAAATAATAAACAAATGATTGTATAAATTGTCAAAGGCCTTCTTTCTCTTCAGATTCTTGGCTTAGCTTCTAGTATACGCTATTGCTCGATAGATACATTATTGCGACAAGTGATTCGTAGTTCAAAAGAACATCTGACAATGAATGGATTAGACCTGGGTCAAGGGAGTAAGTCGTTAAATTAGTTTAGCTATTGTTGTAGCCATTACTTTCTGCAACGTCCAGCAAGCATTCATGTGGAACAGAATTAGAGTTATCTGGGTTATTGAGAAACTTGGAAACATTTCTTTAGAAATGGTTAGCTAAACGTACGAAAGATTCCAAAAGTTATGTCCCACCACTCGTTCCTAGTGTTTACTTCATTAATAACGAACATTAAGTATGTTTTACCACGGGAACGATTGTTAGCCTGTTATCAGAGAATAGTTCTTTTAAACAAAACACATCCGCGTTGATACCAACAAAAATCAACAATGATGGTTTATTCGTAATTCAAGTATGAATAATGAAAAACACGGACAACTAACATCGCCATAGAAAAAAACAAAACAAAAACAGACGAAAATACAAACAAGTCCATAAAATATTACAAAAACAAATACTAAAGATTTAGCAAAACGAACCCCACAAAAAACTGGGGGAGAATTTAGGAGCTCCGGAAAGGTAAGAACTTCCTGCTATAAATGTGGCATCCGTTGTATCGCTCATACAAGTATGCATTCAGTCAAAAGCCTCATTTGTTGATGGCACAATCGAGAAAAAGAAAACGGGATTATGTTTAAAACAATTGGAATATATCCGTTGTCATTTGTGGCACAGATATTCTATATCGGTCAACCAACTCGTAAGTCCGTAAAACTATCGAATGGGTGTCTTCAACCGAACTGTATGCTTGATCATTACGTTAACTAGCTGTACAGGTTAGAAATGCACCCATCTGTTTGGCAAAACCACAACTTACAAATACGTTAAAGAGCTCATCAAACCAAAAAAAAAAGGACTTAAAGTATAGACAAGTAATCAGAGCTTTGCAATAGAGAGATATATTTCTTGATTTTAAATGATTTTTTAAATTGTATATCACAACATTTAAAAAGAAACATTATCCGTATGTTGATGCCAGTATGAACGTACTGGTTACTGGACTGGTGATACCCTCGTTGACTAACAGTCCACCAACAGACTAAATAGTATGTTTTTCTTTCCTAAAACATGATATCTGTATCTATCATATAGCTCTTCAACTGTTTAGGGTATTATACATTCTTGACGTTCATATATTCGGCTTTGAGCGTTCCTGATGAAGGTAAATCCAGAAAAGCGCGTCGGACGCATAAAACTTATAACGTGTTGTTTTCATTTTTGGCCATTCCTTTTATGAAACAAAGTTGGACAAGTTCTTGCAACTGTCTTTAGGTTTAGAATTGGTTTTACTAGCGTAGGGTGAAGAAGAAATATGCTTACACTATATGTGCTCTTCCTAACTGATCATTTTATTTTTTTAGTTTCCACATATAATTCTGACGCCCGACTTTGATTGCTGACAAAATAGATGCTTATAGTTTGGAAAGAGGTTTCCTCAAGTTGTTGGTAGGGACATTTACGTAGTTTTGGTATCCAGATCAAGTTCCTCGTCTAAGATCGGGTAAATCGAATTTAACTTTCACATTTCGTCAAAATGTGGCTTATTTGTACATCTCGCATAGTAAACGGACGACTCTTTTAAGCGTGGATGTTATTGTCAGGTGAGAGAACTATATTTATCATCCACTGGTATTTCATATAAAACTATCATACAAATGGGAGGTTAAGCTTGCCATGAAATCAGGTCTAACGTACCATTTTCTCGAAAAAAAATATTAATTACTTTGGGATACCATACGGCATATTTTGTTATTAGTGCATAAAACGGCGAAACATGCTACACAGAAGAACAAGTTACCAGTATGCTGGGGTTTCTAATTGACAACATACTTGTTGAATTTGGAATTAAGCTTTTTCAACAATTGTCGGCATTCCTATGGGAACGAACTGTGAACCTTTCCTTACCGACCTCTGCTTATTTTCATATGAGTCGGAGTTCATTCAGATACTTGTCAAAACTAGAAGATCAAAGAAGCCAGATAATTTAATTATAGATTCAGATATATTGATGATGTTTATTCCATTAACAATCCAAACTTTTCTGATTAGGTTCCATTAATATATCCTCCAGAACTAAAATTAAAGAATTTATAGACATATACCTCGAATTTGACATAAGCGGTCATCTCAGTACCAGAATATATTACAAACGAGACGATTTTAATTTTGAAATTTTAGATTTTTCCCACCTTAGCAGCAATTTACCAACTCATTCGGTATTCAAGAGCTTGTATCTGCTACTCAGACTCTATACATTGTCACCAGTGTCTGATAAGAAAGATGATGAACCAGGGTTATGTCAAAGAACGTCTTGTTCTTTTTCTAAAAAAAAGTTCATCGGAAGATACCACGACCTTGTAAATATTCCGTATCAACTTCACAAATAATACATGATAGTCTGGGAGGTATAGATTCTAGGTTCTGACGTTGTTTATCAACTTAATTACGTGTTAAAGTGTTCTTTTAATTTGTCCTTGTACATATTTTACCTTTACTGTTTAGTCTATATTTGGTAATATACTTTTGGCGTGGCTCGGTATTCATACATCCCGACATTGTGTTATTGTTCTATGGTCAATTTAATATTCTTGGTTTTTTTATTTTTGCTTAATATGTACTTTGTCAATATAATGGAATACAAGTGAGTGGTTTAGCTAGCTATAAAACCAAGTTTAAATCACCATTTTCGACATAAGGAAATGCCTATACCAAGTCAGGAATATGACAATTGTTTTCCATTCATTTGATATGTTTGAGCATTTGATTTTGCCATTTGATAAACTTTTCGTTTTTAATTTTCCTTGGAGTTTGGTATTTTTGTTATTTTACTTTTCACTGTTCTGATGGTCAAGGCTTATAATTGTTTTCAGCGACAACTGATAGAATATCTACCAGAGAGGGGCGAAAGATACCAGAGGGACATTCAAACTCATAAATCGAAAAAAAAACTGACAACGCCATGGCTAAAAAAGAAAAAGACAAACAGACAAACAATAGTAGAAAAAACACAACAAAGAAAACTTAAGACTAAGCAACACGAACCCCATCAAAAACTAGGGTTTTTCAGTTTCTTAATTCTGATTTGTATCAACGATCTCAGGTGCTCTGGAAGGGTAAGAGATCCTACTCCACATGTGCCACCCGTCGTGTCGCTCAAGTTAGTACAAACCCGGTCAATAGTCTAATTCGGTAGGTCACATTCGTGAAAAGGGAACGGGATTGTAGTTACGACATTAGGAACATATCCGCTATCATATGTGTAACGGATATTCCATAACGGTCAACCAACTCCTGATGGCGTCCGTAAAATTAACGAAGGGATGATTCCAATTTCACCATTTGGAACTTTTGGTTTTAAAGCTTCCTTGTGAGCAGCAAGCCCAGGAATATCGTATCAATTGGGAGATATATACTCCGTTTGCAGGCGCTGCGGGACTGTTGCTACATAGAAATGGAAAGTTCACAATTGAGAAGCTGAAATCATCTCTTTTGTCGTAAAGTTTTGTTTTCAACCGACCCTCATTGTCAATTTCTAGATGTAAGTCAAGACATGAGGCAGACTAAACTGTATCTGTTGTATCCTTTATTTCTAGTTCGATGGGATAGATGCGTCAACATAGTCACCAAATTTTGAATTATTTAGTGAGAGAACATCATCTACATAGCTGAAAGTAAAGTTAAAGGATACTCCTAGCTTCTGTTCTTTCTTCCTAAGAAGTTCCTGTATGAATTCAGCCTCATAAGAACAAAAGAACAAGTCGACAAGAAGAGGGGCAGAGTTGGTTCCCATGTGCATGCCGATAGTTTGTTGATGAACACGTCCTCCAAACCTAACAAATATGTTGTCAATCAAGAAATAAAGCATCTTATTAATGTCAGTTTCAGAGAATTTTTAGTTTGTATCAGAGTGATTTTTTACAAAGTAGGATTTATCCCTCCCTAATACAAGATACTTGTATCTACGTTGGCCCTTCTTTTTTTATGAAACAAAGCAATACCAACTCTTTCAATTTGTCTTTTAGTTTGGAATGGGGAATACTTGTGTAAAGTGTAGAAAAGTCAAATGTGTTAATACTATTTCAAGATGGGCGAGTCTTAGATTGTATGTACTCTAAAAGATCTTAATAGTTTAGAAAGAGGTTTCGTTGAGCATTTGAAAGACCCAGCAATATACCGTTGTTTGTAAGGATACTTATGTAGTTTAGGTATCCAATACAATGATTGAAGATCCAGTTCTTCATCTTTGGTTGAAATTCCAAAGGAACATAGAACAGACCTATGACTATCCAGGATTTCCTCTTTAGTAAGTGTCGTGTGGGTATATGTTGGGATTTCAAGTAAATTGTCAATACCAAATTCATTTATCAAGCAGTTTATGTAATGTGATTTTCACACAGAAACGATGTTGTTTGGGGCTTTATCTGCGGGGACAACAACATATTTGTCATGGAGGTAGGACAAGTGTTTTGCAACATTTGGGTCTTTAAAGATTGACGTAGTATGGGTATTGATAGACACATTCAGTTTCGTAATTCTGATTTGTATCAACGACCTCACAGCCTTAATCTATTCGGTAAGAGTATTTACGTCTTCTTTATTGCGTTTAACCCATTGCCTGGTTATAATCCTCGACTGAATCCATCAGTATTTTGAAGTTGTGTTTCCAATTGATGGATTTAGGCCCTTTGGATAACATATTTCGCAGGGAAGTGTTATTGACAATGGTGAAGTCACCGGTAATAACATGGCCAGCCGGATTATATATAAATGTGGAACTAGCAGAGGTGCAATGAGGAAGTTCAGACTTGAAATCGTCAATATTGAGATCCTGCAACACGTGTTTGTAATTGAAAAATTTAGTTGCAATTGGTTTGGTATAGGTATAAGAAATGATTGGTACAGACTGATCTTTAAAATAGGGAGATATTTTCGATTGAACTAATTAATGATGAAGTATATTGTCCAAGTTGACGGCATCGAGACCTTTGTTGGTAAAGGAAAGTTTAAGAAAGGATCTTTTCTCTTTTTCATCTTTTCCAATGCAAACTGGTTTGAAAAGTCTATGACTTGCAATATCCGAAATGATAGCTGTAAGTTTGTATTGGTTTAAAAGAGGGTTTGTAACAGTGGTTTCCAAACATAAATTGAACAGAAAATGAAGTTTTGAAAGGGGTAATGAATAAAGCTTCGTGCGAATGTGATGAATACCTTTTGTATAAATGGCAGCAAGTCATTAATAGAGACATCATGGAGAGTTTGTGATGTATAACGACGATGACCATGATTGTGTCTACGTCGAGGAGTTGAGTTGAAAATATTCATCACATTCACCGAGCTACAGGAAGGACTAGATAGAATATCTATACCATCAATTTTGTCAATGCAACCATATGGTGTCGCAGTTCCCAATTGTCGAATCCAGAGTCTTCTTTTTGTCTACGGAGAGGCGTTGCAAGCTGAGGATTGTTAGTCCTGTGGTATATGTAATAGTTATACACCGAGGGATAGGTGTGTCTGGATACGAAACCCCGACGGCCGGAGGCCGGAGGGGTTTCTAACCAGACACGCCGTATCCCAAAGTGTTTAACTAACTTACACCCAATGTTAAACCCTATATTTGTTAACATTGGTAATTAAATGAAAAAGAATGGATAGCATTTTCATTGACAAAATTGAACCATGAATTATAAGAAAAATATTGTTTTTTACATGAAACCCCACTAGTGACCTTACTTTGGCTATGTTCTTTCAAACTTTAACCAGTGAGTAGATTTTAAAAATGTCAAAGTTGCTGTTTTGCATATATTCCCGTTAAATCCTGGTGCTAATATGGATCAGAAGTTCTAGGTTGATCGTTTCGTGCATTCTTATCACAAAAAAAAATACATCATGCTCCTTGTAGGCAGTTGTCAATATGGACGGGTATAAGACGGACGACATTTTGAGTCAAGCGTTGGATTTGGTAGAAGAGACTAAAGATAAAGGCAATATTATAACCCAAAGTACTTTTTCGAGAATAAACAAACATTTATATTCGGACACACTGAGGGATAGGTGTGTCTGATTAGAAACCCGACGACCGGGATCCAGATCTAGCGTTGAAAACCTAAATAAAATTGTTCGCGATTTGCGAGAAAAAAAGTTCTGACTCCGAAACTCCTTTGAAGTTAAAATGGTTGCTCCCTAAATACATCTTTGCTTGAAAGGGGGGGGGGGGTATGATTTTTTGTCGGAGTCAGAATTTTTTTTTCTCGCAAATCGCGAACAATTTTATTTAGTTTTTCAACGCTATCAATCAAATTATTTTTCCCTTGAAGGATTTTTTTTATTCAAAATAGATGCTTCATATTTTTTTCGCTATTGCAGTTTCCTAACATGTGTTTTTTAATATCTTGAAACAACTTGTAGTGAACACTATTAGTAATTTCTCTTATGTTCATGCTATTTAAAAAAACAATCAATTTCTATTGAATGAATAACAATGGACTTTGTTTTCGGGATGTAGAAGCAGGGGTTTCCAGAAACCCCGCTCGTCACACCCTGTGGCTAAAATCCATTGTTATTCGTAACGTACACACATTTATATATATATATAGATCTATTCAATTTACACTTGTTTCAGAAATAGAAGCTATGAAGGATAACAATAGAACTTGGGTGTAATTTTTCGATGAGGCGAACTTGCATAGAAAGGATTTAATGATCAGGCTGGTTAAAATACTGGTAAAGAATGTCGCTTGCATTGTGGTTGATGTCTGATCTATGGCCGCACATACGTTTGTTTAGCCTTCCTGTCGTTTCACCGACGTATACCAATTCGGAAAGGTTACACTCTAATCCGTAGATGACATTTATGGTCAAATAATTCTGGTTAATAAGAAGTTCATTCTACAATCAGGACATATTTTGTTCTCTTTATATCATTATGAGTTCTCAGTTGGTGATCAAGGAACAACAGTGGTTGACTACATGGGTACATGTATCATAATGTAGAACTGTGTGGTTATTTATATTTATGCGTAATGTGGAGGTCGTTTCCAGTTTCGCTGTAGTTTAGATACACGATCAATTCAAATCAGAATTGGAACGTTAAATCTATGCATTGAGGATGCTGCGTTTTCTTTACGCTGTAGAACCGCTGCAATATTTCTTTGAAGGGCATGTATTTGCCATTTTTTAAGGGAAAAATCCCAGCCTTTTTCAAGCCTACAAGTGAAAGACCGACTGCCGCTTTTCATCAAGCTCCACTTCCACTTACTGTACGGTCTAGTTTTGCTTAATTCTATCTCTTTCGGAAAAAGCATAGAATATTTGTTGTTGCAAATTTAGTAAACTCCAATAAAATATCAATGTTGAAAGCAGTCACTGTGTATGTGCTTCCAAGTATTTCGATTGAATTGAGCGAATTTCACTTAGTCATTAGAGTTTATAATACAATACTAGTGATGACAATCTACTCTGTCAGTACATTCTGTCGGTCCATCCGCTTTCATACCCTATCAACTGATTTTTGTTTATTTTATCTAAATACATGAAATATGTTTTGAAATATTTGCAACTGGACGTTAAGAATGAACAGCAATTGGATCAATATAACGATGAACGCAATAATTTATCCGTCTTAACTTTATATACTGTAAACCAACTAATTTTCCCGTGCGTTTAATTTTCGCGAATTTCGCGAGAAAAAAATAACGCAAATATAAATCGCCGCGAATACGTAAAACTTGTATCTGCAAAATAAGTTGGTTTACTGTACAGTATGTTAAATATGTGTACCTTGGAGTATCAATAGTCCTACCTTAATGACATGTCATTTGGTTATGGCCTTGTATGACATAAAATTCCTTACCTTAATGACACGTCATTTGGTTATGGCCTTGTATGACATAAAATTCCTTACCTTAATGACACGTCATTTCGTTATGGCCTTGTATTACATAAAATTCTAGGATAACCATATGAAAATGTAAATAAAAAGATATAGTAGAAACCAAGGTAACACTGACGCTTTGCTTAATTATATGACTTCAAAATAAAGTTTGTTTTATTGATAGATATAGATTACATTTGTTTGGTTCCTGTTTCAAGGAAATTGATCCTTTTTCGGTTCTTGTTAACAATCTGAACTGTGAATGTATAAAAATTACAATAAATTTAAAGTTGAACAAAAGATGTTATAATCTCGTTAACCTAAAATCAAAACTTTAAGATGAAGGATGTAAAATGCGTTGTTGTCGGTGATGGGTGGGTACAATTTGATTATCACTAATTATTTGAATGAATATTTTTCACTAATGAGAAACCGATTATATATATATAGTTCTTTTAGTGTTTGTGCATACTGTTTTTCATTATTTCAGTGTGCAAACATTTTGTGTGTATTTAACCTTTGACTGAAAATTATTTCCCTGATTTATCAACTTTGTTTTATTGGCATTGTATTAAAATTTAGATGAAATTTCGAATTGTAAGGATGACATAACCCATTCGTTTTCATAGTTTGTGTTACTGATTCTTGAAACGAAACCTTTCACTCAACAAATATGGAAATTTTGGAACTATACACGATTTACTTCATGTATCTATCAAATAACAAACAAACTGTTCAATAATACTAGTATGACGTTCATTTCACTTGGATATTTCTCAGTTCAACGTGACCGAGAGGAAAGGATGACGACAGAACGTTGTGTGCACAAATGAAATTTTGATTGCGTTGACTGAAACACCGCGCAGTCCTGTGGTTTATTACAGTTTTCTATATAGATTGAAATAATACATGCAAATCCATGATTAAACGTCGATTCAATCATGGAATAAACTTCTATTTTAGAAAAATCGTACGAAAATATTGCGGTAGCCGTATTTGGCAAAACGTTTCAAAATTTTCGATATTAAATGCTCGTCATCTTCTTATATGATTTGGCCTTCCTACTGCTTTGTTTTGAGCGCCACTCATGAGTCTTGTGTAGAAGAAACGCTAGTCTGTCGTCCCAATTTATAAGTCTGGTATCTCTTTTGAGGTTTTTTACAGTCATTTGGTCGACGCCACTTGTGGTGGACGTTACGTACCCGAGGATATCCAGTACTTTTGTTTCGACATAAAAGATCATTGATATGTTTATTTTCTGTATAAAATTCTGTTTATTTGTCAATCAAAAAATTCAAAACAGTAAGATGTATCAACCTGAGACATGATTGCCTACGCCGCCGTATTTGGTATAAAGAGTTATCGGTATGTAATGTTCTTTATATTTTTATATGATTTGGCCTTCGGCTTTTTTTTATTCGATGGCCACTGAGGAGTCTCATAAAGAAAAATTCATGTACCAAATTATATGGCTGGTATCTTTTTATGAATTTTTACAGTCATTTGGTCGATGCCACTTCTGTTGGACACTTCGTGCCAGAGGATATCAGCTACTTTTGTGTTCACATAAAAGATCATTGAAATGTCATTTTCTTTAAATTTACTGTTTATGTTTCAATCGAATAATTCGAATCAGTAAGATATAGCAACCCAAGACATGATTGCCTTACCCGTTCTTGGTACTAACAGTTATCGGCTTGTAATGATCTTTAAATTGTTATTTGATTTAGCTTTCGGACTTTTTTTATTCGATCGGCACTGAATAAAGTTTCATAAAGACAAATGTACCAAACTATGAGCCTAGTATCTTTAATGAGTTCTACCAATGGTTTAACATCCAATAAAGCACGATTTGCAGTAGATTATTTAATATGAAAAATGTGCTACGTGCTGAGCTCTAGGAGGATATTTTGGTTTTTAACAACGGATTTTGCATTTTGTTTTACTTTTCATCATACTTTACGTTAATTAGATATACACTTTTGGGTTAACAGTAATCCAATTTTTAGTGCAATAAGATAGTAATTTACGTACCAATGTATGTCTAAATGATATTTGAAAACAAATTAAGAAAAAAAAAGAAACTGGAAAGAAATATCTGTTCCGCCATGTTTGTATAGGTTTTTCATGCCCACACTATATGTCCTCATGTCGATCCTTCTCCCATTAATGCTCATATTACAAATACTGTTTTTCTGTTTCAGCAATGTTGGGAAATCGTGCTTATTGATGTGTTATTCTACTAATACTTTCAACGACGATCATATTCCAACAATGTAAGCACAATTCTTTTTAACATCGAATTTACATGTATGGTTGAACAAAAGCTACATAAATTTAATTCAGATTTCTTGAGGTTTGCTCGTACCTATGTAATATTTTTTTTCTAATCTAAAAAGGAAAAGTATCTTCCGTTTTGTATTTCTAAGCAGATGTTAACATTGATATGTATGTACCATAGTTCATTTCCCGTCACTTATTGATTTGTGTAAGTGTTTCGGAAAAGGTTTGTTAAGAAACAATTGCAAATCTCCCTATGTACAATGTATGTATGAAAACAGATATGTTTCTCATAACTTGGCGAAATGTAGAGCAAACATTATGAATCGATTAACTTGCCAATCCTTAATCGTTAAAAATACATAAATTCTTTCAGAAAGCGTCGCCTTAATTCAATTCATTTAGAGAACAATATTATATTAAAACGGTTTTTTGAACTGAAGTGACAACTTGCCTTCATAATGTGTAAAAATCGGAAGACGATTCACAAACATATTAAATTAGGTTCGTATGACGTTATGAGATGTTTGTGATGAAAAGGCCGATTTAACACATTAATAAACTCCGTAAAAATAACATAAAATCTTCGTAATTCAATCAAACTCTATAAAAAAAAAATACATGTATCGTCAATCTTACAAAACAAGAAATATAATATATTACATATCAATTATATGGTCATTTTTATAAATTTACTGTTTGCAAAAGTATGTATTATTCGAAATACTAAGGATTTTCTTATCCCAGGCATATAATACCTTAGCCGTATTTGGCACAACTTTTTGGAATTTTGGGTCCTCAATGCTCTTATACTTTATACTTGTTTGGCTTTCTAACTATATTGATCTGAGCGTCACTAATGAGTCTTATGTAGACGAAACGCGCGTCTGGCGTATCAAATTATAAGCCTGGTACCTTTGATAACTATTTACACATCATATATCCTTTTGTTAATATATGAAAATAAAAAAAAAGATTAATATTGCCAATGAAACAACTACCCAACTGAGTTCAAATGACGACGATAAAAGCAATTATAGGTCACCGTACGGCCTTCAACAATGTCATAACCTCATTCCGTATAGTCAGCTATAACATGCTCCTGGGTTTGTAAATTAAAATCAAATATTACCTTAAATTTTGATGTCCTGAAAATACTCATATACATGATATACATGCATATTTGATAATTAATCTATAATGGTTTAGCAAGGCGAAAGATATTAACAGGATTTTTAAAGTCACAAGTCGAAAACCATTTGACAATGTCATGGCAAAAAAATCAAAAACGACTAAAAACAAACAACAGGACGTAAATCACAACAATGAAAACTGAAGAAAAAGCAAAACAAACCACATCAAAAACCAGGTTTGATCTCAATGCCTCGGAATGGTATGCATATACTGATCACATAAGACACCAGTCGTCAGTCGTACTTCTGCTCATGTTACTGCTATAAAAGAGAGCCGAAAGATACAAATGGCACTTTCAAACTCACAAGTCAAAAATAAACTGCAAAATAAAATTTTTTTTACTAAAAAACAAAAACGCAACATAGGAAACTATAGACTGAGCAACACTAACCCCCCCCCCCCCCCAAACCCCCCCCCCCCCCCCCCCCCCCAAAAAAAAACGGGAGTAATATCAGGTGATTTGGAAGGTATAGCAGATCCTGCTCCACATATGACAACTGTAGTGTTGCTTATGTAAGGACAAATCCGGTGATAAATCTTATTCAGTCGGTCAAATCCGGGGAAAAAAGGACGGGGTTGTGATTACGAAAATTGGAACATATCTATTGTCATTTGTGAAACAGATATTCCATAAAGGTCAACCAACTCGTTATGGCGTCCGTAAAATTTTAAAAGGGATGATATCAACTTTACTACTTGAATCTTAACTTTGTTAAATAGCTTCCTTGTGAGCAGCAACATAAGATTTGTTTATAAGTTTTTCCAAGGCATCACACAATAGCGGATTGGTAGTTGACTCTAAAATTTATCTAACCCTAAGACATCACCAAATAAATAAAACATCACCTAACCCTGAAACCTGACTGATTGAAAACTAAAAAATAGAAAAAGGATTTTGATTACAAAGGATAGACGAGACAATTACCAGTATAAACAACACAGACATTAAAAAATTATAAAGAACAAAGAACAACTCTTTTTATAAAAGTATAAGGTACAAAGACAACATATGATTGTAATGACAAAATTGATGATATAGGTATTTTGTCTAGCTCGTCCTGTAGCTCGCTGAATGTGGTGAATATGTCAACTCTGGACTTCGACGTAGACGTAGACGCAGTCATGGTCATCTCCATTATACATCAACTACTCCCTTTGATTTCTCTATTAATGACCTTTTGCCTTTATACAAAAGCTGTTGGGTATTCATTACATTCCCATAAATTTTATTCACCACCTAAAACTTCATTCTCTTTGAAAATTATATTTGGAAACCACTATTACAAACCCCCATTCAAACCAATACCAACAACTTACAGCTATCATCTCGGATATTGCCAGTCACGGACTTTCAAGACTTGTTCGCATTTGAAAAAAATGAAAAGTAGAAAATATCCTTTCTAAAACTTTCCTTTGCCAACAAACGTCTCGTCATCAACTTGGGTAATATCCTTTATCATAAATAAGTTTGATTCAGTTCAGCGAAAATACCTCCCTACTTTAAAGATCAGTCTGTATTTTTCAAATCTCATACGTAAAGCAAACCAATTACAAGTTAAATATTCAATTACAATTTCGTGTTGCAGGATTTCAATATTGAAGACTTCAAGGCTAAAACTCTGTTTGCACCAGTGCTAGTTTCCCATTCATACATAATGTGACTGGTTATGTTATTACTTATGACTTAAACATTTTCAATAACAGTTCTTTGAGAAATGTGATATACCAAGGCCCGAAATATCGTTAACCTAAATCCATTTATGGTAAATACCATTTCAAAATACCGATGGATTAAAATTCTGAATGGGTCTATGAGTACACATGCTTCATCGATCTTTAAAGAACTGAATGTTGCTTAGCACATGTCCTAACTCCATGACAAATATGTTGTTGTCTCTGCAGTTAAAGCCCTAAGCAACATCGTTTATGTTGTAAATCACATTACATAAACTGTTAGATAAAGGAATTATGTATTCACAATTCACTTTGAAACTCAACATATACCCCCTGGACGCTTACCAAGGAGAAAAACCTGAATGATCATAGGTCTGGTCTATGTTTCTTTGGAATTTTAATATAACCTAGGATGTAGAACTGTTTCGTCCTTCATTGTCTTGGATACATGAATTACATATTTGTCCTTACAAACAACGTTATATTGCTGAGTCTTCCAACTGCACTATGAACGTTCTATAGTATTAACACCAATTTAATCAGCAATCAAAGCCGGGCTGCAAAAATTGTTTTGAAACTACATACTCTAGATGTTGCGAGAATCAGATTTGGTTATTAAAATTCCATCTGTTAGAATACATACATTGTAAGTCTAGTTCCTCTTGCAATAGTGTTAAACATTTGTTTTTCTACCCTTAAGACAAGTATTTCCCATTCAAAATTAAAAGGCAATTAAACTAATTGGTCCTGCTTTGTTTCATAAAAAAGAATAGCCGAGCTGTTCCTTTATTCATATGAGGCTGACTTCATACAGGAACTTTTTTGTAAAGAATAAAAAGAAACTAGTATCATCCTTCAACTTCACATTCGGATATATAGATGATGTCCTCTCACTAAATATTTCAAAATTTGGTGACTATGTTGAACTCATCTATCCTGTCGAACACGAAATAAAGAATACAATAGATAGAGTTAAGTCTGCTTCATATCTTGACATATCTAAAAAAAAATGACAATGAGGGTCGGTAGAGAACAAAACTTGACGACAAAAGAGATGATTACTGTCTCTTAATTGTGAACTTTACATTTCCATGTAGCAACACCCAGGCAGCGCCTGCATTTGGAGAATATATCTCCCAGCTGATATTCCAGATCTTGCATTACCTATCATGATTTTCATGATAGACCGGTGCCATCACAAATCTTCCATAAAGGTGTTCAAGCTCGTGAAGGCGACCACAACATTTTCGAGGAGATGATCTTTTTTGTAAAGCTTTTTGTAATGAAAAGTGAAGATTCCCGGCCTGTTTTCCTGTTTCGAAAGGAGTAAAAATAAACTGTATAGTTACCGACAATATGACAATGTATGAGTATATAGTCTGTATCCTGAAATTTAACCTTGATTATTACATTGTTGCAAGGAAACACCGTTATTTCCAAGTCAAACAAAATTCAAATATTTTACGTGTCGTGTGTAACTTTATCGATTGCATCCTATTTCTGATTGTGACATTTTGACTGAGTGTGAATTCACATGACGGGTGATACATGCATTGCAGGAGACTCTTAAAATGTCGACGCAGCCGGTTTTGCTCCCTGTGGAGTTTATGCGAATCCCTCTGTTTCTGTTTGTTGTCTAGATTTTTCTCTTTCTAGTCGATTTACAGGATTTGAACACCAATAAACAACTGTCGCCTTAATATTTTTACAATAAAAGTCAATATAATAATGTAAGATAATAAATTACAAATTTAGAATATTCAGCTCCTGGCTGATGTGTACAGGTAAAAAAAAACGATTACTGAACAACCTGAATAAACCTTAACTGTTATTGATAATTTTGATAAATGGCAAAATAATGATTTTTTCAGTCTTTTAAGAACTGGTTACATAAAAATCGTTTCAGATTTTATTTGGTTTACGTATTGTGCATGTAGACCGAAATTGCGTTTAACTTTCAATATTTTAAATGAATTACTCAACCGTTTATCTCCAAGTTTCCAAAAAGTCGTTTTTGCGAAATATTCTGTAGCACAACCTAAGAAACTAGAGGCTCTAAATAGCCTGCGTCGCTCACCTAGGTCTTTGTGCATCTTAAATAATGGGCACTTTTCAACATGGTGTACTAAAATATAATTTATGACAATCTCTTTTTGGTTGATCTTGTATTGCTGATCATTTTCTGTTTACAGTTTTTCGAGATGTTCTTTCATTTTTACCAAAAACGAAAAAAAAGGGTTAAACAATCTTCTTTTAAGGGCAATCAGTCTACTAATGATTTTGACAAAATTTGTCTAATTTATAGATCTATTCTTGCATTTTTTTTGTTATTTAAAGTGTCTATCTATCTTTTATAATTTGAAGATAATAGGCAAGAACAAATAAATAGAGACAAACGATACTAAAGGGATAGTCAAACTCATAAGTCGAAAACAAACTGAAAATGCCATGGCAAAAAGCTAAAAACGACGAAAAGACAATTACTAGTACACAAAACACAACATAGAAAACTAAATACTGAGCAGCACGAACACTTAAACACTTGGCTTATCTCAGGTGCTCCGGAACGGTAGGCAAATCCTGCTCTACTTGTGGCACCCGTCGTGTTGCTCATGCAAGTGCAAACCCGGTGATCAGTTTAATTCGGTAGGTCACATTCGAGGAAAGATAACGGGATTGTGGTTACAACAATTTGAACATATCTGTTGTCATCTATGAAACAGATATTCCATAACGGTTAAAATAAGTAAAAATCGTCATTAAAGAGCAATTAAATGTATAAATGAGGAGTCGACTGACGATTTCGGTCATGTGATTTATTTCTAGATCTTTTCTGGCTGTTCATTTTTCCTGTTTCTCTCTATCTTGTAGTCTTTTCAAGATTATTGGCCAAAATGTAAATAAAAATGGTAAAATTAGTCTTTTAACATGTTTAAGGATGTTTCCTCCTCTGTCTTAAAGTAACAAGATTTTTAAAAGATTGTTATAAATTGGTAGTATATAGATAACGAAATTTAAGAAAAAAAATAAAAAAAAGATAAGTCCCTTAGGGACTTTCTGTTTTGAATTTTCCTCGGAGTTCAGTATTTTTGTGATTTTACTTTTTGAGATATAATCAATTGCAAATTTGGCGGGAAATGAATTTCTCTAGATTTTTCATACATTTGACATTGACACCGCTTTTCCTTCAAAAACTATGAAAAAATAACAATGACTTTCAAAAATTACTTTTAAAACTATATTTAAATAAAAATTTAAAAGAAAAGTAGGGGTAAACGGGCGAAATTTTTATTGGCACTACATGGATATAACTAGAGGATTTTGAATATCTGATAAAAAATCAAAAACTAGAGTAGCAAACATCCTCAAGGGCAATAATTCGAAGTCGTCAGTAGGTAGATCTCAACAATTTAAACATTTATGTCCCTCTCACATTTTCTCTATTTATAGTGGTTTTCAAGATATTAGTAAAAACTTGCATTTTGTCCCATGTTCCATGTTAAGCAATGTCGGCCATGTTGGTTTGAAAGTGTGGCCATTGGACACATTTTTAAATTTAGATACCCAAATAATAAGTGTTGCCAGGCTTGGTTAAATTTGTTTCCAGAAGTTTCAGAGGTGATGATTTTTGTAAAGGTTAACGGAAGACGACGACGAACGAAGACAACGGACGACGACGGACGACGGACGGCAACGAGGGACGACGTCCGACGACGGACACCAAGTGATGAGAATAGCTTAATTTGCACAACTATACATTGAACTATACAAACAATTGTTGTTATGTTTTAAAAAAATTATCTTACTTATAATTACAAAAAATGTTATCAATACTGAAAATAACGTTTTTAAACTGTATATTCAAAATTAAATTCAACCTATGGGCAAAATGAGAGGCACACACCATCAAGTTTCAACCAGAAACCAAATAACGTAAAAGTTTTAGAAATTATTTTTCACAGTATGGCCTTCAGCAATAAGAAACACCTTTAAAAGGCCCCAATGGAGTCGGATGCTGATGGTTAGTGTGGGGTGTTGTACTGTCTTATATTTCTGTTAATTCTTGTTATCCTTATTTGCATTCATGAAAAAAAATAAAATAACAAAAATACAGAACTCAGAGGAAAATTCAAAACGGAATGTCTCTTAACAAATGGCCAAATCAAAAGCTCAAACACATCAAACGAATGCAAACAACTGTCATATTCCTGACTTGGTACTGGCATTTCCTTAAGTAAAAATGGTAGATTAAACCTGGTTTTATAGCTAGCTAAACCTCTCACTTGTATGACAGTCGAATAAAATATACTGAATTTCTTTACTCAATTGTAACTTCTAGTATATTAAAAATGCTTTTCCTGAAAATATAATGTTATTTGTAAAATTGTCTCAAGATATTTTTTTTTAAATATTTATTGTAGATATGATAATTATAAAGCAACTGCAATAGTGAATGACATTCCTGTACAGTTAGGATTATGGGATACCGCAGGTCAAGAAGATTACGATCGAATCCGTCCATTATCATATCCACAAACGGTAAGTTAGGTTCATTCATATTCAAAAGTTGTAGTTGAATGGGAATATATATTTTTTTAAACAGTATCGTTTTGACAAATAATATTTCGGATCACAAACTGCGATTTTTTTTTATAAAATTTCCTTTGTAAATGCTCTGTAAAATTTTTAAATCAGTATTTAAAAGATAGCAAATCGGTAATAAAAATAAAAATCCTAAGTAAAAATAAGACAAAGCATTGATAAAAAAATAAACAAAAGACAAACAGTCCACAAAAAAATTGCTCAACTCAAGCCCTTCCAAATAAAATTTCAGATGGTTTTGGGTTCTCTTGAGGAAAGATTTTCAGTATAGTCTTTTTGTGGTAATGACCGTACTCTGGGTTATGATAATAACAAGCTGCAATTCGATGAGAAGTTGCAATCAGTGATGTCATAATCGAATCAGGAAAACCGGGTTGTAGGTACAAAAAACGAACAGAACATATCCATGGTCACCTACGACACTAATATTTTATAAAGTCAACAAAATCCTTATGCCGTCCGTCAAATGTTCGACACGGTGACCTCATTTATTTATTTTGTCATTTATGAACAAGCATGGCCCCACCATCTGTCCTAAATCCCATTCATAAAACGTCTACTTGTAATTTCAAAAATATTTTTAAATCTGAATACCTTGTTTTTATTTTTTTACTGTCAGTAACAACAACACTTATGCACGTCTTTGCGAGCTATAAATGTTTTTGTCGGTACAAACATTTTTTTTCAACTTTCAGTAAAAATATATATTTTTGAAAATCATACAAAACAAGATATTTTTAAACAGTTGTGTTACTAGGGTATCCGTCTCATGCTTTTATGCAAACTTCACATTAAATGCATGCATGGTTAAGGGGTTTTTAGGTGTAGCATGCCATTTAATAAACCTTAGAACAGATTAAAAAGATATATCTGTATAAATATTATTCTATTTTTAGGATGTATTCCTTGCATGTTTTTCAATAGTCTCTCGCTCAAGTTTTGTGAACATATGTCACCAAGTGAGTAATTATAAATACTTTTATTTTGTATTTCAACTGAACGAAGCAGGGTATAGTGTGCTAATTATGTCTGTTAAATCGTCTGCAAACCGTACTAAACCAGTGACTAAGTTCTAAGGAAATTTTATATAAAGTTTAAATACGTAATCGTTTTTACACTTCTTTAATCTAACTTATTCTTATCTGAATTTTTGTATTGCAAAAGAGGGACTGTCATATATATTTAAAAGGAGAAAATGGGAAATTAATGTGCTCACATCTTTTCTAGCCCTTGATTATGTTCGATATAAAAACCGATTTATAGACAATAAATGAACCTCGGGCTATTGTCGTGGAAGATATAATCATCCTTATCATAAGTGAGCAATGTATCGCTTGCGTTCTACAAAATAAAAAAGATCGAATATAGATTCAGCTGTTTGCTTTGATAGTAGACCCTATTCAATTGTTGATACCGTGTTTCATATAGTTTGAAATAGCTTGTTAAACTGTAAACGGTTAATCGAAACATTAGATAAAAAAACATTAAACTAAAGCTGTTAGTATGTCGCTTTGTAAGTATGTAATATTTTGCTGCTTTTGCGAAATTTACAAACGAAAAATTGTGTACACTCTGATATGCTTTCATCTTAGAAAATACTTCGAAAACTGAAAACAACACTTTATCAATTGTATATGTCCGAAGTGCTTCTCTGGATTTTCCTTCATCAGGAAAACTTAAAGCGAATATTTGAAAGCCAAGGATGTATTAGAACTGAAAAAGTTGAAAAGCTATATAACATAGTACAATACATGCTATGTAATGTAATATGCTGTGACAATACACGCACGTTTTATAGAATTAAACCTGAATCTAATTTAAACTGTTATAAGCCTCTTACAATCTAAAACTGTTTGTATATGCATGTAACTTTTGTTGAGTTTTATCTACTGACATGATATCGACTAGGCGTTGGTAAAATGCTAGTTCTTGCAAGTATAGAAAAGATTGGTATCGAGGTTGATAAAATGTGTAACATGTTCAGTTATGTTGAAGTTTCAATGTTTTTTTTTTTATCACAGTGGATTCCTGAAATCAGATACCACTGTCCAAGAACGCCAATCCTTTTAATTGGTACAAAACTAGACATTCGAAAAGACAAAGGACCAGGAAATTCAAAACATATTGAGAAAAACAGTCATCCTGTATCATTCAGTGAAGGACATTCTTTAGCAAACCAAATAGATGCTATAAAATATTTAGAATGTTCTGCAAAGACCCAGGAAGGAATAAAAGAGGTGTTTGAGGAAGCTATAAGGGCTGTGTTATTTCCATCTAAGCGCGAACCAAAACACAGATCATGCATTTTATTGTAAAAAGTGATGAGAATAATATAATAATTATGTTTTAATTGTATGCAGTTATCAAGTACCAATAGAAGATAATTATACCTGATTACAGAAAAAATAAAACAAGATTATACAAATATATTGCAATGGCCTGTCTTTCTTTTGATATGTTTTGACTAGTTTATCTTTTATCCCTTAATAATCGATGGGTGCTTCATCGTGTAAAGTGAAATCTAGGCCAGTGGAACATCTTTCAATTAAGGTAGTAGACCTGGGTCAAGGGAAATAGTTTATAGAATCAGTAATGTTATTGGAAAAGTCATGCAGTTTCAACAAAATATTTAAAGCATTTATAAAAAACAATCTTAGAAACTTGGAAACTTACTTATTTAAATAAACTGATCCAAACGTACTAGTGATGCTTAAAGTAATCCCCCTTAACCTAGCACCTCTGGTTAATGACGGACAGTAGAAATTCTTTGCTATAATTGGAACGGGTGGTGGTTTGTAATCAGACAAAATGATATGTTTATGTATAACAATACACGAAAGACAAATATGACAGGCAGGAACAATCGACAACCATTGAATTACAGGCTCCTTTATTTGTTCTGTATATTTATGAATTATTTCAAATAACAATCAATCAAAATGACAGCAAACATAAGATTTGCATATGACTTATTTCTTTTCTAATAAGACAAATGCGGTAAATTAAAAACAAATGAAGATAAAAAAAACAAATATGCCGTGTGTTTGCCACTGCTGGTGGACGTTTCGTCCCCGAGAGTATCGCCAGCCCAGTAGTCAGCACTTTGGTGTTGACATGAATATCAATTACGTGGTCATTTTATAAATTTCCTGTTTACAAAAGTATGCATTTTTCGGTCCTCAATGCTCTTCAACTTTGTACTTGTTTGGCTGAATAACTATTTTGATCTGAGCGTCACTGATGAGTCTTAAGTAGACGAAACGCGAGTCTGGCGTATTAAATTATAATCCTGGTACCTTTGATAACTATTTGAAAATTCTGTTTTGCCCTTGTTAGATCAAGCTATGGCTTTCGTGAAAAAGTTCTCAAATAACCTTTATTTTTTTTATAATTTTATTTCTCAGACCATATACGTGTTGTATGTTGTTAACTTCTATGTCATTCTGTCTCTGGTGGAGAAATGTCTTATTGGCAATCATACCACATCTTTTTATTTTTATATTTGCAATTTTAAATTTAAATATTTTTTTTTCATTGGTTACTATTTACCGTAAGTTTACATTTATTTCATTGGCTACTATTCCGTAAATCCACAGTTGACAAGTCGTTACCAAAGATTGAACCGCCATATTAACTTAATGGCTGGAATCCATAAATGTGTGATTACAGTTAGAGAATTAAAAATGAAACAACACCTACCTCAAAAACTCCATTTTAATGAGATGTTAACTTTATATTTAAAATTGTAATTATACATACCTGCTGATTCAAATTTTTTATATCAATTCATTTCCTGTTTTATCGAATTTGAATTTTTTTTTATATGTGAATTCACATTAATCATATTTATATTTACTTCCCCTTATCACCAGTTTTCACTGAATCAAGGAAGAACTTATCAAGTTTAAAAGTAAATATCAATACATTTAAGAAGTGGACTGCAATGAAGTAATAAATTATTTTATCAATAAAAAAGACTTGAAAATGCAACATATCAAATGTGTTGTAGTCGGCGATGGGTGAGTAAACATTTTGATATATTTTCCTTATTTGCACGAATATCTAGAAGAAAACGGTTACCTGTATTTATGATTGGCATATATTTATAGGAAAAATTTGAGTCTCAAAGTTTTGTTTACTGTTTTTTTATTAATCTAAATTTTAGTTTAGAGAGTTTCAGTGTTAAGTTTTATGTAGTATATAATCTTGGTCTTAAAATCAGTCAATCTTTGTTATCATTTGATTCAATTTAAGATGAAAATCCCAACGTCAGCTAGACCCTTCCAACACATTTCTAATTTATGTGTTAGTGTGTTCAGGATCAAAAACTTTCACTTAAACAATATGAATGTTGGAAATATGCATGACTTACTTAAAATGTCAGAGCAGAAAACAATTAAAATGTGACAAATTATGATATGCCGTTACATGTTTAACTCTGGCATATCCAGTGATATCTCCAATGGAAGAATCCAGTACACAATAGAGAATGATCAATATCAATGATGACGACACAAACAATACAAATTCTTGTGATTTCCACCATTGTGTATTAGTATCAAAAGACGTGTATGTCATGTACAATGTATGTTCTATCTTATCATTTACAGTTACGGGATCTAAATAATTATTTGAAAATGAAACTCTGAACGCATTATAATCTGAAATGGTAAATTGGCATGCAAAACAATCTTTACAAAATTTTACAAAAATATTTCATAATAATAATAAACATCAACTATACCACGAGTTATCAATTAAAGATACATTTTTCTTTACAGCAATGTTGGGAAAACGTGCTTATTGATTTGCTATTCAACTAATACTTTCAATGATGATTATACTCCAACAATGTAAGCACACTTTTTGTTTTACTCATCATCATTACAATTTCACATGTATGTGTTGTAAAAGGCGCCGTTAATTAAATTTTAACTTCTTCGTATTTACTCGAATTTTTTTTTTATTTTGATAAAAGAGTAGTCCTCCTTATTTTTACAAAATAATAAACATTCAAATTCCTAAGAAGAAAATAGACTGACAACGCCATGGCTTTAAAGAAAAGGAACATCAGACAAACAACAGTACACAAAACAACATAGACAAACAAACACTGAGCAACACGAACCCCAATATAAACTGGGGGTGATCTCAGGTGCTCCTAAAGGGTACGCATATCCTGCTCCACATGTGGCATCCGTCGTGTTAGATTTTCTACCCAAGGAATAGATTACATTAGTTTTATCTGCCAAAACCTTTCGGAATTTTAAGTCTTCAACGCTCTTCAAGTTTATACTTAATTTTGCCTTTTAACTTTTTTTTTTAAAGCTCTAGCGTCATTGATGACTATTTGTTATCGAAAACGCGCGTTTGGCGTACAAACGTATAAGACTGGTACCTTTGATTAGATTTTCTTTATTCTTTTCTTGTACGTGGATTCCACAATTTATTTCAAATTACAATAACAAAAAAATTATATTGTGGCCTAAATTGTATCTTTTTTATATTCAAAAGAGAAAGTGCTTTCCGTTTTGCATTTCGTAGTAGATGGTATATTTTACAATTTATACAAAACAAAGTTAAAGTTAACTTCCCGTTACTTACTTACATGTATCTGTGTGGATATCTCGGAAATACGCTAATGAGTTAAAGTTACTTATTCCTTGTAAATGTAAACAGATCAATTCCTTCACCTTTCTTAAATTGGAGGAAATCATAACTTATAGCGTAACTAGCTGCTGCATTATCATTCGAAAATAAGTGAATTTCCTTCATCAGGAACACTCAAAGCCAAATATTTGAAAGCCAAGGACGTATAAGAAACGAAACACATTAAGAGCTATATAACCAAATGGAACTTCAAAAATAATAGTCTGATCCATCCAGGGTCATCTTTGCCTTAGTACCTTGTTATTTGATTATTATCTACCGACCGTTGATTATGTTTCAAAGAAGATCTGGATGATATTTTGTTAAACTAAAAGTTATAATTAAATATAAATAAATTTATTTTTAAAGTTTCTGCCTTCTTTGATTAATATCGAACCGAATTCTCATATTTGAATGTAATTAATCCTGTATATAACACAGCTTCCAAAGCTGTAAGCATAAATTACAACAGATATTATACATCATACAGCATCAATTTTAAAATCTCCAATATTATGTAAAATTTATTTCTCTTTGGCATGTTTGACGTTTTGTATACGTGTTTAATTGGGACGTGTACACAAAGCTTTCATGTCAATCCGCATCCAAGTCGATCCGTCCCAAGTCGTTTCGTCCCAAGTCGATACAGCCCAAGTCGATCCGGCCCAACTTTTATAAATATATATGAATTGTTATACAAAAACGTTTATGAATATATAAAAGTATGTAAAAGGTGGACGGTAAAAAAAGTGTGCCTTTGACGAATATTTGAATATTTAATTTTCATTAGATGAGACTTTTATGATCATTTATTGAAATTATTTTTTTTTAATATGTCAATTATTCCTATAAAAATGTCATATAGAAATATCATATTATTTTGATATAAAATATTTGAATTCAAATCAATGTATAGCCTGTAATGAGTACGGATGATTATGCAGCATAAAACAAATATGTTGGTTTTGTTTTTAATACAAGTTTTCAAGACTATTGTGTATGCATAATTATAATAAAAAAAACCCATATATAACAGAATTTAGTACCATCAACATTAACTAGCAATAATTAGCATTTTTTCAATTGACTGTGATCTTAACTAGTCTTCCAAAATATATACTAACAAACAGTAACATACATTCTATAAAAAGAAAAGACAGAATGGATTTTTTTCAATATTTATTTTTTTGACGTTTACATTAGACTTTGGCTTTTTTTTATTAAAAATTTACCCCGGGGTATCGGGAAGCAGTATCTAATCTCCCTCTTCGCGATGAATATTCAGATTCATGCATTTTATTATTTTTATCATATATTTCATTTATTAGCTACTATTACCACAAATATCGAAGCAATATTATCTATATTATTAGCTTCTTTTCAACAAGCAATGACAATATCAACATTTCAAAAATCTGAGTTTTACCTAGTAAGATCAACTTCACAACACAGTAGGATTTAAAAAAAAACTCACAACTTCAGAACACTCGCAAAACACACGAAACACTAAGGGAGTATTTATTTTTTATATAATAAGTATTAAGTACAGCGCAAGACCCATACAAGAAAAGGCTCCTTCCAAAAAACCAAAAACACACACAGTTCTGATGATTACATAATTATATGTTCCATTGGATTGTAAATATCTATTTATCTCGTCATGTGTCAATTAAGTAAAAACTATTTATTGTTCAAGTTATCATGGAAAATAACTACATATCCACAGTAAGCATTGGGAAAATCGGACAACGGGGAAGTTTGGACATTGTTATAAATTCAGCATTTTTAAAAAAAATGATTAGAATAAAAAAAACAATCTTATATATTAATACATTCTTTTTAATACTACTAAAAAAAAATCCTAATTAAAACACATTTGAGATGATTTCCCATGTTTACCCTTCATGATTATGACTAGTGTCAAGCTATCCGGCATTCTCATCCTGCAATTCTCTTGCTAAAAAGCTATCCTGCAATTTTCGGCCTTTAAGTATGCTTACTACAGAAATTCTTTGCTATCCTACTGTCATTAATTATCGATACTTTGTGCAAATTCCATTTAACCTAAATGATATATGTCACTAAATCCTCAAATATCAATATTAACCAGGATTAATAAAGTAAGAAATACTATATTAATCCTTAATAGGAATTATATATTATTTTTTCATGGGGCCGGATCGACTTGGGGCCGGATCGACGTTGGACAAAACGACTTGGGACAGATCGACTTGGGACCGGATCGACTTAGGGCCGGATCGACTTAGGGCCGGATCGGTTTGGGGCTGGAACGACCTGATACCTATACAAACTGTACACCTTTAAATGGCTGATATTGTATATAGATACCGGTAGATGGTAGTTTGTCATAAAGCAAAAAAAAAGTAAAGTTTTTTCAGATCAAATTTATTAGAAATCTCCATCCCCATATCCGGGTCACACACCAAAATCGAGGGAAACACATCAACTATAAACTATTGTGTAACTTTTTTCAGAATGCGTGTTCCCATGTCCATTGAAGATCAGCTAACATAACAAAAACCGAAAGTTTTTCTTCCTTTCTTTTAAAAAAAAATAGGTTTAAAATGTTTTATTTTGATTAAAACAGAAAAATGATTTTAAAATGTCGAACTAACATATTTGACTTTTTGTGTTATGTTCATGATTATTCTAAAAGAGAGGCGAAAAATACCAAAGGGATATTCAAACTCACAAGTCGAAAACAAACTGACAATGTCATGGCAAAAAAAATTAAAACGGCGAAAAGACAAACAACAGTACACAAATCATAACATAGAAAACAAACGAATCAGAAGAGTAATCAGATCCACATTTGGCACCCGTCGTGTTGCTCATGTAAGTATAACCCCGGCGATAAGTCTTATTCGGTAGGTCACATTTGAGGAAAAGAGGATGGAATTTTGGTTACTACAATTGAAACGTATAAACATCATTAGTTTATAAAACAAAAACAATTGGATTTTTATTTTAAGTATATTAACTGTGCGTTTCGTTTGTTGTTCTGGTTGAATCGAAAAAAGTATACAATAAACTTCCTCCAACAATAGCATAAAATTGAAATAGAATAGCATAAAATTAAAAACGGCCAAAAGACAAACAACAATACACAAATCACAACATAGAAAACGAACGAATCAGAAGGGTAATCAGATCCACATTGGCACCCGTTGTGTAGCGCATGTAAGTATAGCCCCGGCGATAAGTCAAATTCAGTAGGTCACATTTGAAGAAAGGAGGATGGAATTTTGGTTACGACATTTGAAACGTATAAACATCATTTGTTTATAAAACAAAATCCATTTGATTTTTATTTTAAGTATATTAACTGTGTGTTTCGTTTGTTGTTCTTGGTGAATCGAAAGAAAGTATACATTTTACTTGCTTCGACAATGACATAAAATTGTAAAAGAATATCGATCGATCGATCGATTGATCGAGAGAGAGAGAGAGAGAGAGAGAGAGAGAGAGAGAGAGAGCATATAATTGGTAATGGACCCGTTTATATGTACTTGCATTTAAAGGGCACTTAAAACCCACTTAAAAAGGAGGGAAATACAATTTGTATAATGCTTTACGAAATTAACATTTTTTTATGTATTACTTTTCTATTTACTGTTATAATTTTGACTGAAAAGAGAGGCTATAAATTAACTGTCCTTTTCCTCTCTTATATTCCACCACCTATCTGTTACTGTTTCTGCATTAACACCGGAAAGATTTATAGAACTAACTTGTTTTTATGCAGCACTTTTACAGTCTCTGAGATTATAATTCATCGTATACATTTATCCTCCTTTGATAATTATGTCAATGTGTACACACTAGGTTAGTAATTCTACCCAAGCTTGTGGAAATGAATAACATGCGCACATATGTAAATGGTGTATCTATATAACATGAACACATATGTAAATGGTGTATCTATATAACATGCGCACATATGTAAATAGTGTCTCTATATAACATGAACACATATGTAAATGGTGTATCTATATAACATGAACACATATGTAAATGGTGTCTCTATATACAATGGGCACATAATATGTAAATGGTGTCACTATATAACATGAGCACAAATGTAAATAGTGTCTATATACTGAAACTGTGCAATTGTTTCAAAATTGAAATTCAGCAACCTTTGAAAAATATACAAATTTCTGAAATTCATTGTAGCTTTATATTATAAAAAACTACTTTTAATTACATTAGTCTTGTTAAATTGTCATAACAGGCCTAGGGATTTTCTCGCTGTGTTGGAGACCCATTGGTGGCCTTTGGCTGTTTTCTACTCTTTGGTCGGGTTGTTGTCTCTTTGACACATTCCTCATTTCCATTCTCAATTTTATTGTAGATTTGATAATTATAAAACAACCGTAAAGGTGAATGACATTTATATAGAGTTAGGATTATGGGATACAGCAGGTCAAGAAGATTACGATCGATTCCGCCCATTATCATATCCACAAACGGTAAGTTTTTGTTCAAAACTGAATGGGAATATTCATTCTAAAGAGCAGAACAGTTTCATGTCACCTCATCACAATATTTTAAATGTACTAAGATATTTTTCTTTCTTTCTAAGGTTTTGAAGTAATCTACAATACAAAAGAAAAAAGATATCAACGTGCTATAAAACATCATTAAGTCAAAGCAAGACAACTAATTGCCAAAAGAAAAGATGTTAAAAGGAATCAGTCCACAAAGTATTATACAGCTAAAAAGTCAATGATTTGTAACGCAGTATTGATTTAAAAAAAGTAAATAAATGTTCTAAACCCGACCGAAAGAGCTGGATTCGTCGGTAGGATAGGCATCTGCTGCTGTACAAAACTTTTTCCGCCACTCGTGATAAGCACTTTGTTTGCACATATATAAACTAATCAATAAATGTATCCTCTATATAGATGTGTAAAAGGATGCAAAAAGATATCAAAGGACATTCAAAGTCGAAATTAAACTGACAACGCCATGGCAAAAAACAAAACAAAATCAAAATCGTCGTGTTGCTCATGTAAGTACAAACCCGGTGATAAGTCTAATTCAGTAGGTCACGTTCGAGGAAAAAAGAACGGGATAATGGTTACGACAATTGGAACATATCCGTTGTCATCTTTTAAACAGATATTTCATAACGGTAAACCAAATCGTGATGGAGTCCGTAAAATTTCCAGAAAGATGATTCTAACTTCATCCCTTGGCTTAATAGCTTTCTGGTATATCAAGGAATTCGAAATCATGAATGGAAATACAAGCTCTGAAAAGTCTCATAAACTTAGAGATATATACTCCATATGCATGCGCTGCAGGACTGTTTCTACACAGAAATGGAAAGTAACTAAAGAACGTTTAAAAAGTTTTATCTACAAAACTTTATTTCAATTTCAGGATGTAGTTCTTGTATGTTTTTCACTTGTTCATCGACCAAGTTTTGAAAATGTTATTGGAAGAGTAAGTAGTAACAGGTATCTCAACGAAGGATGTAATTTGATCGGCAATTTCGACAGTCTGCTAATCTTACAAAATCTTACCAACCGATGAGTGACTGTTCAAAAACACCCTTAAAAAAATCTTCTTAAACTAGTTTTATGCATCTCTTGTATTATCTATTTGATTTTTATCTTAATTAGATATTTCAAAATATTTTCACTGTCCTATTTCCACAAAAGCAGAAAAACGAGATATAACTGTCTAAGCTCTGTCTATACCTATTCTGTCTTTTGATTTTGTACAATGCATGAAATGTGTTTCTTAGCCTCAAACCTATGTTAGTTATTCAGTAAATCGACGGCGTTCTAAAACAATTCTATTGTATACTGGATATTAGTTCTATATTGTATTTTTATACCTCGGTTTTTTTTAACAGTACATCATTTAATTTGAAAAAGAGAGTAAATTCTTTTGAAGTTTAATCGAGAAATCAAACCGATAAGTCATTTAAAAATTTTTTAAGTTGAAACTTGTTTGGTATTTACATACGCAAAATTCTGTCAGCAACAGGTAAAGATGTATACATGTCCCTTCCCCCCCACACACACACCTCTAATAGGAATTCTCTTGACCTCCATCGACAATAGAATGGTCGTCCCCTTTAATGACAATATACAGCAAAATTGTGCCTTGGATGGAGAAAGATCATTACATATCATTGCAATTGGTTTAAATTAAGTTTATTAATAACCAGATGAATTAGGAGATACCAGTATTGTACTTATAGCTTGGCCAACATTAAATATAATAGTTTGACGTCAAAGGCATGCTAACGGTGCCAAATAAAATGCAATGTCTATCTATTAGGATGAAATTTAAGTTGACCAAGCAAATGATAGGTTTTTTTCTATCATTGAATAAATCTCCACATAACAAACAATTTATTGACCGTGGATTCCCCCTTAGAATATATAATGTCGCTCAATCAATATCGTCATTAGGTCGAGCATATAACACTTGAATTTGTTTTATATATGACGTTAGTCCCTCATATTCAACATTACAACCTGTTTCATATAAAATCAAAACATAATATCAAAAATGTGCAAATAATTTGCCCTATGATAGCTTTATTTAATTACAGTGGATTCCTGAAATAAGCCACCACCTCCCAGGAATACCAATTGTTTTAGTGGGTACAAAACTTGACATTCGAGAAGACGCAGAACCAAATAAATCAAAACATTTTGATAACAAAAATCATCCTGTGTCATTCAGTGAAGGACAATCTTTGGCCAAAAAAATAGATGCCGTAAAATATTTAGAATGTTCAGCAAAAACCCAGGAAGGGCTGAATTTGGTGTTTGAAGTGGCTATAAAGGCTGTGTTATCTCCATATGAGCACAAACACAAACGCAGACCGTGTGTTTTGTTGTGAAACGTGTTCAGCATAACACAATGTTTTATATGATTGTACACAGCATTTAAAAATATAATATCAAAAATTAACTGATTAATAAATAATTGTATAAATGTATCAAAAGCCTTCTTTCTCTCCATATGCTTGGAATAGATTTTGGTTTTCTATGTTGTGTCATCTGTACTATTATATGTCTATCTGTTTATCTTTTTATTTTTTTGCCATGGTGTTGTCAGTTTGTTTTCGATCTATGAGTATGACTGTCCCTCTGGTATCTTTCGTCCCTCTTTTTGGTATACGCTATTGCTCGATGGGTACATTATTGAGACAAGTTAATCGTTTGTCTCTAGAACTTCTGCCAATGAGAGGGGTAGACCTGGGATAAGTTATTAAATCAGCTTTAACATTGTTGTTACCATCGGTTCAGCAAAATCTGTTAAGCATTAATGTTGGAGAGAATTAAAACAATCTGTGTTACTGAGAAACCTGAAAAATTATTCATGAAAATGGCTGATTCAAACGTACGAAAATTCCTAAAGTTGTGTCCCTCCCTATATCTATGTCTGCCTTCTTAATAACGGACCTTATGAAATATGTATTACCATGGGAACGGTAATTGGTCTGTAATCAGATAATGGTTTTTATAAACGAAACATATCAGCATTGATCCCAAGAAAAAATTAACAATGAAAGTTTTTCTGTACGAATAGTAAAAACAAAAAAAAAAGAATATCAAGGGGACATTGAAAACTCACAAGTCGAAGACAACTGACAACGCAATCGAAAAAAAAAACAAAAATAAGCAAAAATACAAACAAGTTTACAATAAACCACAGGGAATACTAAAGATTGAGCAACACGAACACCAAAGAGAATACTGAAGATTGAGCAACATGAACACCACAGAGAATACTAAAGATTGAAAAACACGACTACCACAGAGAATATTAAAGATTGAGCAACACGAACACCTCAGAGAGTACTGAAGATTGAGGAACTAGAACACCACAGAGATAACTAAAGAATGAGCAACACGAACACCAAAGAGAGTACTGAAGATTGAGCAACACGACAACCACAGAGAGTACTAAAGATTGAGCAACACGACCACCACAGAGAATGCCAAAGTTTGAGCAATACGAACACCACAGAGAATACTAAAGATTGAGAAACACGACCACCACAGCGAATACTAAAGATTGGGCAACCCGACCACCACAGAGAATACTAAAGATTGAGAAACACGAACACCACAGAGAGTACTGAAGATTGAGGAACTAGAACACCACAGAGATAACTAAAGATTGAGGAACTAGAACACCACAGAGATTACTAAAGAATGAGCAACACGACCACCACAGAGCGTACTGAAGATTGAGCAACACGACCACCACAGAGAATACTGAAGATTGAGCAACACGAACACCACAGAAAATACTAAAGATTGAGAAACACGCCCACATCAGAGATAACTAAACAATGAGCAACACGACCACCACAGAGAGTACTGAGGATTGAGCAACACGACCACCACAGAGAATACTGAAGATTGAGCAACACGAATACCACAGAGAATACTAAAGATTGAGAAACACGACCACCACAGAGATAACTAAAGAATGAGCAACACGACCACCACAGAGAGTACTGAAGATTGAGCAACACGAACACCACAGAGAGTACTGAAAATTGAGCAACACAACCACCACAGAGAATACTGAAGATTGAGCAACACGAATACCACAGAGAATACTAAAGATTGAGAAACACGACCACCACAGAGATAACTAAAGAATGAGCAACACGACCACCACAGAGAGTACAGAAGATTGAGGAACACGACCACCACAGAGAGTACTGAAAATTGAGCAACACAACCACCACAGAGAATACTGAAGATTGAGCAACACGAACACCACAGAGATAACTAAAGAATGAGCAACACGGCCATCACAGAGAATACCAAAGATTGAGCAACACGAACACCACAGAGATAACTAAAGATTGAGAAACACGACCACCACAGAGAATACTAAAGATTGAGCAACACGAACACCACAGAGATAACTAAAGAATGAGCAACACGACCACCACAGAGAATACTAAAGAATGAGCAACACGAACACCACAGAGAAAACCAAAGATTGATCAACATGAACACCACAGAGAATACTGAGGATTAAAGAACTAGAACACCACAGAGATAACTAAAGAATGAGCAACACGAACACCACAGAGAGTACTGAAGATTGAGGAACACGACCACCACAGAGAATGCCAAAGTTTGAGCAATACGAACACCACAGAGAATACTAAAGATTGAGAAACACGACCACCACAGCGAATACTAAAGATTGATCAACCCGACCACCACAGAGATTACTAAAGATTGAGCAACACGAACACCACATAGTACTGAAAATTGAGCAACACGACCACCACAGAGAATACTAAAGATTAAGCAACACGAAAACCACGGAGAACACCAAAGATAGAGCAACACGAACATCACAGAGAATACTAAAGATTGAGCAACACAAAAAAACCACAGAGAATACTAAAGATTGAGCAACACGACCACCACAGAGAATTCTAAAGATTGAGCAACACCACCACCACAGAGAATACTAAAGATTGAGCAACACAAAAATCCACAGAGAATACTAAAGATTGAGGAACTAGAACACCACAGAGAGTTCTGAAGATTGAGCAACACGACCACCACAGAGAATACTAAAGATTAAGCAACACGAAAACCACGGAGAACACCAAAGATAGAGCAACACGAACATCACAGAGAATACTAAAGATTGAGCAACACAGAAAACCACAGAGAATACTAAAGATTGAGCAACCCGACCACCACAGAGAATACTAAAGATTGAGGAACACGAACACCACAGAGAATACTAAAGATTAAGGAACAAAAAAACCACAGAGAATACTAAAGATTGAGCAACACGAACACCACAGAGATAACTAAAGATAGAGCAACACGAACATCGCAGAGAATACTAAAGATTGAGCAACACAAAAAACCACAGAGAGTACTGAAGATTGAGGAACTAGAACACGACGGAGATAACTAAAGATTGAGCAACACCACCATCACAGAGAGTACTGAAGATTGAGCAACACGACCACCACAGAGAGTACTGCAGATTGAGCAACACGACCACCACAGATAATATTGAAGATTGAGCAACACGAACACCACAGAGATTACTAAAGATTGAGCAACACGAACACGACAGAGAGTAATGAAGATTGAGCAACACGACCACCACAGAGAATACTAAAGATTGAGCAAAACGAACACGACAGAGAGTAATGAAGATTGAGCAACACGACCACCACAGAGAATACTAAAGATTGAGCAACACGACCATCACAGAGAATGCCAAAGATTGGGCAACAGGACCACCACAGAGAATACTGAAGATTGAGGAACACGACCACCACAGAGAGTACTAAAAATTGAGGAACTAGAACACCACAGAGATAACTAAAGAATAAGCAACACGAACACCACAGAGAGTACTGAAGATTGAGGAACACGACCACCACAGAGAATGCCAAAGTTTGAGCAATACGAACACCACAGAGAATACTAAAGATTGAGAAACACGACCATCACAGCAAATACTAACGATTGAGCAACCCGACCACCACAGAGATTACTAAAGACTGAGCAACACGAATACCACAGAGAGTACTGAAAATTGAGCAACACGACCACCACAGAGAATACTAAAGATTAAGCAACAAGAAAACCACGGAGAACACCAAAGATAGTGCAACACGAACATCACAGAGAATACTAAAGATTGAGCAACACTAAAAACCACAGAGAATACTAAAGATTGGGCAACACGACCACCACAGAGAATACTAAAGATTGAGCAACACTACCACCACAGAGAATACTAAAGATTAAGCAACACAAAAAACCACAGAGAATACTAAAGATTGAGGAACTAGAACACCACAGAGAGTACTGAAGATTGAGCAACACGACCACCACAGAGAATACTAAAGATTAAGGAACACGAAAACCACGAAGAACACCAAAGATAGAGCAACACGAACATCACAGAGAATACTAAAGATTGAGCAACACAAAACACCACACAGAATACTAAAGATTGAGCAACCCGACCACCAAAGAGATTACTGAAGATTGAGCAACACGAACACCACAGAGAGTACTGAAGATTGAGCAACACGACCACCACAGAGAATACTAAAGATTAAGCAACACGAAAACCACGGAGAACACCAAAGATAGAGCAACACGAACATCACAGAGAATACTAAAGATTGAGGAACACAAAAAACCACAGAGAATACTAAAGATTGAGCAACACGACCACCACAGAGAATACTAAAGATTGAGCAACACTACCACCACAAAGAATACTAAAGATTGAGCAACACAAAAAACCACAGAGAATACTAAAGATTGAGAAACTAGAACACCACAGAGAGTACTGAAGATTGAGCAACACAACCACCACAGAGAATACTAAAGATTGAGCAACACAAAAAACCACAGAGAATACTAAAAATTGAGCAACCCGACCACCACAGAGATTACTAAAGATTGAGCAACACGAACACCACAGAGAATACTGAAGATTTAGGAACTAGAACACCACAGAGATTACTAAAGATTGAGCAACACGACCACCACAGAGAGTACTGAAGATTGAGCAACACGACCACCACAGAGAATACTGAAGATTTAGCAACATGAACACCACAGAGATTACTAAAGATTGAGGAACTAGAACACGACAGAGATAACTAATGAATGAGCAACACGACCACCACAGAGAGTACTGAAGATTGAGCAACACGACCATCACAGAGAATACTGAAGATTGAGCAACACGAACACCACAGAGATTACTAAAGATTGAGCAACACGAACACCACAGAGAGTACTAAAAATTGAGCAACACGACCACCACAGAGAATACTAAAGATTGAGCAAGACGAACACCACAGGGAGTACTAAAGATTGAGCAACACGACCACCACAGAGATAACTAAAGATAGAGCAACACGAACATCGCAGAGAATACTAAAGATTGAGCAA